TACAGTTGGGCATACAACTATGGTTGATGAATCGCGCAATGCCACCCTTCTTGGTTGCGTCGATGACGGTGTTGTCGTCAATACGGAACAGATAGCTGCTTCCAATGCCACTCTTGAGATAACGGTTCTCACGGATTTCTGATATCTGCTGTCGAACCTGCTCGCCGACATACTCAATAATCATGTCGTCCTTTGCAATGTTCTCCATGGCGTATAGACCCCAGTTGTGGATAGCCGAACGAGCAAACTTGACGGGCTTCTTGCGCTTCTTGAGCTGGTTGAATTTGAAGACATCAGAGTCCTGGCCGAGAGTCTTCTTCTGGTCGTTGAGGTCAGCAACGTAGCGACGGTTGGTAGCGCGATTCGCTCGTGAATTTCCTTTGGCGACCAGCTTCTCGGCTGCGATTCTGGCGGCATCCGCAGCATCAGCAGCGGCGTCCCTACCCAACTTGTTGCGGGCTTCCCGTTCTTGTCGTGCCCTCTGCACCTTGATATGGTGAGGGAGGTACTTCGACTTTTCAGAGTTAAGGATCTTCTTGACACCCTCCGTGCGGGCACAGCCAGTAGGGTTGGGCACATAATATCCTCCAATAGTAACAGGAGAGTCCAATGTGCGTCTTGCAGAGTTGAGCTCCCTGATGCGATTGCGAGTCCATAACCACAACTCCGCATTCCCTATGTCCTTAGTATTAAACCTCCTGGCAAGTTTGGCCAGATCAGGTATGTCCTGGGTGTTGACTGTCAAGCCCTGGAATATTGGTAAGTCGGGCTTAACGCCGTCCGGTAACTCAAGGGCAGGTATCAAGGGCTCCGTGGCAAAGAGCTTGTCGTCAAACTTCTCCGGTGTCAGTTCCTCCATAGGCAACTTCTCCGCCTTCTCTTGCACGGCCTTGGGAGGTTCTATAACTCCATCGTCGCGCTGTGACTCTGTCTCTGGTTGGGTTTTCGAAGTCTCGGGTTCTTCAAACGATGTTTTCTTCGTCTTTTTCACCTTCCCAGGCCGTTTCTTTAGAGGTTTTCCAATGGCCGAGGCCGGGGTCTCGGAACGGGAGACTCTACTTTCCACGTCGTCACCCGTCTCTGGCTCGGGAATGATGTCGACAGAGTCTTCACGCCCCTTAAATTCTGAATCAAGTGTTTCAAGATTGACGCCAAACAGTTCCTCGTCCGATTTCTTCTGCCGCTTAAAGACCGATTCAAGTGAGGCGACTAGCTTTCGTTTTCTGGAGCTTGCTGTGTCTGCTATGGCGAAACTGGCCTCGGTCATCGAATCGTCCTCACCTTGTTCCCAGGGTACGAAATCGTCCTTCGAAGCTTCATCATCGGTGCTCATTCGGCTGCGCGGGCGAGATTCGGCCTCCTCTGTCTCTCTCGCCAATAGTGCACGGGTATCCGTGTCGTCATCGGATTCAGCATCGCTATCGAGGCTTCTCAAGCGGTGGTGGAGCGAACGGAAGGCGTTTCGGGCAACAGGTGGGCGCTTTCTGGCAAACGGATCAACGAAGGCACTCTTTTGCGCCTGGCCCTTAACCTTGGTCTTGCGAATTCTCGGAAGAGCCTTTGGTTCGAGGCGACCAGTTCGGCGCTCAATTGGGTCAGCACGAGAGTTGGGCGTTCCCACGCGAGAGCTGTCATTGCCGTCCTCGATACTGGGTATCTCTTGTATGTCGTCAGGATGCTCAATGTTCAACTTTCGTCGCTTAGCAGCATGATTGGCAGGATCCAGAAAATCGGAGAGAGCAGGCGCTGCGACCTTGGTACGGATATGTCGTATAAGATGTTCCATCATCTCACGTCTGACAACTTCCACCGCCTGGATCACAGGGTCAAAGTTCTTAGCTCTCTGCTTTTTCTCCTCTTCAAGATCCGCTTCTTCCTCTCGTCTTCTTCTATCCTTTTCGTCACGATAGCGTGGTTCGGCGTGTGTCTGTCGGTCGGGGCTCGCACTAGATCGCCGGCGACCGGAGGCATCGTCTCGACGAGGACGAGGTAAGCAAAGCTGCATGGTCATATCATAATTGAAGAATTCGGTATGGTTAACAGCACGAAAACATCGTTCAGCTTCGGAGCTGCCAGTAAACGAATTGCGAAAAACAATAAAATAACCCGATTTGTCGACGCGAATCTCCTCGAAGCCGTAGCTCTTAAGTCGTTTCTTCATATGTGGGAGGATACTGGGTAGGACTGGGACGCTATCACCTGTCACGTAAATGTATGGATCGTTCGCGAGTTTTTGTGCAAGGTTCGACGGTTCTAGGTTGAGCGCTTTGACTTGCGTGCCAAGCAAAGGTATTTGTGGTATACCAGGTGGTATAGATTGTCGTTGAGCCGATGGACCTTTCGGGGCGGTTGGGGGAGGTCTCGTAAATCCCGGGACTGTTCCAGATTTTGGACCGGTCGGTGGTGCTTTGGCTGCAAGAGCAAGTCTTTCCTGTTCGATTTTCTCAAACTTTTCCTTCTCCCTCTTAAGATGTTCTTCCAACATCCGCCGGCTCCTGCGACCTTCAGGATCGTAATTTACATGAACAATGTCGGCGTCAACCTTGATTCCACGGGCTCGCACAGCTCGGCGGGCTGCATCGATAGCAGAGACAGGTGGACGATCAGGTCGCTTAGAATCTCGATATCGAATTGTCGCAAATCCAAGATAGCTACCCGTCTCTGGATGCATCTTGTTGCTGCTCTCTGCTATCTCACCGAAACTGGCAAAGATAGCCGTCACCTTGCTGAAGGGAATAAGCGGATTGTATCTTGTCACGACAATCTGCGTGGGTGGACCAGGGCCAATGGAAGTCTTGGGGTCGTAGGGATAGGGCTTGATATTCTCAGGCGCTGTTCGTAGTCGTGATTTAGGCAGATAGTAGTCGGTGTTGATATAACCGAGGCGACCATCCGACCTGGCCAGTCGGGGGTCTTTAGGGGGGGCGTCATCTTCCTAATCAATTCATTAGCCATGTTCACCACAGATGACGCCCCCCCCTGGGGAGGGATGTTATAGTTATACGTACTCGACCGAACTCTTCATATGTTGGTTTGGCGCTTTTGCTGACGCTCTTATTGTGTACTCGATCGAGGAGCGGATCATAGGTGCACTTGAGGCCCTTGACGGAGGGCAACGGATCTCGAGCCGGAATGCGCTCATTGGAGGGAAGTCCATTTGATATCGAGACATTAGGACCAGAGGCCGGTGAGTTTCGAGAGGACTGTCTCGCGGCCCGATCGGGGGTCTGGTACGTAGACATATCTGGCTTTGTGGCGGTTGGGGCCGAGTTGGGAGAGTCTTTGAAAGCGCTTGGGGTGAGGCTCGAGGTGGGAAGACGGGACGAAGCTGTAGTCGCCGCGGCACCGTGGCGGGTGGATGTGCTGAATATCGATGAAGCGGCGCTGCTATATGAGCTGGCCGAGTCGACGGTGTTGGGGATATCTGTGAATGGGGATTCGGTGTCGTCAGGTTGTGTTGGCATAGTATCCGACGCTGAAACAATGCCGTTGGGGCCGATATTCGCGTCGGCTTCTAGCACAGCTGTGCCTGTTGTGGAGTCGATAGTGCCGTTGATAGAGGCTGGCGTCGATGCTGTTTTAAAGCGATCGCGGTCCCTAACCTGGTCTGCGCGAGTCTGAGCCTGAGCTTTTACCTTGGGAGCAGTGGGGAAGAACTCCGCGAAGCTCGCGCCTGGCGGGCGAGTCATCGTGACGATGCGCTCTTCCTACTTCCTCCCCCGTACTCCTACCATGATATACTTGCGTTGAAGCGTCGAAAACACACTGATCAGTGAAAATCCTGACCAGGCGGCGATTTCAGGCGTATTATGTGGATTGAGGTAGCGGCTGTGTGGGCGGAATTGAGGTATTGAAACAGGCTTCACGCGACAGAGCGAATGTGAAGTTGAATGTGGCAGAGGGGCGGTATTCACCAACTCTAGGCGCAGTAAAGGAGTAGGAAAAGGATCGTCGACGGCGAAACTAGTAGCCTTGGCCAAAGTATTGATGCGCGCGACAAAGGTGGAGGCGATAAGTGATAACAATCCCCAAACGTTGGAATGTAATGAAGGGGGGGAATTGGTGGGAGAAGGGAAAAAATGGCTGACGACCAAGGAAGTTGACGATTGATCTGGCGTCCAGTTTGGTTTGGTTTGACTTTTGGTTCAGGGATGAATAGCGTTAACTTTTAGCGGTAAGGCCAAGCCAAGTCAAAATGAGAGAAGCGACGAGCCACAGTTTGGGTGGCTTGGAGGCTAAATAATGCTGTGATTGGCAGTGAAGTTTGGTGTCAATACACGGTTGACGGGGTATCGTTGGTTGCCAATTAACGCGTCCCACTCAAGAGGTAAGGTTCTTGTCGTAGGACTGACAGTACAACCACCATCCAATCCGTTCGGGTGACAAGATATATTCGAGGTTTGTTCATTTCTTTGCCTGCAAATACCCTAGTGTCCAATAGACTTGTTATTCTATTAAAAACATATGTGGTGCATGTCCAGTCCCTTTGTTTACAACCACTCGCCTGTAATGTGCCTTACTCGGTAAACGTGTCGATGTCATCGTGCATGAAAGCAGGGCTTTGTTCAAAACTCGCAGTTGTCACGAGACAACAAAGGCAGGATGTTTGACATGTTCAAATTAAAGAGATATTACCATCGCAACATCTCTCTTTTCCCTGTATTCCTCTGAATAGAATGAATACCTAAAGCAGAGTGTCTTTGTTAACAAACGTTTTGGGCATTCCTCCTAACCTATAGCATATGGCGGGTAAAGAAAATATTAAATAGACTTAAACTTCAGATGACAGGTCTTTACAAAGAAAATTATTTCATTTACGAGACGTGGCGGAGGCAGCTAGTACTCGATAGTTAAAAATATCCGATTAGCATACAGTCTTGAAATCATAGCCTCTGTGATCCTGTACCAATCCTCAAAAACTCCATCTCATCGACTCGAAATCACTATTGCGATGTATATTCCCGAACGCCAACCGTTTTTAACACTACAATACACAAAGCTCACAAGTCCAATTTGAGCACAAACTCCTCATCTTCATCATCGGATATATGGAGTGGCTGACTTAGTGGTGGAAGGTCATCATCATCACCATCCTCATCAAAGATTGACATGAATTGAGGTTGGGGGTTTGTCTCTTGGTCTTTCTGGACGGCTTGACGAAGACGGGCTGGTGTAATAGTGAGATCTGACTGGGTAGGGCTCACCCTACCCGAAGGCTTGACTGGACGCTGTGTTACCTCACGGGCGTCAGTTCCACGACGTTGAGCGCTGACCAGAGATGATGCTGACCGGCCACGGTTGTAGCCAATAGTGGTTCGTGACGCAGCCTCGCCAGTAGCGCTCTCCGCATGTGATCTCTTCACGGGGACGACATTTCGAGCAGCAGGCTTTCTACCCTGATACAAGGAAGACAGAGGCCTTCGAGGGTCTGTTGTTCGAGCCACTGAAGGGCCCTTGCTGCTGCTGCTGGTATCCGAGTGAATAGACAAAGCAGAGGCAGCACGCCTTGAAGAAAGGCTGGATGGCTGCTTGGTTTGGATGCCGTTGGCCTTACGTCCCGAAGGGTCCAGAAGACTGGTCTTAGGTGTAGGCTTCCTGACCTGTTCTTCGTTGTCTGATAAATCGTTGATGTTGAAAGTCAAGGCGTCTATCTCTCGTTTATTCTTCTCCTCAGCCTTAGCTGCCACCTTCTTCAACGTCTCTGCGAACTCTCTATCCTGTCGAGAAATACCCTCATCATCGACTGGGTTGTAAAAGTGTTGGTAGTATCCCTTGAGGAGATTGCCCTTCTTCAATCCGTCCAGCGTCAACAGATCTTTGGGGAAGCAATCTGATTCATATGCGAGATTCTTTGGCTTTGGTGGGGCGTATTCAGGCTCCTCCTCCTGCGGTTCAATGGTCTTATGCTCTTCTTTAAGTCGAATCTCAAGAGGCGCAAGGTCCACTGGTCGTTGCTTGGGTTTCTGTGCGGTTGGCTTCAGTTGCGTCTGTTCGATGTCCTTAACAAGGTTCTTAACACCACCCAACTGCCCATTCTTAGCTTTGGCGTTGGTGGTTTTGTTGCCTAGAGGAGCTCGACCACGGGTTCCTGTGATGTGAAATTGTATTAGCCCACTGCTCCTTGATTCTCGAGACGTCATCAATACCCATGGGAGTGACCATAGCCTGTCGAGTTCCATTGCCTTTGTTGATGGTCTTCACCCCGCCCTTGCCTGTAAAGGCGGTAGCATTCTCATCACGCTGAGGAAATCGAGAAGGCGTCTTTGGAAACCGTGAATTATGTCCTTGCTTCGTTGGAACCTGCTGGCTCAGAACCAAGTTCTCTTGGTCACGATGCGCCGCCAACATGATGTCTGTAATAAGCGAATCAAGAATTCAGAATATCGTTGTCTTCGAGTAGGTGGGATTAGGCAGATGCTACTCTCGTCATTGGAATTTGAACTAATCAAAGAGGTAATTACGCGTGCAAGATGAAAGGGCCCTCTGCTCATCTACCCGGACGTCAAGAACCAGGATGTTTTGGTCGGCCTGTGCTGGCTGACGGGGCAACAGCCACCTTTTGGTTGCTTTCCCCTGGAAAGTGCCGCCATGTGAGCTTTGAGCGCCACACACGAGCGACCGCCACAAGCCAATGAGGCTGGACACGACGGTGACCTCCACCGCAGTTCAATTGTGGAGGAACATCACTCCTCCCCTTTCTTGATAGGTACTTAACCGCCTCATCTTACATCCGAACAACACGACCTTTGTCCCATCGCCAGTTTCCCTTCCGCTTTTTTCTTCAACAAAACGTAAACTTTCGTCGCTCATCAAAATGGATCGCATCAAGGAGGTCAGTCACCAAACAGCTCTTATGCTACCTACCCCGCCATGCAACCCCAAAAGGAAGGGACCGTTGTGGAGGGGTAGAGTTGTCGTCGACCCATGCTAACGTGGTGATGGTGGATAGAAAATGAACCAGCTTCGCCTGGAGGCCGACGAGGCCAGCTCCAAGGTTGAGGAGCTCCAGACCAAGGTCAAGGCTCTCGAGCAGGAGAACCTGTCCAAGGAGCAAGAGATCACCTCCCTGCAGCATAAGAACAACCTCCTCGAGGGTGAGGTCGAGAAGCTCGAGAACACCGTTAAGGACTTCAAGAAGGCTGCCGACGAGGGACAGCAGCACGGAACCCAGAACGAGACCCTCCAGCGAAGGCTGCAGCTCCTTGAGGAGGAGGCCGAGGACGCCGACAAGACTCTTCGTGAGGCCAACGAGAAGTACGCTCAACCCCCTTAGCGAGACCCTTTACCGCCATTTTGACAACCATCAAATTTCCTCACAATAAACGGTATATCGACTAACAATGCGATTCTATAGGCTTCGACAGACCGATGTCAAGGCTGGACACTTTGAGCGCAAGGTGCAAGCTCTTGAGAGTGAGCGTGACCAGTGGGAGTCCAAGTACGAGGAGATGTCGCAGAAGTACAACGCTCTTCAGAAGGAGTTGGAGGAGCTCCAGGCCGAGATTGGCAACATCTAATCGAACTCCGACCTTTATACACTTGCGCCGGATGCAGGATGTTTATTAGCATGTCCCTCAGCCATCAGTATACTCGTTCAGCTGCATGATGCTTTGGTTGAAGGGATCTTTGAGTGTTGGCCAGATGAGCGAATGAAGCAGTTTCCGTATATCATGTTACTTTTCTACTAGCTGATTGAAGCTGGCCTTTCTCATTTCTAAAGGGTATCTTTTGTAAATGGTGCGCCTGTTTGCATCCCTCTCTGTTGTCCAAATTTATAGGGCCCCAACCAATTTAGCCCGACCTTCTTGCCGCCTTTTTGGCCCTCAGCTTTCTTTCTGTGAGCTGTCTATCGAACTTGGACTCGTATCGGAACTTCTTCTTCTTCTTTTTGGGTTCGCGTCGTGCCTTTTCTTTCGTATCATCCTTCTTCTCGTCCTGTTTTTGGTCCTGGCTCTTGTCTTCGTTGTCGAACTGTGGTTTCTCGAATCCGTCCCTTGTTACCGAAACAGACTCGACCTTGACTGTTGTATAACGGTCCTCATCGATATATTCTTCTTCGTGGTCGACAATGTCAAGCTCAGGCTGATCAGCAAAACCGTCCCATTCTTCGTCTTCTTCGTCCGATTCTTGCTCGACGGCACCAGCAGCTTCTGACTCTCGTAGCAATCTGTTCACGGTCTGTACGTGTTCTTCAACGTCGCGCTTTCGGTCTTCTCGTATCTAGATAATATATGTTAGTTGATTTAAAATTTGAGACCGATTAAACCGTCTTGCTTCGTGACGTACCTGCTTTCGCAATTCAAGCTTCTCCTGACGAGCTCTCTTTGCATTCTCCTCCTGCGCATTTTTGATACGCTGTTGCTTGCGCTTATGGAAACCTGTTAGATATTCCTCTCGCGCATCGAAATCGAAATTGACTTCTTCAACTCCAGATGTCGCTTTCCGCTTCTTGTGCGGTAAAGGAAGAATATTCTTCTTGGGTCTTGGCTTGGCGAACATGGTTGCTTGTGCAGACAGATGTTTGGTGCAATTGTAGTTTGAATTTTTACAACGAATGAACTATTTTGTCGGCTGGCATCTTTTCCTTAGCATACAGAAAATCCGCCATCGCGAAAGTTTCCCAGGGTCGCCCCACAGGGGATTCTCACCGAGGTGTGCATCAAACGGGTCTTTGCGTCTATCAGAATGGTTACGTAAGGCAGTTGTTACTGCATAAGCTCTCTTGATGCTACCATTATCATTACAAGCTGGTATCGACAGGCAGATCCAACGGCCAATATCCAGCAAATACTATCCGTGATGCGTCTTCAGATTTTAGCCAGCGCTCTTGCGCTTAGCGGTTCAGCTGCCGCTTTCTCCGATTCATGGCCTCTTGTCATGTTCTCTACATCCAAGTATGACGCGCGCCCCTGTGTCCCATACTTCGAGCTTCCTGCTGAACGATGACGATAACAGGTTCTCCGATGCGACCAGCAACAATCAAATCCAGACACGATCTCAGGCCCTTGAGCAAGTCAAGGACCTTTTGGCTCCATGTCCGACCGATAACTATGTACTGATTGCTCAGGAAGGCGCCAACGCTGCCGACATTCGACGAACGAACGCCAAGTCCAACCTTCACCAGGTCATTGCGCGTAAGGAAATTCAGGGCAAGTTCATTGTCTCTGAGGTTGTTGGCGAATCGATCGATGCGGACGCGATCCAAGATTATATTCAGACGGTGTGTTATGAGCAGGCAAAGACGGTCGAGCCTCATTTCACCGTTATTAAGGCGGAAGACAACAATGGTCGGTTCCAAAGAACTCACTGCACAAGACCGAACATTAACAACTTTGCAGAAGCTACCGAGAATTGGATGTCGAATGAGAAGTGGATGAAGGATTCATACACTGTCCTGTTCGTTGGCACCCCTTCCACCCAGGCCAAGACCGCCTCTGCATCGAAGAAGGCCGCTGGCTCCGAGAAGACAATCTACGAGCCCGAATTTATCGAGCCTCTGCACATGGACTTGAAGCGCGACGTTTCAGAAGGCTCAAAGGCTGGCAACGCTACTCGTGACACCCGTGGCTTGTTCGAGAAGTACCAGTTCTTCACTCCTGGTAAGCACCCATTTATTCATTACAGACTTGCACGACGTACTGACAGTCCGAAGGTATTTTCATGGCCATCATCACTGCCATTGTTTTGTTCTCTATCCTTGGCGTTGGTCTCCGGGCACTGGCTAGTCTCGAGGTCTCCTACGGCTCCTTCGAGAAGGACATGGGTCCTGCTGCCCAGAAGAAGCAGTAATCACTTGTACATGATCAATGAGCGCTGTTCATGTATCAAACATCCATGCGGGATGATGCTTGTATATCAGATTATGGAGTTCGGGTTTCTTTGGTGTGACTTGATGAGAGGAATAGTATCGGCATACAACGTTGCGAGCATGAATTGTAGACAGATCATAGGGACGAGGACCTAACTTTATGGGTCTCGATCCAAGTTTATTGAGTGCTTTTCTAGATGCGATTCGAAGCTGTAATAAAGATTCAACGCCAAACTCCGTCGTGACACCTCCAGTCATGAACACTAGATTCTTCAACTAGCGGTTATGCATCCAAAGACTTTTCCAGAGTAGAACTTGTTCGTCTCTACACCAAGTGGCTGGGCAGCAAGAAGTTGGCGATGCCCTCCTTGACAGCATACTCATGCCCACAGCTTCCACAGACAAGCTTGCCCTCAGACATTTGCGTCTCGAGGAGGAGATGGTGAAGATCCTTGAGAGTCTTGTCATCACCCTTGAGCTCAACTGCAGTAGGGGCCTGCTCAGGGAGTTGAGGGAAACCCAGCTGTAACATAAAATGTCAGGAATGTGTTTCAAACATAGAAATCAAGTTTCATCCGGGTCAAAGCTGGAAACTCACCTCAGAAGCTGTCGTGCGAAGAGCCTCCCAGTCTAGACGGGGCAGCACGTTGATGATCATGTCAGGGTTCAACTCAATGTCGTCCTGGACGAGTTCTGCATCCTTGGGGTGAAGGGGATATGAGTCCTTAGAAGACTTGCAAGCCTTGACGGCGCAGGTGAGGAAGTTGAGGCTAAGAACCTTCATTTTGTCGTCTTGTAACAGGTGGTATCGTGTAAATGGGTAAGAGCCGTATAAGATATGGAAAGCCTTGTTTATCGTTGTCTTGTACTTACACAACTTTTTTTTCTTCTATGGCGGGGGAGCCTCTTGGAGGTGAGCCACCAGCCCCACGTGACAGGGGTCCGTCCTGCAGTGGTAGAGTTATATTACGAGAGCTAGAGTTTACTGCATAATTGGAGTTGGTTCATCACACATTGACAGATACGAGGCGATTGACATCAAAGAATATTTGAGTTTGGAATGTCAGGTATTGTATTGTCTTGTCTTGTTCTTTATATAAGACCGGGTCTCGAGTCGCTTAGAATCGAGAGTGCTGTCGGGCGCTGCGGAGACCAACAAAGAGGACACCAGCAAAGATGGCGAAGAGGCCAGCCTTCTGCATAGGAGACCATCCAGTGGAAGCAACCTCTTCAGCAGCGAACTCAGATGTGCCGGCAAGGCCTAACGGGACAGAGGCTACGCATCAGCAAATCCTGCCTTTTTTTTTGGAAGTTTATCAACGGTGGCGAGAACGGACTGGACAAGTGCAATGTTGCCTCTTTAGAGCTCAACGTGAATACCTTCAGGGGGGACATCAAGCTCGCCGCTCTTGGCGATCTTGACAGCCTCGACGGGTCGGTCCGCCGCTCCGGTCTTGCTGTTCTCAATCTTCTCGATAATCTCGTAGCCCTCGAGGACTTCACCGAAGACGACGTGCTTGCCATCGAGCCAACTGTAGTGTTTGTTAGCATATGATAGGAATTGATTCGTTGGATATGGGTTTCGCTTACGAGGTGACAACGGTGGTGATGAAGAACTGAGAGCCGTTGGTGTCACGGCCGGCATTGGCCATGGAGAGAAGACCCTTCTTGGTGTGCTTGAGCTTGAAGTTCTCATCCTTGAAGCGGTCGCCATAGACTGAAGTTATTGTTAGCCATTGGACTGTTGGATCAAGATGATGCCATCACATACTGGACTTGCCACCAGTGCCGTCACCCTTGGTGAAGTCACCGCCCTGGATCATAAAGTTCTTGATGACGCGGTGGAAAGCAGAGCCCTCGTAACCGAAGCCCTTCTCACCAGTGGCCAGAGCGCGGAAGTTCTCAGTGGTCTCGGGGACAGTCTTGCCATAGAGACCCATGACGACGCGGCCGAGAGGCTTGTCACCCTGCTCAATGTCGAAGTAGACCTTGTGGGTGATCTTGGGACCCTTGGCAGCCTCGGCCGTCTGGGCGAGGAAGAGGAGGCCGAGCCCAAGGAACAGGGCCGACGCAAAAAGGCGACGAAGGTTGAACATGATTGCTGTGTCTCTGCCAATTGATGATGGTGCAAAGAATACAGAGCAGGAACAAAGAAAGGTTGGAAAGTCGAAGCTCGGAGGAGGGGACACTTATACCATAGACCGCTGACAGGGGCCGGGGGGAGCTGCACTGGCCCGCGCAATCCAGTATGGATTGAGGGACCTACCTAAACTGCGTGCAGATAATCCCCCCCACCATGACCGGACTGGGAGTGGAGAGCTCACCCAGCGTTCCAGCATGTTTCAGCGGCTAAAGCCACCACTGAAGGAAGTTCGTTCATTGGTGCCCTGCTCTTTGTTGGTGATTGAATTAACAGAAAATAATAAGATGTCTACAGCTACTTGGTGATAGAAATGTGTATTAACTTTTATGTCCGACGTCTTCTATCTCATGGAACTCACTTCACCAATTGACCCCACTCCCATCCACTGGAGCTTAGACAGGTTCCAGTGGACTCTCTCCGTCTTGTACCTTCCACCAAGACAGATTATAAAAGATTAACCCGAGTTTTACCGAATTGCCCATCTTTTTCCAATCGCACGTCAGGTCCGCTTGAATTCGAGATCGAGGCATGCGATTGTGATACCCACGATAATCCGTCACCATGGTACGTTTGCGCGAGTCTTTTCTTTTCTGAGTTAAATGTCATTAACATCGTATAGGTCTTCCTTCTTGGCGTCAACTTCGGCGAGCAGAAGCTCGTCAAGGTAAGTCCTTAACAACCACCACCGAATGCTCTTCATATCCTCACACGATCCTCCGATAGAAAGCCCTTGAGTCCTTCTACGCTCTCGGACCCACGACATCTGCCCGAATTATGGCGAAATACTCGATTCACAAGCTCGCCAAGGTCGGATCTCTCGCTCCCAGAACTGTCACTTCCATCACAGCCGAGCTATCACAAATGACGATCGAAACGGATGCCAGGCGCTTGGTACAAGAAAACATTCGAAGACTAAAGGATATGGGATCATACCGTGGTAGAAGACACGCAATGGGCCTGCCAGTGCGTGGTCAGCGAACAAGGACGCAGACAGCAACTGCCAACAGGCTCAACAGGGTCGAGCGACGAGGTTAAACGAATTATTGCAGGAATGGGCTTCTGGCTTTGTGTCTGAGAACTGGCATGGATGTCAAAATTACAATAGACTGGCATATAAAAATGCTATATCCCAAGGAGATCAAGAAAGTCTGGCTATCTCCTTGTTGTACAAGACTTGTATATACAGTGTACGATCAAATGGAAACAAACTCCGGAGCCGTGTTATTAATCGCGGTACTATAAGTTTTACGCACCCTCCACAGACGCCTGTTTTGCCTCCTCGAATTTCATCTTGGGCAGATCATCTTCTAGCGGCAGCTGTCCCTTGGCCTGTAGCTGAGCTGCAACAGTGTCTACTTCTTTCCATACTCGCAGCAGATTACCCCCAACAACCTTAGCTGCGTCAACATTACTGACGCCCTGTCGAAGCAATTCTGCGATCAAATCGGGGTACTTGGTAACGTCTTCAAGACCCTTAGGCACTGACGGAATGCCGTCAAAGTCGGTGCCAATACCGACGTGATCATATCCAATGAGGTTGCCGATATAGAGGATATGCTGAGCTGCGTGTGCAAGAGTAGAGTTTTGAGGGTAGAAGTCAGGAATGCCATTGTCCTTTCCAGTGTCGACGCAAGAAATGAAGTCAGGAGCAATGTTGACCATGACAAGAGAGTTACGCTCCTTGACGAGCTGTAGGACATTGTCCTTGACGTTTCGTGGATGAGGACAGACGCTGTAGGCTGAGCTGTGAGAGAAGATGATGGGGGCTTCAGAGCCGCTCCAGTCCTTTCCATCACCGAGAACATCCAGCATAGTATCCTCACTGTTGAGGTGTATTAGAGATGTATTTATATGTGTAAGATGGATGCGACATACCTGACATGTGAAAGATCAACAATCATGCCAATGCGGTTCATCTCGTGAACGAGCTTGCGACCAAGAGGACTAACACCTCCCCATAGAGGCTCAGCCTTGCGAGTTGGGTTTTCCAAAACAGCAGCATCAGCGAACTTGTTGTGGCAATTATGAGTTAGGGTAGCATAGCGAACACCAAGTTCATGGAACTTGCGAAGGTTGGCTGCTTTGTTGCCAATCTGGTGTAGTCCCTCAATGCCGAATGGCGATATCAGTTTGCCCTGCTTGAAGGCCTCAAAGGCGTTAGAACTGTCGACCTTCTCGGAGAAATGACTGGGATAAGCTGCCTGCAGCCTAGTCATGACATCGATCTGGTCCAACGTAAACTGAACGCCTATGATTTGGTTAGAAAAATCTCCATTAACAGGAAATTGGAGAGACTAACTGGAAGCATAATTCCCATCAGAGAAGTCAGAGTCATTTGATGGGCAAGGGGCGAAGAGACTCCAGAACGCGCCGCCACTCTGGCCCTTACGAAGGCGATGCAAATCTACATGCCCAGGAAGTTCACCTTGCTCAAAAGGCTGAGTAAAGTTCTCATCATAAATTTGGTTGCCGTATGCGAAGCGCAACACTATTGGGAAATCGACATGACCGTCTAAGTGCGTCTCGTTAATACGACTGTAATGGCAGTCAAGTGAGAGATGAAGTCATACCTATCAGCGGAGTGGTTGTGAGAATATGACGTGCTCGCTCTTCAGGAGATCGAAGACCATTGCCATAGCGAGGAACGCCATTGTAGCGATTGCTAACTGGCCGATGTAATAGACTGAGTCCCAGGAGGGCAAGAAAGATGGCCAAGATAGCCCTTCGAGGTGTCAATTTTGGCGAAGATGGAGGCTCGTGATACGAATTGTTATGAAGCTGAGAGAGTAGTCCTCCCTTGACTGATCGGTTTGAGCCCCTGGACCTCGAAGGCCGAGTGGTGTTGTATGATAGGAGAGGTTCCTGCCGCCCCATTGTGAATATGACAAATGAAAGAGAAGTATGCGATAAACAAGACTAATGACAAAGGTGAGTTAGTAGTGTTCGCTACCTAAGTAAGTAGGTATGTATGTTGAATGAAGTAAAGATAGCGACGTGACAGGGATGAGATGAGACGAGAGGTTGACGCCCTGGAACCTCGGGCTGACAAATATGGTATGCTTCAGTTAAAGTTTAACTCGGGGGTTTTCAAGAAAGTATTTGGAGATAAACCGAGATTATGGGAGTTGAATTCAGAGAAAGCACGTATATCATTCAATTGGTCTAGTTCTTCATCGCATTCATTCGCATCTGCCGGGTGATACGGGATGGCCTCACGCTCAGTGTTACTTTGATGACTTCCCTGCTTGGAGATGTCTGTTAAGGTCGGGTAGACGCTAGCCCAGGAACAGCGCCACAGGTCCTTACATTTAACAGGGGTCATATTCAGCCACGTTGCACAAATATTGTGCAGTCCGTACATGAACTACCGTTTTGTCACACCGTTTTGGAGAGCAAAGGCCGTTTTCACATAGCGCCGATCCTCGGAAAACGTGTATGCTCAGTTCCGGCGGGGAGTCAGGCTCTGACGATCTGTCAATGCAACTTTTTGGAGGGGCACTAACACGACAGAAACGCGCCCTCTATTATGGAAGAGCTGTCAAGTGCTGGAAAGTAAGCAGAGCTGGGTACCTGTTATCCTAAGCTTAGTATGAAGCTTAAGATATCTTTTAGTCATGTATTAACACTCCAATAATGTAAGACAATAACCACTTTTACATCTCCCTTTGAGCATTAGAAAAATTGGCCGTTAGAAGCATAAGAGACGAAATTAGTAGGTCAGCCTATGCTATTTAGATCAGACTTCTTAGGCTGTTTATTTTTGTACCCTAAGACTTAGAAGATGAAGCCTCCCAATTAGGTAAGGTTCAATCCACCGAGGGGCAGATACGGTAGGTAGCGCGGGGCATTCATATGATTCATTCTTAGACACCTTCTTTTCTCAAAATCCTCAGGACAATCGCCATGGCTCTTTCAAACGAGGAAAGACTCAGTCTCATTAAGGAGAACCTTGCGGAGGTACTCAACCCCGAGATCATCGAGGGCATCCTCGCCGAGGGCCGTAACCCCAAGATCTACTGGGGTAGGTTTAATCCTCCCTTGCGCGCCAGCGCCCACGCCAACCAAGCCAGACTGCTAACATCGGTACCCAAGGCACTGCGACTACCGGTCGACCTCACTGCGGCTACCTCGTCCCCGCTGTCAAGATTGCGCAGTACCTAGCTGCCGGATGCGAAGTCACCGTCCTCCTCGCCGATATTCATGGCTTCCTCGACAACCTGAAGGCTCCTATCGAGCTTGTCGAGAAGCGCGCCGAGTACTACAAGTTTGTCGTTGAGTCCATGCTCAAGTCCTGCGGGGTCTCTACCGAGCAGCTGCGCTTTGTCCTTGGTAGCTCTTACCAGAAGACCTCCGACTATGTTATGGACCTGTACAGGCTATCTTCAGTCGTTTCGGAGCACGATGCCAAGAAGGCTGGCGCTGAGGTTGTCAAGCAAACCGGCAATGCACCTTTGAGTGGTCTCATGTACCCTCTCCTGCAAGTATTGGATGAGCAGTACCTCGACTGCGACGTTCAATTCGGCGGTGTTGATCAGAGGAAGCTCTTTGCTGCTGCCACTGAGTGGTTGCCCAAGCTCGGATACCGAAAGGTGCGTCTTTAATATCTTGAGACCATAGTCTGTTACTAATCTGTAATCCAGCGCGCCCATCTGATGAACCCCATGGTTGCTGGACTCAACGGTAACAAGATGAGCTCCAGTGATGAGAGTATGTGTATTATATGAATTTATTACGACATGCGCTAACAATTTCATCTCAGACAGCAAGATTGATCTCCTAGACTCCCCTGAGGCTGTAGCCAAAAAGATTCGCAAGGCCGAGTGTGTCCCCAAGGAGGTTGAAGGCAATGGTGTCCTAGCACTCGTGGAGTATGTCCTGTTACCTGCTTCAGGCTTGAGAACAGGGACCCGGGAGTTCAAGGTCGAGAGACGGGATGCCGAGCCTCTCGTTTACAGCGACATCAAGCAGGTCCATGAGGACTACCGAAACGATGTGCTGACACCTCAAACCCTGAAGGCTGCGGTCACGGAAGGCATCCTTGCCCTGATGAACCCCATTCAGGCTGATTACCAAGCCTCAAAGGAGTGGCAGGAGGTCACTCTCAAGGCCTATCCCCCGCCTGTGAAGAAGGAGAAGAAGGTCAAGAACTTGGGAACACGATTCCCTGGCGCCAAGGGCGGTAAGGGCGAAGCGGCCGAAGTGACCAAGAAGGCCGAGGACCTTACAATCAAGGATGTACAGGAGACTCAAGCTAACCCAACCGCATAAGATAACAAGAATATAGACGAAAGACAAAATAAAACAGGAAATGATTATGATTAATTGATGATAAATTACCTAAAGATTTTATTTAGGTTTTAGGATAAATTTGACGTGACGTCTTAAGAAGTTTGCTTACATGCAATGACACAGATATGGCATTTCAGGGCGTAGTTTGTCTCGACAAATTGGTTCTCAGAAACTAGATGGATAGTATACATTGAAATAAAGTTATGAAATTATAAATTAATGTCTTTTGAGACCTTCTCTCGACGCAACACCTTTACAACATGGAGCTTGTCGCTTTTTATGCCCACCAGTATGTACCTAGTTACCATATATACCTACTAACCAGTAAGAGGTGATATGCTTATTGCTCATTCTCAAAGCAGCAAGCATCGTAGACGGAGTAGTACCATGAATCCCGACCCTCAAATCCCATGTCAGAGATGTCGGCTTCGTAGAGTTCGCACTGGCCACTTGTAGTAATACCAATGGCCTCGCACTCATCATTCGCTTCGCAATCAGCCTTGCATTCTTCGAGATCCTGGTCGTAAACAACATCGAGGAGCTTTCTGACGCTCTTGGTAAGGAATCCCGTCTTGCCGCAGGCGAGGTTGGACTTGTTTGCACAGCTGGAAGTGGAGGCTTCGGATGTTGTGGTGGAAGCTTGAGATGTTGTGGCAGTAGGCTCGGAGGTAGTTGTGGGAGCGGCAGTGATTGAAGGAACATCCTCAGCTTGCGAGGTAGTTGAGGGGGCCGAAGTAGTGGCGAGAAGAGTTGAGCTGTTCTCTTGCGTGGTGGAAGGAGGAGAGGATGTGGTCTCCTGAGCAGTAGTGGTAGATTCGACGGCGGATTCGGTGGAAAAAGAATCTGAAATAACAGAGGTAGTCTCTGCAGCAGGGTAGCCAGTTGTAGTGGTCTCGTCATCAGCGGTGACAGGTATGGCCTTGGTCTTTTCAGAGCTGGTAGCTTGTACAGCAGTAGTAGAAAGAGAAGCATCGGTTTCAAACTTGCTCGCAGCATCAGAGTATACGATAGAAGTCCCAGCGGTAGGTTGAGCATATGCGGTAGTGGTCACCTGAGACTGGACAACAGAGCTTGAAGGAGGATGAGGTCTACAAGGGCCAGCTTGAGCTCCAATGGTAAGACCAGCCACGAGGGCAGTGATGATAGTGTTGATGGAAGGCATGGTGAATAGAGTAGATGTGAAGCAAAGTATAGAACAGAAGTGAATAGAATGAACAGGTGAATGATGATGATGAGATATCCAACAGTGAAAGAGTGAACTGGAGGGTCTCTATATAGTAATAAAGAATGAACGACTTGTTTGACAACAAAAACCAGAAACGAATTGATATCGCCCTTGAGGGGATACAGGCTCCTTTAAAAGGGAGTTTGAACTACCACTACCACTACCGATACACAACCCTCAAGATTGAATACAATAAACGCCCCGTTTGGAAACCAACAATCCATCAAACTTGTTCAGCTCGGTCCCTTTTTGGTGGAAAGCGATTAAGTTCCCCATCTGAACGATGCGTCGAAGAAACCACTTACACAACTTGACTCCCTAGCGTCATGGCACACGTCGAGAGTGGGGGACGCAGGTCCCCAAAGCTAAATATTGAAAGAAAGACGGCCAATTATTGACTCTCAAAGAGGGAGAGGGCGCCAACAAAGGGCACTAACTTTCAAGGGAAACTCGTCTGTCTGTCTTGGCCGAGGGTACCGGAAATAAATGACTCTTTTGTCTTTACCATGTTGATCGTACAGCGCTAACGTTACATGGACTTTATTAGAAAAGGCGGTACTACTCTGCTGTAATGGTGATCCGAAGCTGAAGATGTTGTTGAAACATTGTCATGTAGATCATGATCTGCAACGTTAAAATATCAGATTTATGTGGTACCCGCGGAGTATAAGGCTGAGCCAAGTTGTTAATATGGAACTCGATGGCATCTGGTGTTACTATGTCTCCTATATAATAAATATGAGACTCCCCAGGGTAGAAGCTACCAAGGCCACAATTATTGAATATTTTCCATGATAGCCGCCCGAAGAGATCAGATCAGCTCAGCTACCAAGACTTTCAAACCGACCAACATGCATCAAGTGGTCTTTGCAGATCCATGCATGCACATAATGTCAATAAAGGCTCTCCTTCCTACATCTCATTTTTGTTTGTCTTCTTTTGACTGAAATTAGAATCTTGGCTTTCATCAAAATCGATAAAGAAAAGTCTCTTAGACTCTTTGACTCAGCCTTTGTTCAACCTAGCCTAGGGTCTTTCGGGCAATTACACCGTCACCTACCTACACTACTAAGACGCCTCCCCACTTCACCACATCATGGGTCACTCATTCACCGACCTATCTCCAGAGCTATTTCGTCAGATATTCGGCTACTTTTGTCTGCACTGCTGCGGCAAAAGAAGAGACTATCTCATCGAAGACCCCGTAGACTTGGCGGAGAATTACTGTAAGGACCGCAAGGTGCTTGTGGCGCTATGTCTTGTCAACAGACGCTTTCGCGATTTTAGCCAGCACATACTCCATCATGTGTTCCTCATTGCGCCTTCAAAACCTGGCCTTGTGCGACAGCCTTCGGTAGAGACATCATTGGCTTCTTTTATAAGGACCATCGCTTCAAAGCCTCATCTTGTCACGGCGACCAAGGCGGTAATCTTCTTCCACACACTGGAGGCGCCAAACGCTCGATTGGACGACGCGCAAAAGGCATTTAAACATGTTGCTGAAGCCACAGGAGTGCAACCATCAGATATTTGGGACCGAAGAAAGAACCTGGCGCCTTACCGCGATGACTTCCTTCGGGAACTGATACTTGGCAAAGCCCACTCTCGATGCACTTCAGAGGTAATAGAGTGGCATGTGAATACTCTGGCGACTGAGTTGTTGTTCATTCTCATTGCCCTGTTACCTGACCTCCCACATCTGGCTCTCGATGTCTCGATCCATCAGACATTTGATCAGATAGAAGCGCTCAAAGCTCTGGGGGTCTCTCATCTGTCGCTAAAAGCCATAGAGATCAACGGCGCTTTCTATACAGTATGGCTCTCGTCACAGATCCTCATCCGCTCACCAGATCTTGAGACTTTGTGTTTGTATCATGCGACATCGCTGCCCGACATACCGAGTCTCAAGGCCCTTCATCTTCGCAGATTTCGAATGAGTGTCGACCAACTTAAATCCATGATTTCTTCCTGTACTGGTCAACTGAGAACCTTTACATACGAGGCTTCGGAGATAGTCGCCTTCCACGTTGATGAAAACTCCCCTTTCATGATACAAGCTTGCGATGCTGTCAAGGTTCTTGAAAGATATAATACAAGTCTTGAGTCGCTTCATCTTGACCTCCGTATCCGGATTCATATGAGTCGAGATACGAAGATTGGGCCAATGCCAAGTCTGGAAGGCTTCACAGCGTTACAGGAACTATTTATCAACACTGACGCAGTATACAACACTCAAAGCCTCGAGTTACAGCTGCCTGATGACGTGTCACTCACACGATTTCTCCCTCCCAACATCATGTCACTTCATATTGTGGAACCTGACCTTCCCTCCTCTTCTGAACGTCTACAAAAAGGACTGGTCGGTCTTGCAGATGTGAAGAGACTGGATCCGAGTCGGTTTTCCAAGCTCAAGCAAGTAACATGCGATACCAAGAAAATATTTGAAGAACACTACATTAAGAATGCGCTGTCCGAGGTAGGGATTGATTTAGTTTACAAAGAGTTCCCGAGGCCGGATTGGAGCTACGATCGAATTCCTTTTTCGGTTTTGCTTGATGAGTACCGGAAAGAGTTTCAAATATGTGGTGATATGCCACTGCCAGGCGAATTGTCTGATGATGATTTGTAGTAAGAATTTAGCCCAATAGAAACACAAATCACAGGTTTATAGAGGCATGTTTCAACTTTAATCAGTACTGCATTTTTTTCTTATGTATGAACCAAAGTCGTGGGGTGCTTGAGGGCCAAGAACTAGACCCCGAACAAGTGCTGAGGTGAGATGGATCCAGACGAGCCCCTGCTGCAGGACTCAACTGGTACTTTCGTCGACATAAAGATTTGATTTCAGGGGGCAACTTGCTTTTTGTTTATCTATACAACAAAACAGCGGTATCAACGATTGGAAATTCAAATGCCACCTAGGAACGGAGTATCCGTACTCATCGTCATGGGAGATGATTGATAGTCCAAGACCCCTGAATTAACCCAGGAATAATTTCTGAAACGTTCAGTGCCTCTAAAATTAGGTTCCCGTCCCCACCATTTACGAGGGAGCTCAGGGGTAGTACAGGGCAGTCGATAACCCAGGTGGTTGGAAGAGTCTAAAATCCACTAACAAAGGTAAGCTGCCCAGTCAGAGGCCTCTGAAACTGACACAAATACCGCTTCCGTCTGTTTCTGTCTCTGGCTGTGGCTTGTGACGTTCCAAACAGTACCTGGCTGACGACTTTGAGATTGGCGATGACAAGGGAAAGAAACTTGGTTATTAGAATTCAGTTCAATGCCGCATACAAGCTCAATCACTACATGATAGAAACCAAGCTCAGACTGTGCATTGACTTTCATCCATGTCAAATGGGTTACTCTTACGGAAATCCGCATGGACTCAATCATCGTGTTGGCTGTTGGAAGGGAGGAAAGAGAGACAAGATCCACCTACTCTTGTCAATTCGATCATGATCCTTCTGCCTTATCCAGTACCTATATCACACAAGACTCTGTCTATTCTCACCCAAGCTCTTCAACTGTGTCTTCTACTCCTTATCACTTTTCTTTCGTCCTACTGTGATATGCATACAAAAGGAGTTGATATGTACCAAAAGTCCCTTGCTCATTAGCACCCAGACGTCACCACCACCAATACTTACAGCGGATGCCAATGCCAATCAAGCGCCAAAGCCCGAGCCAGCGCCAGCCACCTTCAAGCTAACAAGACAAGCCATCATCCCAATTTCACCCACACAGACCCCAGTTCGCAAGATTCTGGTCCAGTCAATGCCCTGCTCGTTTCTCCCCATTCAGCCTTGCTTGTCCTTACCAGCCGGTGTCAGTGTCAGCCCAAGCCAAGGGACAGAAAGTTCGACGAACCAAAGACCAAGCTCAAAAACACTGCACTGTACGGTGCATTTTTTTCTCTCTCTATCTGTCCATACATACGCCGCAGTCTAGTTTAGCTGTTCATGCTTACCCCCGATTCGGAATCCCTGATTCTCGCACAACAATATCCAACTTCTCAACTCTACTGCCCCTGCATCGGCAGTAGCCGTCTCGCGAACCTAGCCTACGCCAGACAGAGACACGCAGCGGATACGACAAACGGCGACGATCATCTGTCTGCACAACACCACACCTACGGCCACCTCCTTCGACCGACATTACCCCCTAAATACACGACGATCGCGACGACATTCTCTGTCACGGCCGCCCTTACCTCAACCGTCACATTGCGAACCACTCATTCGCAACTCCCCCACCGCTAAAACGAAAGAGCTTAGGGCTCTGATTCTTGTTCTGACAAAAACAACAACAGGAACCGCATAACCACCACATCAATCGAAGGGGCCGGACAAGGCAGACCATCATGCCGGGGTTTGCTGATTCCTTCTGGTCGAGCGACTATGCTGCAGGACTAGGTGTCCTGTTCACCAAGCTGCAACAAGGTGTCCATGAGAATAGACAAGTTCTGACTATCGCACGTCTACGTGCCGAGGCCGAGGAGACTTATGGCCAACGCCTTGGTGATATTGCTCCTGCTGCTGATAAGATCGCTGGTGGCTTCAGTCGCGATGATGGGGCTACCGTTCGTAAGGTGTGTGAACATATGTCACTTCTGAAAGCGCTCTTTGCGTGCGCCGCCGATTTGCTATGCGATATCAGCGCCTTTTTAACCAAGTGTCCCAACTAATGAGTTTATAGGCATTTGATGGCATGCGAAATGAAATGCAAGATGCTGCTCGTAACCATCGTCGCATCGCCCAGAGCATCCGCGACCTAGTCGTCAATCCTTTCTCCCGCTGGTGCGACTCTCACGAGGCTCGCATCCAAGATTCCCAGGATGAGTTGCAGGTCCGAATCAAAGCTCACGACCGTCAAGCTGAGGCTGTCAAGAAGCTCCGATCCGTATATTTCAACAAGTGCCGATTAGTTGAGGATCTCGAGGAGGAGAATAAATTGGCTTTCCAGGATCCCGAAACCAGCCCCAAAGCTGGCCAGAACATCCCCGAAATCAAGGTCCAGCCGCACAAGGAAGAGGAGATCGAGGAAGAGGAGCTTTATGAGATTGGCGACGACACTTACCAGCCCGAACAAGTCAAGAAGATTATTTCCCAAATGCTCTCCAGCATCAAGATGGGCGAGACCAAGGTGCCAATTCTGGGAACGTATCTCAACACTTCTTCCGGTTCCGATATTGTCGAATATCTGCAGCGAAGTATGGGCAACATCAACGTCACTTATGCCGAGCGCATTGGCCAAGATCTTGTCAACAACGGTTTCCTGCGACTCATTGGCAATGTGGGCAGCACATTTGCCAACAGCTCCAAGATGTTCTACCAATGGCAATCCAAGGCTTTCACAATGGCTGGTGTCCCCGAAAAGAAATCTATCAACCGCACTTTCTCGCTTGCTTCCACCGGATCTGAAGGCGCCGAATCTCCTGTTGGAACAGTCAGCGAGTACCTGGCCAACTGGAAAGTTCTCAACAACTCTCACCCGAACGAGACCCCTAGCCAGCGCATGCAACGGGAAGCACGTGAAGCTGACGAGAAGTACCGCGAGGGCGTTCGTAAGCTTGATGAGTTGCGATGCGAGCTTGAGGAGGCGATCCATCTCCATCTCAAGTTCCTTGAGCGATGTGAGCTTGACCGCCTTAAGGCCGTCAAGACGGTCATCCTCGACTTCTCGGGCACTATCGGAAATGTCATCCCCAGTCTGCAGTCTACTGTGGACCAGATGATGCTCTTTCAAGAGACCATTCAACCGCAAAATGACCTGCGGTACCTGCTGGAGAATTATCGCACTGGAAGCTTTGTGCCCAAAGTCGTGGTGTACGAGAACTACTACAACAAGGTGGATGAGCAGACGTTTGGTATTGATCTCGAGGCTCGTGCTAGGGCTGATAAGAAGCGAGTGCCCATGATTGTCACAACTATCTTGACCTATCTGGATCACCATTACCCCGATCTTGAAGGCGACGAAGCCAGGCGCGGCGTGTGGCTGTTGGAAGTCCCGTTGTCACAGTCACACCGCTTACGTGCCAAGGTCAACGACGGCAAGCCTGTTTCTCCTGATGTTTTTGATGAATTTGATATCCCCACGATTGCTAGTCTGCTCAAGATCTACCTTCTGGAGCTTCCCGGTAAGAAAGACTTTCCACAAACTTGAATCGTAAAGTAGACTAACATTGTGTCAGATTCTCTGGTCTCCTCTCATGTTTACGAAATTATCCGAACTATTTATTCCACCCCCTCGACAGATGCTGACGAGTCTTCCCGTATCGCTGCTCTCCAGTCTACTTTGTCGCAACTCCGCCTTACAAACATTGCAACACTTGATGCTTGCATGAACCACTTCACTCGTCTTATCGACCTGACCTCTGCTGATGAAACCTATGTTGCATCTCTTGCCAGTGCCTTGGCACCTTGCATCTTGCGACCTCGAACCGAGACTTCTCTCACTATGGAAGAGAAGCATGCGTACCGATTGGTACGAGACCTGTTTGCCCACAAGGATGCGATCTTTAGCGCCCTCAAGCGCATGTCCATGAACCCCCACGCAGCTTCCGTAGGTAGCAACAACAGACCTCGAGCCATTAGTACCGACGAGAGCAACCGTAAGGCCCTCATGGAAGAGCGGAATAGGGCTCTGCTTGAAAAGGCCAGCGCAAGCCGAGGCCGTGATAAGAGCCCTGCCCCAGGCCCGCGCGGTCACCGCCGGGATCGTAGCACTGGTGGACCGGAGACCCGATTCCCTATCGCAAGCCCAACAGCAGCATCGGCTGTTGACCGACACCGTACCAGTCTTGGTGGAGTGATCAAGCGACAGAGTCTTGAGGTCCCCGAGCCCGATGGCGCTGCCCCCGTGAACGGCGAGGTAGAGAAGGATAAGTCTGATGCCGACTCAGACAAGCGTGATAGCCGTGACAGCACAGGACGAACACCGACCAAGTTTGTTGGCGGTAAGCGAGTTCCTGTGGTGCCATCGACTCCATCGACTCCGCCTTCAGACTCGACTCGTGGAGTGCAACTCGAGGATGCTCCGATGGAAGACTAGATGTACGCCACGGAACCGAGTTACAGCCCATGATCGAAAGGAAATGTTTTGGTCAAATCGGACGCAGATACGCCCTCATCTTGAACGGAGTTGGGAATTGGTATATAGCGAGGCTGAAGTTATAGAATGGAGAGGGTCGGGTTTAAGGCAACGTCGAACGACTCGGCCACCTACCCATGTGTATGTGTTAATGGAACATGAGTAAAAAAGAACAGTCATTGTACTTTTTTCTTTGATCTATGGTTTCTGGATCTGGTCTATTTTTGTATTTATGTTGTATCATGATATGACGGCGATTCCCTATTCGTTAAGAGACTTGTTTTAAATACGTCTTGACATTCTACAGTATGAGACAGTTAGCGAATACATTATGACTTGGTACGCGAAATAAGGTCAAGATTTTGATGCTTATTATTATTCAGCTTGCTTTCCCTCCTCCTTCTCGTGTCTGGGCGTCCCTTTTATGCTATCAAATGCTTGTTCAGTCTTCTAACCGGCTTGTATCCATCTCATTTCTCTCCCAAGGTCTCCCTACTCATCCTGAATCTCGGCAGCTCGCGGCGCCTTCTTCTTCTTCTTTTTGGTCACAGCCACATCGCCTCCAGACGCGGGTGACTCGACGCCGCGAGCACTACTATCATCTCCACCTTCATCTAGGGCCATAGCACGAGGTGCCTTCTTTTTCTTCTTTTTGGGCTTGGCCTCTTCGCCCTCTGCTCCTTCGGTAATGGCATCCTTCTTTGGCTTCTTCTTTTTCTTCTTGATGACAGTACCTTCAACGTCAACACCCTGCGCTACGTCAATACGCTCGTTTGCGCGCTGCATCTCGAGACGGAGTCGTTCGACTTCCTTCATAGCTCGTTGCATCTCGGCATCTTCGCGCTGCTGCTGCTCGTAGTCCAGGCCAGTTGATGGTTGTCCCTCCAAACTGAACGACCCAATGCCGCTTGAGTCCACACCGAGTAAGCCCTGCTTTATCTTGGTCTTGGGCGCCCTGGACTTGGAAAGGCTGTCTGAATTGTTCTCCGAGTCATAAGATCGGAGACCTCCACTTGCACTGCCTTCAAGGGTTTCATCGGCTGCGATAACAACCTTTTGTCTTGGTTTCGGCTGCGGTCGTGGAGGCTGTGCGGCAGGAGTCCCGGCTCTGGATAGATCCAATTGCATGATAGGTATAGAGTCTATGTCCAGATCGGGGCCGTTGCTGCTCTGGAGGATGTTATGGATAGGAGTCGAAGTGCGGGGAGTCTCGTTGCTGGGGATATAAAAGGGATCGTCTCTGTTGCGCTCGACACGTTCTGCCTTTCTTCGGGCAACGATATCCGCGTCCAGATAAGTCTCCTCGTCGGCTTGTTGATAGGAACTCACGTAATCCTCTTTGGGTTCAGCTATCCTATTAATGGCCGGTGCAGATGACTCGATGCTTGTAGGCGGGGGCCTTTGGTGATAGTATGTCTCGAATTCGTCCGACTCATCGGTAGTTAATGTGATGGAGTCGGCTTCCGATAGCAGCTTGGCCAAGTTTGCATGAATTGGTTCATCCAGATCAAGTCCTGACGGCACTGGAACGTTTAATTGAGCATCCTTGGACACCGAGTTAAGTTCCCAGCCGTTGAACAAGGATGGGATGGCCTGGGTCAGAAGTAAAGGCGGGTCTTGGTCAACTTCATCTGTCGAGGCTGGTTGGGACGAAGCAGCCTCAGCCGTGAGCTTCAGTAGCTCTGTGAACTCGACCGCTCGCTCTTGAACCTCAAGACTAGGGTGCAATGCCAAAGGCTCAAAGACATGGATGATGCGTGCCATGAGCAGTGATATCCTTGACTTCCTCTCTGCTGTCCACGGCTCACTCTCATCTCCAACTATAGTCGCAAAAACCTTGGTGACGGCCTGCAGAGTTGTCGTTAAAACTTCAGAGCTATTTACCCGGGGGATAAGTTGTAACAAGCCATTCAGACCTTCGTCTGTAACGGCTAGTTGTGAGGCGTATTCGCCCATTATCCAGGCTACTGATTTCAGCGCACCCGAAGTAATGCTATATCCTGGTGGTGTATCGGTATTGAGCTGGCCGAGGATAATCTCTGCTGCTCTCACAGCTGTCGACCTCATCACTCGAACCTTGACAGCAACATTGCGCAGCTCATCGCCAATTTTCTCCGAGACATTAGCCCTTGCCTTATCCGTCGGGCCTGAATCATCGTCAACCTTGCGAGGTGTTGGTGCCATGCGGACAAGTTGTGTAAGAACGTCGATGTACCAGTCAAAATCCAAAACACTTGAGTAGTTATCCTTTGAGCACATGCTAAGAATTCTTCCAATGACGTCGATTCGATAGTCGTCGGGCAAAGGAATCGATTCAGTCTTGGGCTTCGGGATCGGCTCTGCGAACTCATCCTCGGATTCATTGAAATCGTTAGGAGGGGTCCCTGGTTGAGACTTATCCCGGCTGGGCATAGATAGCTTGAGCTGCTTCATGAGGCGGCTGACGATGGACATCAAGTTATCGCCAGTCACCATACCCTGTACTAGGTCAAGAGCCTGGATTCGGATCGTGATGTCGGGACTGTCAATGCACTCCAGAATCACATCCTCCTGCTGAGATACTAGATAAGGATGTGTCGTAACAATCTTGTTGAACGCTAGAAGAGCAACATATTTGACTAGATATGGTTAGTTCTCGTCCCGATATTTGCACTGTTGCACTCACGGTTGGGGTCGCCATCTATCATGATCATGCCTCGCAATTTGTTGACGCAGAGTGTAGCAATCTCATCAGTGCCAGAATCATCGGAGTTCCCTAGAATACCACCTTGGATGATTCCATTGATACACTCGTATAGTAGAGACATAGCGGGTGTCGTTCTAATAATATTGGTCAAAGGAGGCAATAGCTTCCTCACAAGTCGCGGTTCTAAGGGCGTTAAAGTAGCGAACTATCGAAGTCAGTAGAGTAGCGAGATAGTAGCGACAGCAAAGCACGTACGAGTTTGATGAGTTTGATGGCCATCCAGTTATTACCACCATCAACCAAAAGCTCGAAGAGCCGAGGAGCCAAGGGCAGGAAGTCATTCGGTCTTCGCCAACCAAGCTCGCAAACCACATTGACGATGGCCGCCGTGACACTTGGGTCCTCATTAGGGTCCATGAGCCGCTCCTTGATCTTGGGCCATGCCGCTCTAAGAGCTTCGGGGTACACCAAAGCGAGACGATAAAGTGTCACCAGCGTCTTCTTTCGAATATTCGAGTGGCTATGGCTAAGTCGTGGTAGCAAGTCTTGCAGTGTTGAGAGAGCCAGGGAAGGAGTAATGACGTGGGGAAGAGTCGCAATGGGAAGAGATATAACTGTCGGTGTCGTCGTGCCAAGGTCCTGAACAATCATGATTAGCGAAACTGATGCTGATGAGCACAATCTGATGTCAACGAACCTTCTTCAGCAGATTAGTAGCCAGCATCAGAACCTCGGTGTCGGGCCTAAAACTCTGGACAGCTCCCAGATATCCCACTCGCTTCTGGTGGTACTTGGGCGACGACATGACCTCAAGCACATGAAACGACGCCCACGACATGTCATGCCCAACCATTTCCAAGTAGATGAGCTTCAGAAGCGCCGTTGCCTTAAGATCTAACCACCTAATGTCAGCGACTAGCCTCATCAATGTAGCTCTAACAAGGTATCAAACGTACCCATATCCTGGCTGCGAACTTCGGCGCGGCACTCCTTGAGACTCTTCTGAATATACTCCTTCTCATTGCCCTTGTGGTTCCGTAGCCCCCGGATGAGGTCGTAAAGTGACTTTTCAAACCTGGCGCAACATAGTCAGCGCCTGTCCAAGATGTTGATATTCACAGCTTCAATTCGGCCTACATGTTGAGAAGCTGCCCCGCGAGCGTGGGGTCGACCGTTGGAGGAAGTGCTAAGGTATTTAGGTGATAGGGACGTAGTCTCAGGAGCTTCGCAAGGGAACGATCGACCGGCGCATCTCGTATATAGTATTGTCGGTAGGAGGAGGATGCTCTGGTCAGCAGTGAAGGGGGGTGGATATCGCGTGCTGCTGAGATGCTATGTTATAGGTTGGTGTTGAGTACGTATCTGTACAGTAGCAGCGCCTTTACTGTTCGAGCATGACGGAATCAATCCCTACCGCCGACCACCGCCCTTGACTCGGCAACCAGGACGGCCCGAGTTGGGGAGTCTCTACAGTAGTGTAATCCCCTAAGAGCCTAGCGGGTTATACTGAGTTAGGTGGGGGCGTCCAACAGAGCCTCAACACCATCATAGATTTTCTACTTTACCTATTTTCCTCCTTGTCTCAACGATTCATTCTTGACTGCGGGACCATGGCCTTTATAAGACGGTGACATTTCGATATTAAAAATTCAATCAACACTATAACCGTTTTCAATGGCTATTTGTCTCCTTCCACGCCGGGCGATTGTCCCCCGCCCATTGGCTTCCATATCAAACATCACCAACCTCACTTGCGCCTCAACACATCTGCGCCGCTCTTTCATCTCTCTTCCTTCCTCAGAACCCCAAAGGTTGACTGCCCACCGCATTCTGCCATATCCTTCTGAACCCCTTTACGATCTCATTGCCGACGTCGACTCCTACTCTTCTTTTGTTCCATACTGCTCCCGCTCTCGAGTAACTCGCTGGTCTGATCCTGACCCAACCACTGGCCGGCGGTATCCTACACTCGCCGACCTGCATGTTGGCTGGGGAGGATTTGATGAAATCTTCACAAGTCGGCTGCGCTGTGTACCAGGTCAATCCGTTGAAGCCATCAGTGGAGAGACTGTCCCGGGCGGTACAGGGCCTGATGCATCAGCCGTCTTCCGGAGCTTAGTGACACGCTGGTCCGTAAGGTCAATTGCTGGACCACCTTCACCACGTACAGAAGTCCATCTCGCCATCGACTTTCAGTTTACCAACCCCCTCTACGGCGCTGTAAGTGCCGCAGTATCCGACAAAATAGCAAGCATGATGATAGAGGCATTCGAAAAGCGAGCATTTAAAAAGTTGAATTCGCAACGAAAGCTCTAGGCTATTTCGTTGCTACCCCCCTCTTCCGTTACCTACCTCGGTATTCAGATATTTTTAAGTACATATGCATAACATCTCACTCAAACATAGACATGGTAGCTGAGCAATCGCAATCCTATCACAATAACCAAGTCAAAATTCTAAGGTTAACAACATTCTGCATACTCCAATCATTCTACATAACGCGTGTCTAGAACAGCCCTGTCTATCCAACGAGCTGGTCCGCCATATTCAAATCAAACATGAAGTAAAAAAGAGAGGCGTCATCTTTGCGCCAATACCCGAACTTTAATCACTTCGGCCCTGTTTCTGCCAGAAGAATGCCAAGTTCCCAACATTGGATCGTTCGTTCCCTTTCCATAGTATCGTCTTTCGAATCGCATCATCATACTCCGATCCACATGCATATAGGACAATTTGTGACGCCTTTGCGATATGAAACGCTAATCGTGAGTTGGGAAAGGACCAAAAATCCGCTCTCATTTTTTCCAACTTGAAAAACAAAACAAACAAAACAAAAACAAGAACAAAAAATCGTTTTCCAAATCAAGCCGGCAGCCGATGCCGGTGAGGTATCTGCTAACAAGTAAAAACTTTAATAAGACAAAACAAAATTGCATATTCATCTTCTCATGAAGCCATAAGTAGTGCTCTTCATTTCCTGCTAGACCTAAACAGTGGATGTTAGTACTGTGTGTGATTTATCATGGGGAAAGCCAGGGACTTACCTCTTCTTCTGGGGCTTGCCGAATAAGAACCCGGCCATGCCTGAACCGTGGTCCTTGGATGGCTTCTTGGACTTGCTTGGCTTGCCAGGCGCAGGGCTGACGGTAACAACATCAGGCACTGGCCCAGGATGCATGTCTCCATGCGACCATCCCGGAGCTGGTGGAACTCCTCCTCCTGGCATTCGGCCATGTGGAGGCATATTAGGTGGTCGCATACCTGGGGGCACACCCATACCCATGGGACGTCCAGGCGGGATGGGGATAGCGTGGGGATGCTTAGGATGAGGTCCAGGCATCTTTGGTCCCAACTGAGGCAACTTATCCATCGGCCACATCGTCATTGTAATTGACCAATCAGGCTGAACCACCTTTTCCCATACAGAGGGCAAGATGATCTCGCCATCAGGGGCGATGAGATCGTAGTGGCCTTCCATGACGTGAGGACCCAAGACATCAACCTGCATAAAAGCTTGCTTGATAAGGTCTTCCATACCCTGGACGAACGTTAGCAACAGAGTTTTTTTAGTTGACCAGAATCTGCATTACTTACCTGCCAAGTGGCGCATAGGTGAAAAGGGAAGCTGAACTTGCGACCAACGGCGTCTTTGAACCGAATTGGAGCCTTCTCCGCTGTCTTGTTGCTTTCCTCGAGCTTGGCCTTAGTCTCCTCTTCGATCTTTGCCTTGAGCTCTTCGGCAGCCTTCTTCGCAGCCGCCTCGGCGGCGGCTGCTTCTTCGGCCTTTTTCTTTTCATCTTCGATCCTTTTGAGAGTATCCGCTTCTGCCTTTGCGCGGGCGTCCTCTTCCAGCTTCTTGAGCTTCTCGGCTTCTTCGGCGGCCTTTTTTGCAGCATCTTCTTTAGCTTGCTGCTCAGCTCTCATGAGGCGCTCAGCTTCCTCCTGTGCCTTCTGCGCAGCAGCGGCCTTGGCTGCAGCCTCCTCCTGCAAAGCCTTTTCGAAACGCACACGTGCAAGCTCTTCGGCCTGTTTGCGCTCTTCCTCCTCTTTAATTCTCCTCTCCTCAGCTGCCCTCAGCTCGGCTTCGAATCTCAAGCGAGCTTCGCGTTCGGCTCTGACCCGCTCTTCAGCTTCCCTCTTACCACGTTCCTCGGCTGCCTTCAATTCTGCTTCATACTTTAGGCGAGCTTCCTCCTCAGCCTTAGCTTTGGCTTCAGCCTCTGCCTTGCGCTGTTCGGCAGCCGCCTTCATCTCAGCTTCGTACTTCTCACGGGCATCCTTCTCGGCTTGCGCACGAGCCTCAGCCTCTGCCTTTCGTTGTTCTTCGGCCGCCTTTGCAGCAGCTTCAAACTTTTTCCTGGCATCTTCTTCGGCCTGGATTCGAGCCTCGGCTTCAGCCTTTCTTCGATCTTCAGCGGCCTTCATCTCGGCTTCGAACCTGAGTCGCGCTTTCTCTTCAGCCTCTGCCATGGCTCGAGCATGCTCTTGCGCACGCTTCTCCTCAGCCTTTCGCTCAGCCTCCATTCTTTCCCGAGCTGCCTTCTCTGCCTCCAGTCTAGCTTTCTCGATTTCTTTCTTGGCCTCCTCCTGTGCCAATCTCATATCTTCCATTCTTCGATGGAAAGCTTCCTCGGCTTCTTTTCGGATTTGTGCCTCTGCCTCTTTTTGCTTCTCAGCAGCCTTTACCTTCTCCTCCATAGCTTTGAAAGCAGCAATCTCGGCTTCCAATCGAATCTTTTCTGGGTCCTCCTTAGGAGGAGCTGGCGTGGCGGGTTTGGCGGGTGGCTCAGTGGGGGCAGGAGGTGGTGGCGGCGACCGATGTTGTAGTTGCATCCCGGCCATTTGAGCCTGCAAGCTGTATGGGTGAGGCTGTACGGCACCATAGAAACCGTTTTGTGGTGGTGGTTGTTGTTGATAAGGCATCATGTCGTACATGCCTCTCCCTTCTCCACCATAGCCAGGAGCACCGTAGGGGCTGGTTGGGTCTCCGTAACCACCGAATGGCACCATTTGGCCATTCGCAGGGTACCCTCCTCCCATATAAGGTGCCATTTGATTCTGGTAACCGGGCTGCTGGCCTCTGCCATACATTGAGCCTGGACGAGGGGGGCGTGCCGCAGCCTGTGGATGTCCATATCCACCACGGCCAAGGGGGGCGCCATATCCATAAGGATCCTCCAGATTGGCGGTGGGCGGCGCCTGACGATCGCGGCGCTGTCGACGATGAGGTTGTCTAGGCTCCTCTTCAGGTGAGTAAAGATCCTGGGGAGGACCTGGTTGACGAGTCTGCAACTGATGCGACTGGTGAGGCGGCGGTTGACGAGAAGGCGGTTGATGGTGAGCTAGCTGTTGCTGCTGGTGAGGGGGGAATTGATGCTGTGGTGGGTATTGGTGGTGAGGAGGAAGTTGGTGCTGACGCTGAGCCGGTACGTGATGGCGATAATGCTGATCGTGGTCACTAGTTGAAGCAGAGTCGGACGGGCCAAGACCGTCGTCGTCGTCGTCGTAGTCGTCTTCGTCGTCGTACAGTTCGTCAGAACTATAGTCCTGGCTACCTGTTTCTTGAGAAGAGTCGTCGCTGTAAGTGTGTGAAGAAGTAGACGTCTCAGTAGGGCGACTGGCTGAGGTTGGGGCTCTGGAGGAGGGGCGTTGTTTGAGCCTGTTCAAAACAAATGTAAGCCAAGTGACTGAGCAGAATGCGCAAGGAACGAAGCGTTGATGTAAGAGAGACAAGTAAATAAAACTAAAGGGGGCGCAGTTGAGACAACAAGAAGGGTGGATATGAGAAAGTGAAGAGGGGAGGGAGGGGAGGAACGCAGACGCATGAAGATATGGGAAGGACGGTAGGTAATGGAGGGAGGGACACTCACATTGCAAATACTTGGGTGGGATGCCCTCTACCCACGACAATCCGTAAGAGACAGCCGGAGCAAAGGCGCTGAAAGTAAGTAGGTAAGAAAGAAAGAGGGCAGCAAACACAAGCAAGCGTTCAGCTGACAGGGCAGAAAACAATGCCGAGCAGCCCCCAAAGCAACGGAGGGAACGATGCGGGAGACGGAAGACGAGGTTTGTTGTAGCCGCAGTGCACCTCAGTAGGCAGAAAAAAATACACACAACAAAAAGCGTTGGTCTGGTACGAGGGGCGAGGAAGAACTGGACTTGCGCAACAGGCGTCGAGTGAGGGGTCAAATTTGAATTGATCAGTGCGCCACTTAAAGATGACGAGGGCGTGACAGGCGAGAGGTCGGCTGGTCACGAAAGCAGCGTAGTGAGACGGGGTAAATGCCTGCTTGTGAAGTGAAACTGGGTGCGGACTTGACAGAACAAGAATCGAGTGATGGTTGCTAATGGAGGAGGGTACCAAAGTTGTATCTAACGTAGCGAAACAAATAGAAGTGCTGTACGGCGCACGTTAGGATCAGGCGCAAAGAGCCCAGAGTAGTGTGGGCGGGGTGATGTGGATTCAGGCGGCGGCTGCGAGCAACGGTAGGATGGGAGCGGCAGAAATCGATCGGCGGTGAGGGGTTCCAGATCGTTTGCCTATGGGTCACTGGACAAAACTCCGGACAATATCTGGAATAGGCGTTAGATAATGGATGCAGACGTTATTCCCAAATGTTGGGCGTGGAGAATCAGTTGTTTTCGGTTGTAACAAGAGACTTCCTGAGCAGCGATTCAACTGAAACAACGAACGACCGTTGTATCGCAACGGTGAAAGCTTGTTGAACCGGAGCTGTGGGTGTGTGTATATATGCATACTTACTTTTTGGGTGTGTCCGTACCGTCTAAGTCTTTCAAAAGAGAGCCAACTTTCGTGGTCACAGGATGCCGATGTGAACTTCACTTTGTAGGCTAGAGGAAATTGATGTCTTCGACTAAAACGCAGCAATAAGTTAGTAAAACTGGGCACGAGGTGAAACCATTGTTGAGACGAAAATCATGAACAGTCAATATCCTGACTGGCTAGGATCTCTCCCTTGCATGAGCCCCGAGCAGCATAGCGGCACAGAAATCTTTTTCTGCGAACCCAAGTCCCTATTTGGCACAGCAGCCTGGGCATCATGTTGTGTGCGTGTTGTTTAGCTTGGCCCTAAAAAGAAAAGACAGCATGGAGTGAACATCAGCACAGTAGTCGAATAACGACGTTTCTGGGTCGTGAACCCGAGCCATGTGCTTCTCAACTGGACTTGCTGGGCACCAAAACCTCGTTCTTGTCTTGTCAGCCGCCCTGGACCTGGACCTGGACTAAGCTGGACTAGGGAACCCTGGTTCGTCGCCCTGTTGATGGAGTCAATGGGGACCCTGCTCAAGCGTGCTGCTAGGGCTCTAGCGCTCGTTGGGCTGGAGCTGGCGGGATGCTTGGGCTAAGTCATTGCAGTGGTCCATCAATTTAAGTGGTTGTGTTTGGAGCCGTTGTAGTCTTTAGCTCGCCAAACTCCCGGTTTATCCCAGGCTTCCGTAACCCACCCGTACCCATTTGTGCCTGTCAGGTCGCTATTCCCCGTCCGTTCACGTTCGTCTTTGTTGTAAGTCGGTGCTAGGGCGTTAAAATTTTGTGAAAGCGGTTGCCCAACCCGGTGTGGGGGCCAAAAAAAGACGAGCGAGCCGTCAGAGCCCAATGATATCGACGTCTATGGAAGGACCCAGAGTTATTGTGAGAGTGGTCGCGATGTTACAATAGGTAGGTACTCGACTGGACGTAGACGTGGCATCGCCGGGAGAGAACCAGACCGCAACGAGGTACGAAAGGTCTTAGCAGCATTGCCATTGCCATTGCCATTGCATTGCGTAGCGTATGCCGTAGGGTAGCGGGCATCGTCATGAATGTCATGCAGTCATTGACTTGCTTCCTGTTTCTGCTAAGCTACTGCCGGGGCATGTTTGCTTGCTTGCTGTTTTGACACAACCAGTCGTGATCACATGGGTCATCTTTTTTGGAGTTGAGCCCACCCCCAGATGCAACCTAGACGAGACAAGACAAGACAGGATGGGATGGGATGGGATGGACGGATGTTCATGCGGAGAGAGAGACCATTGCTAGAAGGAGAAAAAAAGACGCCGGTTAAGAATTCATTACATACCGTTTCGATATGAGTATCTTGAGATGTTGATGCTTGACAGATCTGATAAAAGCGTTTTAATATCAAGAAGTTATTTCCATAAAGAGTATGTTTTGTGTGAATCGGCAGTGGACAGTTACCAGCTTGTTTAGCGGGTATTTGGGGAAGGTGGTGGGGTGGGTTTAATCAGAGTTGCCCAAAGAGTGCAAGTTAACAGTGACTTTCTGTTTACACGAATCGTTTCAACAACGGATAGGTAATCAGACGAAATAAAAACCAAGATTAATAAGTAAGGTAGGGCAGTGAATCGGCCAGTCAGGTAGTAAGCTAGGGCACAAGACGAAAGGACTTCTTTCAATAGAAAAAGTTTCCTTTCCAGTCGCACGCACAACAAACGAGCAGAGGCTGGAAAGAAAAAGGAAGAAAGAAATCGAGCAAAATCGAAAACAACAGCCAAACAAAGGCAAGAAAAGTAAACAGGCGTTTCAGTTTAGGGCCAGAACTTGCCGGTCTGGATGGACTGACTCTGACTCTTCAGCTGGGCTGAAAGGATCCATGGCGGTGCTGCAGCCCAACGTTACGCAACCTCCAGTCAAGGTGCACAGATTCAGTTGCGTTGCCATTCCTGTTGCTAGGGCAGGCAGACACTGAATTCCAGTGGAGATGTGGCTAAGCCGTTGATTCATTGTCGTCGAATGATAGACTTTTGTTGCTCTGACCGCTAGAATGATATCGTTGTCTGTTAGCGCCGGAGGAGGCTTTTGGAACTGACAACTAAACACCACAGAGTAGTAGTCGGCAGTACCCGTCTGAAGCTGATGTCGTCTTCTAAGTTGGGTATCAGACACTTCCAAATCGTTGACAACAGTGTCATGAAAGTCGGCAAACAGGTCGCCTGCTGTCCCGCCTGAGTGACTTGGATGAATATGTGTCGTTCTGTTCGACAAAGGCTGTGCAACGGCATTGGCCAATTATCCTTTAGTCTTTGATCATATGTAAAACGAAGAAATCGGAACGGACCGAGGCGCAGGTGTCGCTACCCGGAGCAGTCAAATTTCCATAGGCGGTGATACTGGATACTGCTTGATGCTCAATCATTGAAGCAAACACGCGGCAGATGAAAGGACGAGGAAGAAACCTGAGGCACTGGCAAACTGCAACCTCCTTATATCTCCATTTACTGTCATTTTTAGTTTTTCTTTTGCCCTTCTTCCTTCCATCAACCAGAACGAAGTGATCTCCTCGCCCTGCAACAGTCCTCTTTAACCCGCTGCCCTCCATTCTGCGACTGGCTGACAAGAGAGATTTGCGCCCCATCTTCAGTGTTGAGGCCCGATAGTAGGAACGCAAAGCCAGCTCATCATGAGACAACCAAACAAGGTAACTAGGTCGCTGCAACAGTGAGCCGTTTGCAGACAGTAGTCGCTGTCTTGACTCTACAGTAAATCATAACAGGTGCAAGCTCTAACCGACGATTACAGAATGGGAACAGCATGGACCTTCCATAAACTGCTTCTCACATTCACACATACTTGCCTCAACTTGATACCACCCAACTAAGAGTATTCGACATCAAATATCAGCACTTGCGTCTTCCCGCAGAGCCTCCGCCATCCAGAGGTGGCCAAGTGTACAGTGGCGAAGGCACGTCAAGATTTAACGACATGTTGAGTTTAATTTGACACCCTATATCTTCGTATTTCATCATCTGCCATTGAATATCGGTCAAACAGCCATGGTCGATTCATGCTCTTAGCATTGATGCATGCTTCGAAATCAGTTCAGAGCAGCAATCCCCAAATTAAAATCGAGAGATCTGGGGTGTATTGATCATCGTCCCCGTTTACACCATGTCGGTTCTTCCGCAAGACTCCGCTGTTTGTGGGTGATCCATAAAAAGCGGCCATCATGAGCCGCCAAGGGAACAAACATGATGCTACGCATTCGACGTGGAGACAATCCACTCTTGATTTGGAGTCTCGATGTCAATGCTATTCACCACGATGCAGCAAAGCCAGCCGAGGTATCATGCTGTAGTCTTGATGTCCAGTACTGGTCTAACTCGACGCCGCATAGACATTACATATGGAGGAAAGCAAGCTCGCTGATAAAGATAGGTAAATTTCTGCCTAAACGTTCAACGAAGTCAGCAGAAGTATTGAGTAGCCTCAATCCCGCAAACTCAGCCTATCTCCCCTGTGAATAAACTCGATCATCTTCCATTTGGAACCTGGGTGGACCCCACCAGCATGTCCTTGTATGGCGCCACGTGCTGAATGCCCAGCAATGCCCAACTCGGCGTTGCTGCCTCCACTTGCAAGTCTTTAGGGGCCTCGAAAGGCCGCCATAGCCCATGTTGTGCATGCTCTGCCACTTCCGCCTTTGCAGGCCTTAGACTTGTAGGAAGCGAGCTAATCGCGCACCTCATCAGATGGGAGAAACCCTCTTGGCAGACTGGTGGTGCTTATCTTCACCTTGTGCACACTGTTTTGGAGTCACGGCATCTGCAATGCAGCATCCTAGCCATATCATTGGGTCTAAGCCCTTGCGTACATGATCGATCACCGGACAACCTCTGAAGACGACTTGTCAAGCAACTCCCGAGCAGCAGCGATCTCATCTGCATTGTACCCCTGCCATAAAGGTTCCCGAGCTCCGTATCTGCGGACAATCTCTGCTAACTTCTGGGTAGCCGCCTGGTTCAGCTTTTGAAGAGTATCTTGATCTGGTAGGGAGAATTCGTCTTCTTCAGGTTGCTGCTTCTTGAACTTGGCGGTTTCGGTCAAGATTTTGTCGGTGACCTTCTTCAGACCGTAATATCCTCGTAGGTAGTCCTCGCAAAGTTCAATACTTCGGCAGAACCGCTTCACTGAGCTTGCAAGATGCTTCTGAGGAGATCCATCGCTTGTCTCGTTGGCTGCCATCAACGTTACCTCACCCAGCTTTGCGTGCAACTATAGAGCAGTGTCAGACGTGGTCAGTCATGAGGAAAGGGGAGTAACATACGTTCCACGCATTAGGTGCTAGTACAATGACCTCTTCTAGGGCATAGATAGCTTGGGAGTACAGGCCTTGTGAGAGGTAGAGATCCGAGAGCTCTGCCCAGCTTTCAGCATCAGTGGGGTTGAACTCGAGCAGCGATACTAATGACGAGATCGCCTCAGGCGTCTTTCCCATAGATCGCAAAAGGGCTACTCGTCGCTTGGCGATATACTTGTGTCTGTCAGTACAACGTCTTGGTGTCCACAAAGCAACATGCTCACAATGTTTGTGCCATCCTGTTGCAAGATATCCTCGTATTCCTTTAGAACTGTCTGCAGTTCATTGTTGCCTGTTGCCTCTGCCTCTTTAATAAGACCCTTGAGTGCCATCACGCGTTCGTTTTCATCTCCAAACCGCAGGATTAATCTTTCCAGGCACAGATGCGCTGAATCGTCGTCCCCCGTCTGGAGACATGTAACAATGAGGTTCTCATATATTGTCCATAGCTCCACGGTTTCAGCCGCTGAGAAGAGGGATACAAGAGGCGAGGCTGAGAAAGCCTTGGGGTTGCTCTTCAGGATGGCGGGAGCTTGTTGCGCCAGATGGAGAGCTTCAGCTGGCGATAGCTGGGGTTGCGGTCGGGCGAGCAAAGTAGCCATGTTGCCGTTGTGGGATGAATTCGATCGCGTCGATGTAGTGAGTAAGAATTTCGATGTTATATAGTTGTATCGCTTCAATGTGGGCGTCGAGAGTGTTCGGGTTGATGATTGACTTCACAATGATACAGCTCAATTGGACACCAGAGGCTTAATGCTACGTGCACCAGCTGGGCCAGGTCGCTCGTGATTGGCTACCTGTCATGGAGCTACTGGGACGGAATATCACAAATTCCGACAGACTCAACGCGCTCTTTTATTGGTTACCTAAAGGACCCATATCATATATTTGAAGATAAAATCCATCTTTCCACAGAAATTTTTCTTGACTTTCGAGCATCCTTCATCCTCACTTCGACAGTGCCAAATACAAGTGCTGTGACAAGCACACTACTTGCGCCTGCGAGTGCATGCTTCAAGGACATAACAAGTCCAAGATGGCGTCTTCAACGCTAAGTGGCGAGGCCGTTGCGAGCCTGACACCCGTGTCTATTCCTGTTCCTGTTCAGGAAATGACCGCGTTGAACGTCAAGGATCCGGTCACCGAGGCCGTCACTGAAGCCGTCGCCCCCGAGACCGAGGCTAATGAGATGCCGCCTCACCGATCGCATGATCCCACCAATAACTTGAAGCGGAGTGATCCCTTCCAGTTTGGTAGTCGGTATCTGAGCGAAGCAGACGATGTCTTCGAGTTCAATGCCTGGGATCACGTTGAGACTGACGATGCATACAAGGAGTATGCGGAGCAGCAATATGCCAAACAGCGCCAAAACCCTGTCTCGGACTTTGAGAAGAGTAAGTCACCACCCAAGCTTTCACATCGATTTTTTTTTTTTACTCCAGGTGCTTCCTGATGATACAACACCAATGCATAGTTCATCTGATACTACTGAAGACAAACTATTCCTTCTTATTCTTTCGCTCCCATCTGACTCACACCTTATACACACTCTTTTTCCATTCTGCAAACTCAAAACACGAAGAGTTGCTGACATGAAAACCCAGGAAAATTTAGTCAGGACCCCGCTAGATGGTGGAACTTGTTTTACAAGAACAATGCCGCCAATTTCTTCAAGAATCGCAAATGGCTTCAGCAGGAATTTCCTGTTCTAGCCGAGGTAACCAAGGAAGATGCTGGTCCCAAGCTCGTCTTGGAGATCGGTGCAGGAGCTGGTAACACGGCTTTCCCAGTCTTGGCCGAGAATAAGAACCCGCAGCTGAAGATCCATGCCTGCGACTACTCAAAGACTGCCGTAGAGGTCATTCGCAAGAATGAAGCGTACAATACCGACTTCATCCAGGCTGACGTATGGGACGTCGCTAGTGACAGCCTACCACCTGGACTCGAAGAAGGTTCCGTAGATGTCGCCGTGCTTATTTTCATCTTCTCTGCTTTGTCGCCTGATCAATGGGCCAAGGCCGTTGATAACGTTTACCGAGTTCTCAAGCCCGGTGGCCTGGTCTGCTTCCGAGACTATGGAAGAGGAGACCTGGCCCAGGTTCGGTTCCGCAAGGGTCGATATCTGGATGAAAACTTTTACATTCGAGGCGATGGCACCCGTGTCTACTTCTTTGACAAGGATCAACTTTCGGATATCTGGACAGGCAAGAATGCCAATGAAGAGACCCCAGCAGCCCTGGAAGGTGGCAACGATACCCCTGAAAGGACTGATACTGTTCAAAGCACGGATGCAGAGGAAACTAAGACAGAAGAATCATCCCGATTCGAGGTGGAGAACCTTGCTGTTGATCGACGATTGCTCGTCAACAGAGCCTCAAAGCTCAAGATGTATAGATGCTGGTTACAGGGTCGATTTAGAAAGAAATAGAAGACAACACCCTAAGATGAACATTCAATCCCTCCCTCATGTGATGACGTTCCCTACACTGAACCTTGGTCTTAGTAAAGCAAGACATCCTGTAGCTTGGCTCGATCATCAGAACCAAATCCGATGCCATCTAGGTACGCATTGAGCCCACCATATTTGGCGTCAAGGTGTTTTTGAAGGCCAACAATCATATCATCAGCGGTGTGGAGCCATTCATTCGTCAAGCCAATTTCTCGAATCTCAATAAGACGCTGTTCTCTCTCGGGAATAAGTGCCTCATCGCTGAGCCCATAATCGTACTCGATGGCGGAGATAGGCACGTCCAGGATCATGAGCACCAAAGCACAGATGAGGCCTAGACAAAAGTTAATCCCGGTGCAAAACGAAAAGACCGCTTCCCCTTACCTGTTCGGTCTTTGCCTTGGGTGCAATGAACAATGGAAGGGAGAGCTGATGGGGCAGCATAGAGAGACAAGGCCTCGTGAATCTCCTTGGTGGACTGGTCGAGCGTATCTAAACCCAGTCCTACAAGCCCACGTGGGATCATAACTTTCTCTCCGATGATATTTATGGCTTCAGTACGATAGCCACATAGAAAGAGAAAAACAACGCGACTGTAGGAAGGGGTCAGTGTTTCTGCACTACAGGTGATTGTTTCTTGATAGCTTACAAAAAATCCCACCATGATAACTGACTCAGAAGAAACAGCTCGAACGGGCGGCCTGTGATTTTGACGTCTCGATAGTTCAGACCAGAGATTTGGAGTGGCTCAGCAAGAGCTTCATTAGACTTGACGAGTGCAGGAATACTGGATTGCTCTTTGCGTCTCTTGGCTTGGTTGAGGTGTTCAGTTCTGCACGTGTCAGTATACAATCGTGATGTGTATGACCTGAAGGTCTTACTTGGTTCTTAGGTCAATGATGGTCTTGACGCCAAGACCATCCCTGATAAGTTGTCTGTCTGAAAGGGTGGCATCATCTCAGAGGTTCTTAGCATACTGCATATATCCATATAAAGATGCTATCCATCCATACCTGGTCTTGCTGAACGGTAGAACAAGCCCTCACGAATTCGTCTGACGTGTGTAAGTCACAGTTTCTGCAATATATCGGGGATGTCAATGTGTGTTACCTTGTACCCAAGAAATCATTGACCGTCTTACCGACATCACGAAAATTCAGGACATTCTGTAGACCAGCGTGAGAAGTCATGGTAATGCCAAGAAACCTGTTCTCCTAAGTCTATCAGTATGGTTGATCTAAGGGTCTCGGGAGTCAAGTAATCGTGTCGTGGCTTTCGGGGCTGTGCGAATGAAGAGAAAGAAAGGGACGGGAGAATAGTTAGTGTGTAACACGGGCTTGAAACCAGGGTTTTTGCAGGTCGATCAATCGAGCGAACAGCGCCGCAAGAGATCGGAGGGTTCAAAGCAACCACTAGAGGAGAGCTAAAACAAACTAAAAGAGCGACAAGCAGCGACGATCTCAATATCACTACCGAAAGCACCGAGGAGCCATTCCGAAACCAAGACAAATGAAAGACAAGACGCACCGTTAGTTCTCAGGTGAGAGAGGACCAAGGTTTCAGGCACAGGACTTTGGTCTCTTCTACAATCCAATTGGGGTTGAAGGGGATAAGACGCCTCTTTTGTTTGAATCCTTTTCCGTTTAGGGTCTCTTCGTATCCAAGGTCTGTAGTTCGATGTCTTAATTTAGTTGATGTCAAAATAGTGCCAATGGAGAAAGATGTCTCCCATGAATAGACGAGACTAAAAAATTGATAGGCTATTCTGGTACAGTGCAAATTGATAGTACTACAATGGCCATATGTTGTCTGATGATACATGTCTTCATGTTGAGGCATTTAGAAACCTAGCGGAGCTGAAGAGGTTATAGACGAGTACTGTCGAGACTGTTTCTCATCTCGACAAACAGATTCCATCACCTACACCCAAAGCTGAAGAACGAATAGCTTCGTCACTGTGCGAAGCTAACAACTAGCGTCGACACCTGAGATCATCGCCAAGGTTGATGTGACGTCATAACTAGCACTATCTGGGGTAGCGTATCGCAGGGCCGGGAAGGGAAAGAGCTACAGAAGTGACCCTGACGTAGGTATGCTTGCCTTTGAAGGAAAGGAAGGAAAGCACCGTCTCGGGGCCAACGCCATTAGAGTGAGGACTCCAACGCCAGCGCCACGAGGGTCTCATTTCACAGCATCATCGTTTATCTTTGTAAATTGAATAAATCTTGCTTTTACCCGTATTCCTCTATCTTGCTCTCTTTCCCCAACTCTTCCACGCTGCTTCGACTTGAAATCAACCATCCGATATACATATTCATCACCACCAAATACCAAAGTATTTTATACTAAGTCCTCGTACCCATTATCATTATTCCCTGTAAAAAGACAGCCAGGTCCACAAGTCAAGCAATTCCCACCTAAAGGCGAACATCCGGCACACCCATGTATAAGGCAGATACGACAGTCAATTAAACACCAAGCGACATCAAGTCGGCCAAGATCCTTGGAAACGCATCCCGAAACTCTGCCACAAGGCCTCGCGGCCCTGCAAAGACTCTTTCCCCCACGCGCTGGGCGCATCGTGATCATCAGTGCAGCATCCACTCGTTGCTCCAATACGAGCAGCTGAGCAAGCACTCATTTGAGTCGCATTACAATGCCCACCAGCACATCCCAGCAGCCAACCATGATCCATTCGCAGCCGGCAGCGGCTCCAGGTATGTACCCAAGTCCCTTATGGCTGACAATCGTCATCCACCTGCGGCGTGGCCCAACACATTCTGACACTTATATGCTACATAGGAGCCAACAACTCGGGTCGTCTCAAATACGCAGATCCCCGAGATCTTCCTAGTTATCCATCTGCTGGTCTTCGTCCCGACGGTGCTGCTGCGAGTGCTGCCGCTTCTCTTGGATGGTCTAATCAAAAGCCTATCGAACTCTGGAAACCCGACAAGACGTCATCTGCATCCGCAGCTGCCGCTTTGGCAAAGAATTATAAGATGGCACCATCATGGGAACCAGCATCCAACTCCGACGGCCACAAAGCTGCACTTCTAGCTGTTGGCTCAGCCAACGCTGCATTAAACCACACACCAAACCATCAAAAGACACATGAAGGTTGGGGAAGTTCTGCTGCTACTCAAGCTGTGGGTTCTGCCACAGCTGCGTTGAATCGAGCATCAAGCCAACAGAAAGCCCATGAAGGATGGGGAAACTCGGCTGCTACTCAAGCATTCAACGCAAACCGAACAAACTCTATGCGACAGGCCAATCTAGCGTCACCCGACACTTCACTGCAAGGGCAGAAGTCTCTTGCTGCAGCGAAAGGAGCCATGTCGACTACAAGACGACGAGCCAAATCTACACCCTCAGCTCCAGACAGTCTTGCCACATCGTCCCCGCAGCCCAATAGACGACCCGATGCCCTCAGCGGAGCTACCCTTGCGCATAGGGCAAGTATGAAGTCCAAGCCAGCAGCCGATAACGCAGGTGCTGTGCCGGTCACTACCATGACTCGCAATATGTTCACGTCGAACCCTCCGGTTAAGCCAGAGGTGGATGAACGACAGAATAACGAGCAGCTTCATGCATCGGCGGTTGCAATGGCTCGAAAGATGTACCTCTCGCAGCAAAAGATAATTGACGAGGCTAAGGAAAATCAAGGACGAGACTCCGATATAGCACAGCCGAAGCCGTATGTCAATCTCCAAGATGCTGCATACAAGCAAGCCCAAGAACGATTGGCCAAACTGGAACAGGAACACCAGAAAAACCGAGACTTTCAATCTTACTATGGAAATGATTCGGCATCTCCAAAGCGGCGGTTCACGTTGACAAAGCTGCGCCGTCGATCTTCCAGTGACGGCGACATCAACGACCGTCAACAGTCCGAGAAAATCCGGCAACAAATGTCACTTTTCTCCAACAAGCTTACAGAGGTCGACCAGAAGAAGCGTCAAGATGACCGTAACGCGCTGCTAGCTGCAGCGCAGCGTAACGTCACGGCTCGACTACAGGGTATGGATGAGAAGGTGTATAATGAGACTGGTCAAGTGAATCCTACTTTAATGAGTGAGTGGGAGGTCAAGGCTCATCGGATGGCGAATGCTAGCCACGAAGCTCGCAATGAGAACAAGGGTAAAATTGACATCGGAGGTGGGAAGTTCATGGATCCTCATGATGTAGACGCTATTGCAGCCAAGAGGATGCAGCCTATTTTGGACAACATCAACGAGAAGGCCGAAATTGAGCGAGAGCGCCTTGCCACGCTCAAGATGGAAGAGGAAGCTAGGAAGGCTGAACAGGAGAAGCAAAAGGCGCGTGAGCGCGAGGTCAGAGAAATCAACAAGAAGATCAAAGGTATGTTTACTAAAGTGAGCATTCATGATTTTTGCTTACATATCGGACAGATCAAGAAAAGCAGGAACATAAGGCAAAGAAGGCTGAGGAGAAGGCTGCCAGAGCGGAGGAGAGGCGCCAGGCTAAGGAAGAGAAGCTAAAGGCTAAAGGTGACACAGCGGTTTCTGGCGAGGAAGCTATTGACGACGGCGAAAGCACTCGAAGTGAGGATGCTGCCTCGTCCCCTATTACAGCAGCCGCGCCTGGTTCGACTGAACAGGATGCACAAGCAGCTATTGACACAGAAACGGGCAGCACCGAGCGGGGCCGAAGAAAGCTCAGTGACGCGACATCACCGACATCCAAGGTCAAAGGGTGGATCAAGAACCGCTTCTCGCGAGGCAAGTCTCTCGGAGAGAAGGATCGCGAAAGCCAAGGCGACAAGAGAGGAAGCTTCGTCGGTGGCGCCGCTCTGAGAGACCCTGACACCAATCACAGTGCCACAAGTCTCGACAACCGGGCAACAAGCATGCGAGACGTTGCACTTGCCGGCCGTGGCACAAATGGCGAGTCGAGCGACCGTGACATACTACATGATTCACGTGGTGTGAGTCCTGTAAGTAGTGACTCGGATGATGACGAACAAGTTCCTGCCATTACTCCTCCCCCAGCGATTAAGGACCCTGTTGCACGACAAAGCCACAGTCCCTTAAGAGACTCCAGGTTTAGAGAGAACTTGGACAATTGAGTAGACAATACGCCAAGACAAGGTTACGGACAATGAATTGGGTTGGGCAAGTTGGCAGGATAGTGTTTGGCGTATAAATTGGGTTTCCTGGTTTCCTGTTTCTTTGAACGTTGCAGCGGTTATTAGCAAAGCGTTACGGTTTATGATTGGCCACTACTAGGGGTAATGTATTGCACTAGAAGTAAGGATTGTATTTGACATCTTGAGTGAAAGGGGCTGTTTTATTCGTTGATGTAGTTTCCTGTATTTCGTTCCAGCTATGACGCATTTTATCGTGAAATACACCAAAATTGATGTCATATTCATGTTGTTGAGGCCGAAGCTTCCGCAAGAGAGTGTACGGTTGGTAAAAGATGTGAGATAAGAGATGAAGTTAGCAAATCAGTTTATACTACTTAGATCACACTTCTTGCACTACTGATTTTTGTACCCTAAACCTCAGGAGGCCAGCTTTTCTGCTAACCCACTGGGACATATACCAAGTCTCGCATAAGTGAAATGAATAGTTGTTACGGAAATGTTGATACAGATTGTTAATTCTTGTCTAAGCAACAGTAATAGAAACATTATGCAAGTCTCTCTTTCTAATAGTGCAAGCCAATTCCAATTTCCAATCCAAACGCCATGCAAAAGGGGGAATCATTCCGGCATAAGTCCATATAACATGAGAAGTGGTGTATGTAGTGGCCAAATTTAGGTGAGCTTGAGTGCTGCACAAACATCCAGTCGGACACACGATCGCTGATTTTGGTGCAAGTTCTTGGGTAGCGACTTCTATTAGAAGTCTCTGGGAGGAGGAGCATTCTGGGCCATCTCGACGTCCCGCCCGTCGTTAACGTTGCTGCGCGATCCTTCGTAGCTTGGGTTGCTGGAATCGACTGCGGCAGAAGGCACGTACTTCGGGTGCCTGGCGTGGTTGGGCTTGGTACGGATAGCAGGGTACAGGTCGATAACAAAGGAGATAGCGTAGAAGGTGAAGATGAATGAAATGACCCATTCAAGGATGGCGGCGGCATTTCGCTGCTTGATGCGGCTAGTAACACCAAAAGCGATAATAAGGGCGACTTCGACCAAGATGAAGGTGAGCTTCACCCAGAAAGAGATGCGAAGAACGCGATGCTCCCGGTAGTCTTTTGAGTCGACTGGTCAGCGACTTGTTTCACTAGGTTAAGACAGATAGACGCTGGACTTACTAATTCCGAGACGCTGATACTCCCAGCAGATAAAGACAGCAGAGATCAGGTAACCTCCAATAAAGAGAGCCAAAAAGGTATGGTGCAGCCTAGTGTATCTGCCAGTGCGGAAGATGGCCAAGCAGATGAGCCCGACAGTACCGACTGCAGCAAAAACGATCGAGAGCCAGGTAAGGATCTTCTCCATAAGCGTCGTGTTGGGCGCAAGACGACCCCTGTGTCGCAGCCATCGCTCGGAAAGAAAAGCGGCGTCGAGGAAAATGGAAGTGAGGACGCATCCAGTGATGAAGAGCGGCCACAGACGGTCAGCGCCGACGTTTGAAATGTACGCGACGTCGGAGTGGAGAGACTGCGTAGGATAGCGACGACCATGTTGATTAATTTGCCATTCTAGTAGGAGGCCCAGAAGCATCCCACACCAGACTAGGCCTGAGAGTACTGGAAACCACTGGTTTTGTTAGAGATATTTGTTTGGAGGAAAGTGTAGTTTCAGCATACCCAGTATGAAAAGACGCCTTTTACAGCCATTTCGAGTATATGTTGTGTTGTGGTGTGGTGATGTAATTCTTGGTGTTTTTGACAAAAATTGGCTGGACGAGCAAGTGGTGGTCAATTAAGTCCCGTATATGGCAAGCAGCTGAGCTACAACAACCGACTTCAAGCCAAAATGAAGTGAAACAAAGAAATAAAGAGGAGGAAGGAAATGTTATAAAAAGGAAATAGATAAATGTACGTGCAAGGGTATTAATGGTGTTATAATACTTGGCAATGTTATGGGTCCCTGTTACGCAACTCGGGGACGTCCCCTTGTTAATTCCAAGCTTTTTTCCCTCCCCTTGCTCCAGCACTAGATGTTTTAGTCCCTAGTTATATGATCGTCATACATAAAACTCCACTGCCGAGAGGCTGAGAGGATAGTAGTGACATAACTGAGAGATCTCGGGTCCTCGGAGTGGTCCGCGGATGATTCCCTCTTCCAATCTCCGGGATATAAGCCCGGTAACCCTTCCTCAGCCTTGCCATCATGCGTAGTCACGAAAAAGCCAAGAATGGCTGTGGTTTTGATGACTTGTTAATGGTGTTACTTGGCATTAGCGCGGCGAGACAGGGGTGACGCGGCAGTGAAGTGAATTACTAACTACTTATTACAGATCTTGTGGCGCAGAAGAAAAGAACAAGAGATGATTATAAATTCCCCATTAAGACTAGATGCTTGAGTCTAAGTCCTCTCTGTCAGTAGTGACAGTTAGAGAGAGCGAGAATGGCAGAGGAACAGAAAGAAGAAAAGATAGAGAGAAAAATGACATCACTTGACAGTTACATCATGAGACATCGTCACAGCCCAAAATAAGCCTCAGCCAACGACGTCGACAAGTGGAGTCTTCCTACACCCTTTCAGCTCTTCTTTCTAATCAATATAACTAATCCCTGCACGAATCATGAACAGCACGTTAAAAGGGCCTCTTGAGTCAATATCAATCATAATAAACTTGTAACATTTAAACAGTAAAACCTTGACTTGAACTCTCCAGTACCAAGTTACTGTAAGAGTCAAACTGCACAAGTGAGTACCTAGTTACAACAGCATTATGAACCAATTTCAAGACTCCTCCTTAAAACCATATTCCCAGCGACGATTGCCGTTGTAGTAGTTGTAAGGGCTGCGGTGTAGTGAATGCCACTTTGGTGGTTCTGGCGCGTATCCCCTGTCCCAAGCGTACTCTTTCAATAGCTCTCGACGAAGCCACTCCCGATCTTTTGCCTTCTTCTTCTTCTTCTTCTTCTTCTTCTTCTTCTTCTTCTTCTTCTTCTTCTTCTTCTTCTTCTTCTTCTTCTTCTCCTCCTCCTCCTCCTCCTCCTCCTCCTCCCTCTGTAGGTTATGATAGGCATCATAAGGGTTGTTGACGTAGTGATCGTTACTGGGTTCCAGTGAGTAATTGTTCTTGTCCACGGATTGCCAATCTTGGTTACGAACAGAAAGATGGTTATAGTGAGGCTCATCATGCTTGTACTCGCCGTGCTTGTAGCCATCATCGTCCTTGTACTCGTACTCCTTGTACTCGTCATGCTTGTACTTGTGGTACACGTGGCCGTGCTTGTGTCCATGTTCGTGGGCATGAAGATGACCATGACCGTGCTTGTGACCGTGATGGTGACCGTGGTGATGCTCGTGGTGGTGCTTTAAGACCTTGACCTCCTTGTTATACTTCTTCCCCGACTTCTCCTCTCGAGGGTCGCCGTAGGAACCCTTGTTCTCAAAGTCCTCGCCGGTGATCAGAGGAGTATAGATGAAATTGCTAAAGGCTTGCTGGACGCTACCCTTGGTGCTGCCGTCGTTGGCACCCTGCTTCTCCATGATGATCTTGAGCGTCTTCTTGCAGCTGATGCGGCGACCAACCTCATAAGTCAGAGCCTAACAAGTATGTAAGCGCAAATGAAAAGAAGGATAAGCAGAGGTCACTTACGTAGTTGGAAGATCGAAGACTGTTGATAGAAGTAAGGACGGGACGATCAACCTCACCCTCAAGATGCTTGGTCTTGTGTTTGAGTACCTTGAGAAGGCGGATCAGGGCGTCAGCATACTATCAAGCTATTAGCACAATCTTCTCAACAGTCGATAATAAACCCGTACGCCAAGGTAGCAGTCAATGATATAAGACTCCTGGCCGCAGCCGAAACACTTCTTGAGTGTAGTGTAATCGATCTCCTTGTCATAGACATCAAGACGGTGCTCGAGCTTGTAGATGTGATAGACGACTCCCTATATTTCACATGTTAGGATTGCCAAACACCTGATACAAGTTATTATCTGAACGTACACTCCAGCAAGATTCATCATTGCCGCAATCCTTGGTCTGGGCAACGTGGGTCACCTTCTCAACCTCGTCGGTGAGTTCATGGAAGTCCTTGCAAACCCTTTCCTTGGTAAGGATATGGCAAGGCTTGATAGGATGCTTATGGTGGACGTGGTGGATGTGTTCATGGGGATGAAGATGCTTGTGTTTATGCTTGTGATCCCCATGATGGTACTTGTGCACTCCATGGTAATGCTCTCCGTGGTGCTTGTACTCATGGTGTTTGTCGTAGTCGCTTTTGCCAATCTCCTTTGAGCTGTCAGGGATGGCAATGCCAACAGCAGCAGGAATTGCGCAAAGCGCGACGAAAGGGAGTGAAAGTCTCATCGAAAAAAGACTTTGGAAACAACAAATTAATGCAAAGAATGTGTAATTAGGGTCTATCAAATGAAGAATGATGCTGATGATTTGAATGAAACCAAGATGAAGTCCCAAATGCAATCTTAAATAAACTCATCTTCTCTGTAATCGTCTCCTCTTCCAATCGACCGTGTGTCTGGGCTGTCATCAAAGAATCATCGACATATGCCCATGAAGCCTCAATGGTCGGAACTTGGTCCTTGATCAGCCTTTGCGAAGGCGATGGCCTGGTACTTTGAACAAAGTCCCGGTGGTGCCATCGATTACAACTTGTCCTTTTGAGCACAAGTCCATCTCCATCAAAGTATGAATTACTTCATGGTTCGAGTTTCTATAACAACGGACATTCTGAGGCTTTCATTTGAGTGATCCCCTCGCGGTGCCTCCATGTCGAGGCTTTTTTTGAGGTGGCAATGATAAGAAAGGCGCCCGAGAAGCATCATAGAAGTATCGAGGCACAAAAGCCAGATCATATGCTCAGGATCCCCTTCTCGTAATTCGTGGAGAGCAACTTTGCACTATCAATGACATGAGTATAAACTTTGAAAAGAGGCCGAAGAGGCTGTGGCATATCACCACCTGCTGCTAGGCATAGTGGTCTCTGGGCCAGAATGAGATTTTGAAGCTGAACGCGACTCGAGTCCCACGTTTTCGCGATTTCAACGTTGGTGAGGCGACAAGGAACAAGATGTAGATTTGAGGTTGAACGTGTAAGTCGAGCTGAGGTACGTACCTGAGTCGGCAATTCGAACTCCGATGTTCCGATCTCGAATTCCCGATAACGATAAGCCTAGATTCAGCTCCAGACTTAGTACCTACCTATCTACTATCGAAGTTAAACATCAACTCAACTCAACAACACCAACATTAAACATTGAATTACCTTCACATTTAGTGCGCATCAACGCGTAGCCACCCAATCAACCGCTTGGAACTGCCCCACGATCAGTACCCTCGAAAGGGTCTCCCTACAGTACTGCAGCTGGCTATTCCAGCTCATCACACCAACTTCTCGATTGGTTCTTTGTTCCTCATCCAACATGGCGGTTTCACCAGTCTTAACACATACGGCCGAAGCCGCTCAGACGCAAACCCTTGGCCGCGCCACCTCTTCGCCTCTTAAAAACGTTACTTCGCAGACCTCTTCTTCCAATGGAACGCCCATGCCTCCTGTTACTTCTGCGCCTGCACCAACAAGCATTCCCACCACACTCGATCTTGCTGAGCAGATGAACGACGAAGAGAAGCGCAAATATGTAAAGGGTATGGGATATTTGGCAGCTTTGTGAAACTTGACTCTAACAGTATTCAGGCAAGAAGCTAGGTGAAGGTACCTACGCTGTTGTCTTTCTTGGCCACCTCCGCTCAAAACCCACCACCCTCGTCGCCATTAAGAAGATCAAGGTCCAGAAAGAATACGACGAAGGCATGGCTCCCGACGCCGTCCGTGAATTAAAACACCTTCAGGAGCTCTCCCATCCAAACATCATCTCCCTCCTGTCCGTCTTTTCTTCCAAGGACCAGAACCTCAACCTCGTTCTCGAATACCTGCCTCGAGGCGACCTGGAAATGCTCATCCGCGATACCGAATCCGTCCGCTACGGTGCTGCCGATATCAAGACTTGGATGGGCATGCTCACTAGAGCTGTCTGGTTCTGCCACGAAAACTTTGTACTCCATCGCGATATCAAGCCAAACAACTTGTTGATCGCGGATGACGGCGAGGTCAAGCTTGCTGATTTTGGTCTTGCGCGCAGCTTCGCCGATCCCCACCAGCTCATGTCTTCGCGCGTTATCACACGGTGGTACCGACCTCCGGAGCTTCTCTTTGACGCAAAGCACTACAGCGGCGCTGTTGATGTCTGGTCCGTTGGCACTGTCTTTGCCGAGCTTATTATGCGCGCGCCTTATCTTCCTGGCAATACAGACCTCGACCAAGTCCGTCTCGTCTGCGAGCTCGTTGGCACCCCAACAGACGATAATTGGCCTGGTGTCACTAAGCTTTCTGGTTATGCTGTCCCCGGCCAACACCCTGTGCGTGGTAAGGACTGGTACGAGATGCGCTTCGGCACGGTCGGCTCTGACGGTGTGGACTTGCTCATGAAGACACTCATCCTTGACCCCAAGAAGCGTATCACCGCCCGCGGTATGCTCGAGCACCCCTGGTGGCACTCCGAGCCAAAGCCCACGCGCAAGCAAGACCTTCCTCGAAAGGGCGGGACAGGAGCTGATGACAAGATGGGTGCTGATCTCAAGCGACGTCCAGGCGTGATTGATGATGATAGAGGGTCCAAGGTTGCTCGCAAGCTTGACTTTGGCGGTATGAACTAGATACAGGTAGATTTGACATGGATATAATGGGCGCAAGAGCATATGGCATGAACTTTTGGGGGATTCTTTGGCGTTTGGTTTTGCACAAGTAGATGGAGAGCAATATGTCACATCTAGTAAAACAGTACAGTTACCATGATGCAAAATGAGAAATTTTATTAGACACTTCAGGTCAGATCAGTTCATACTCATAAATTTAAGACTATGGATATCCTATCCCAACCAAGCGCTTCATCCCTGACATATCTTCATAATTTCGACATTTTTTTCCTCGTAAATATATCCAGGCAAACAGTATATACTTCAACTCTTACATGAGTACACACTCAAGCCCATACATGGCTCTCTCAACGCTCTTTCTAACCTGGTACCAATCCGCTCTTCTCTGCGCATACTCGTAGACCTCCTCGGCACGAAACACTCCGCCGAAACGGTCACCATCCGCAATGACAGTGGCCATCTCGCGTGCGTGCCGAGGATCGATGAGGAAAATTTGGCTCAACTCGCGCAAGGCGGCAAAGTAGGCGAGCAGATCGGCGTTGCGCAGAGTTCTGATGTACTCATAATAGACATTCATATCGGCAATGAGGGTAATTGCGCCCTCGGTACTGATACGTTGACGCTTCAGATGTTTGCAGATGGCTGTAAATAGGCGCAAGCCGACCTCGCCGTTAAACACATCAAGCATGGACTTATCCGTCGTACCGACCAGCATTTTCGTGTGAGATGATACAAGCTCAACGATACGTTTGGCTGTGGCTGTAGGACCGATATCAGGCTCTGCAGCAGGCGCAGCTGGTTTCTCGACAGTGCTAGAACCAACGCCAAAGCCAGATCCAAATGCAGAGGACGATGATGGGGCGGAGGGGTCAATTGGGTTATAGTCTGTGGGCGGCTGAGTTGTGCCCTGGAGGTATTCAACCTCGTCCATCAGGACATCAATGCCCTTATTCAAGCCAGCAGCGACACTCTCGTCGAGCATTTGCTCGAACTTCTTCTTGGCCAGGCCTGCTGGATCCAAGAAGTCGTTGCGGTCAGCAATCTTGGGGGTTGCGAGCTGCTGCTCGTAGAAAACGTCAATCATCTGTGAGATCAGGTCTCCTACATTGACGAGTTCGATAAAAGTAACGAGAGGTGCCACACCCGCCTTGTTATGGTCGCTAACCTCTCTTGGATTATAATGCGATAGGTGGTCAACAGCCATGTCGAAGCCTGTCTTGACGTGTTTCTGTCCTAGAATACGGAGCAACACTACGAAAATGGTTGCGCATTGCTCTCGAGCTTCTCCTCCAGCTTGTCCACCAAGACTAATAAACACTGAAGCACGCCCAAGACTGGTTTTGGCAGCGTGCACCAGATTGAGTGCCACTTCGATGCTGAACAGTGACTTGATGCCCTCAAGCTTCGACGCCATGATGGCTGCCTTGGCTGCGAGCTCATCTGTAGGCGCCTGAGCAGGCAAGGGGCTTCCTCGACCTTCGAGTCCTAAGCTAGGGGTCTCGGGGCGTGAGGGTTGAGGGCTTAGCGCCCCAGCACCATTTAACTCTTTAGAAGCCGACAGTACTGGTTTTGCTGTGGAAGGTTTGTTTGTTGCGAAAGGGGAACCCTTAGGGAAGCTGGGGAGGACAGTAACGGGCATCATGACAACTTTCTTGAAAGAACTTAAAAAGTCCTTCTTATCAGCCGAGCGGTTGATGTTTGACATGTAAAAGGACTCAATAGTCGAATCCTGTTCAGAGAGTTTCTTCTCCCAACTTGCGACTTCCGTCTCAGCATGGTTTGTGAAAAAGTCCAACTCAGCTTGAAGATATAGGTCGAGGTGAGGTTCGAAGACGCGCAATGAGAACTCCTTGGCCATCTCCTTGACGTCTCGTTTTGATCCCTCAGGAGGTGTGAGGGATTGGAAGAAGAGCAATGTCTGCTCGAAGACGCCAGACATAGCCTTGAGATAGGCTGCCATGCTCCGCTCATGGGCTTCATCGAATAACGGTGTCGCGTATTCCATAATAATATCCTCCCTCACCTTTTCTACAAAGCTCCAAAAAACGTTTGCAGGTTCGGGAAAGATGCGTTCCATGACTGAAGCCTGCTCGTTGACCTTGGCAAGTATCATCTCAAAGAACAGCCGTGAGGGTTCGAGTACGATGCTTTCCTCTTCCGTTGCCTGATTAAGACAGTCCATAGAGTTGACCACCAATACTTCGTTATCGTTGAAAATGGGATGCTTATGGATAAAGAGATCTACACCCCCTGTTGCGCCGTCAAGAGTATGCAGGACATGTGCATAGCGACGCATTCGACCATCCACGTCCCAGAATTCGTAACCTTGCTCGAACTCTCGAAGAACCGCACTTTCGAAGATACCCATCATGTTTGAAAGTTTCTCCTCTCGCTCATGGCATCCAGGAGACCAATCGCTATGAGAAAACCTCTTGAGATTGGCAAGCATTTGCGCTTGTTTCTCTGGGTCGCGAAAGGCCTGGAAGATGATAGGGTCGGCATGAGACTTGGCCCGCGCAAGGTCAAAGTAAAAAGGTGCCAATGCACCATAAATCTTGCCATACTCATGCCTTGCGCCGCCTCGAATACTTCGCACTTGCTTGAAGACATCCAAATATGCCGCTGGGTCTTCAGTGGGGTCGGATGAAGCCCCCACCGCCATTGTCTCGAACCCATCACGAATATCAGCCACGGCACGATTCTTGGCCTCTTCTAACGACGCATCAAATAGTGTTGTTCCAGTGGGTTGCGCAGGAACTGCGATTCCCTTTGCCTGCTTAGCCGCAATGTTGGCAGATTCTCGTCTCCGTCGCACCGCCTCTTCGAATCGACGTCGGGCCTCGACTTCATCCCAACAGTCCATGCTCTTTAATCTAGAAACCCATCGTGTGTCGTCGTATACCATATCTCGCATGCGGTGTGATACTCGGGCAAAGCGCATTTGATCGGCGACAGGGAGGTAGTCGAGAATAGCCACCAGGATCTCTGTCCATCATGTCAGTCGCAGGAACTTGCTTTCATCGTAATGGTGCTTTCCGTACCCGCAGGAAGACTAGCTTTTGTATCAAGCATCTCAGTCGCTTTGAGAGTGCTGAGGATGCTGCCCCGGTTGGCAGCACCCGTTTTGGACCTGTACATGGTTGAGAGAGGTGTATGTGCTGCAACTTCGTTTGGTCTGATGCGTGACGCCGTCAATCACGTCTCCCTGGCGCTTTTCTCCTCGTAGTCGTTTCTTGTTGGTCGCGTTTTGTTCAATGTCATGAGCCGGCATTCAATCCATTCATCCAGATGTAGTCTAGCATGTGGCAGCCGGGCTCAGCGTATAAAGCGACACCGACACCGACATTGGACGGCCAATCGAGCTTGAGAGTCGCTTGTAAGGAGTCGTCCCCGGCGTTTATTTACTTGGATTGATGAACCGGGCTGCAAGAACCTGAAGTAATGAGTTATTTGAGAGATAATTTGCCAGGTTTAAGTTGGGTGATGTTATATGTACCAAGAGAAGCTGCAGCTCGGTCCATGTTTCTGGCTCTGACAGGGGTATCGCAATCTGGAAATGCCCCGCATCAACAGCGGCACTGGAGTAGGTACTGTCGACATTCAAACAGAATGGGCAACTAGAACGGAACCTCTGAAACCTCCACTAACAAGACCCATTGGCCTACCCTGTATCGTCTCTTTTCCCATCCTCTTTACGCAAACAACAGTGCAGTAGATTATTTCTTACATGTTGTCTTTGTTTATTATTGCCCAATACATCATATTGCAATATCTCCGGGATTATTCAATGTTGGAATACCATTTATCATCCGTTGATGCTATCCCTACCTGTACAACTACTTATTCTATGCCTTTCCTACTAGCAAAACTCCAGCAACGCCTACAGAATGTGACAGCCAATAACCGCTCCAAAAGGCACGGTATAGTAACAACTCCCATGCAGATGCCAACTTTTCTACACGCCCTATTTAACATTTACTCGAGAAAAGTGAAAAGATGGGTATGCAACACGTTCATAGCGCGAGTAGCATCCCGTGCACTAATTACACAAGAGATGTTGATCTCGCTAGCACCTGTTGAGCCAAATTAGCAGGTCGTTCTGAAATACACATTGTTGAGTAGATACATACCCTGTGAGATCATCTCGAGGTTAACGTTGTGCTCACCAAGAGTAGAGAACATGCGTCCTGCAATACCAACCATGTTCTTCATCTCGGCACCAACTAAACTTAGAATTGCCATGTCGGTGAGTATACTTACATCACCGCAATCAGCAAGCTCCGCGGCCGCATTGCCAAAAGCCTCGACCTGCTGGCTACTCGCGTGAATAGCCATGGAAACGTGCACCTCAGAGGTAGAGATGAGATCGACCGAGATGGAGTAATGGTTGAGAATGGAGAAAACACGGGCGAAGAAGCCATGAGAGATCGATCGTTTATTCGAGTGCACGTTGATGACACTGATATGGTCCTTGATGGTAACGGCGGTAGGACGCTTGGGCTTTCGGTGTTCTGCCTCAGCCTTGGGAGTAGGAGAATCGCGTGTAAGCTGATGGCTAGCAGAACGCATGCGATCAGGAACAACAATGGTGCCGTTGCCCCGTGGGTTCTTAACATTCTTGATACGAATAGGGATAGGAGGCTCGGCACGGATAACTTGATCCATAGTGAGATGATGGATGACCTCTGAGCCGTAGAAAGTCAACTCAGCTGCTTCCGAGGGAGTGATGGATGAAAGGAGGCGCGCTGTGGGAACCTTTGAGGGATCGGCTGAGAAGATACCGTCGACTTCCTTCCAGACTTGCAGCTCCTCGGCCTTGACACCCACAGAGAGAAGAGCTGCGCAAAGATCGGTATAGCCACGACCAATGTCACCGTCAATGAGACTGCCAGGCACATTTCCAAAGAATCCAGTGACTACCGGGACGCGGTTCTCACAAGCAGAAATCTTGCGGGTAAAAGCCTCGGAAGCTGTACGGTAGAACTTGTCGTCGAGACGGTCTGTGGCATCATAGTGGAATGCATCGCAGAGATCGACGTATTCAGACTCGACTCCCTGAGTTAAGTGTTAGTATTTGAACAATGCACAAGTACATAAATTCTTCGGAAACTCTTTCTCCACCTGAACAAACATGCCTATGTCGCCATAAAACAAAGACAAGAAGTAGAAGCTCTCGCCACAATCGTTAAATTGTGAAGATGCATATGTTCCAGGGGGGTTGGAAATTCGCGCAGCACCAACTCAGAAGTGAGTACTTACCATATCCTGCAAAAGAGCCGCCATGAATCGACAACTCAACTTCTCGCCGAAGCTGATAACACGGTCCTTTGCTCTTGAATTGATCTCGAGGTTGAATCGCTTGGCGGCCACGATATACTCAACCAGCTCCTGACACTCATCCTTGACGGTCTGAATGAGCGTCTCACGAAGAGATTGATCCTTGATGAATGATTCAGCGGCAAAGACATGGTCGTTGCAAATGTCGAGCATCAATCCGCGTGCTTGCTCAACCAATTCGTTCTGCTGCTCCTCATCAGAGCATATAGCAGCACCGACACCTCTCAGCTTGCCATAGACGGCCAGCAGGCTAATTTATGATCAGTCTTTAACCAATTCCCACTGTTGTTGTGTGAAGGAGAATAATATCAAGACTTACCGGCTGGTGGTACCCTCTGCTTTCTTACCCGTGCTTCTCGCAGAGCATACTACGATGACTCTGTTCTGAGACAAGGTGGCTCTATTGGCAAAGTCAGACATGACAATTCTGAATCATCTCCCCGCAACCATCCCTTCCTCTTCTCCAATTCTCATGATTCACGAGGTTGTTGCATACCTGACGATGTCTTTTGCAATCTAGACCATATTTGTTAGCATGGTGAATAAACATAAGTCTGTATCAACGGGGGAGGGAATAACAAACCTTGTCCGGGAACTTGCCCACACTGGTACCACCGAATTTCTGGACGACCCAACCAAGGTCCGGCGAATTATTGTACGAGAGGCTTCCCATGACTGCTGTGTAGTATTATATAAGGATAAAACAAAGGAACTTGGGGAAATAAGTCTCTCAACGTGGATCCGGTTCAATGGCTGTTATGTTGGTTGCTGCTGCTGATGGTGAACTGGACGGTTGGTTTGTGGTGGAGTTCGTTTTTTTCCGGCTGGGTAACAGAGCGAGCGAGGGGAAAAAAAGTTTCTCAATTGAGTGAGGCACTAATGAATTAAGGTGCCAGTGCTGTCTGTACCTACAGCACAGTCAGTGAGTTGAAATACCCACGGACAAGCGCCGAGTCGCCTCCGTACTTCTCAAACGAGAACGAACCCACTGGGGAGACTGAGCAGTCGATTGGGTTGTATAAGCTGATAAAATACAAAGCTAGCTGGTGTAGTATTCTCAACTTTTTTTTGTTTGTTTGTGCGTCTGGGATAAGATCCTTTAACAAATTACAGAAGACTTGTTGAAATAGAAGAGAAAGATACACTGAACCAGTTTGGGCGAATTTTTCGAGGTTATAGCATCCAATGTCGAAAGCTGGATATGAATATAGCCGTCCGGGAACGGAGCCAAGGTTTCGAAATATTTGGATGCACCCAACAATATCAACTCCTGGTGGCTTTCTCTTCGACACTCTTTACAGTATATCGATAATTACAGGCTCATAAAAAAACTCATTGATGACGAGAGACTATCCTTATATACAACATCATGTTGGCATCTTGGTCCTTCATGCCACTGTGCAGTACACAGTCATCAGAAACAAATGTCCGGCATAAGCCCCGAATAACAGCTCACTCACAAGGGTAAGCAAGCTACTGCCGTATATTTTTCTTCCTCTGTATGACTCGGCCTTGGTTCCATGTTCCGTCTTCGGCTTTGGCCTCTTTTTCCTTGGTGGGTTTGTCGACTCCATCCGTTAGTTGACCCCACCGCGCTAGTAGTATGGACACCCCCACATTATAACTCGAGCTGTCCCTGCAGTCTCTACAGGTAACTTATAGTATACTAAGACCAGGAAACTTTCCATCACTGACCTACTCAATTGATATTCCAAGAGCTTACAAGTGCAAAGTACGGATGTATAGCAAGTTAAAGGGCTACAATCAAGAAGCTTCCATCCCTCATCTTGTTCTCCTGATCGTGTTAGAGCACCAGTAACACTGACCAACCAATCAAAGTCAAAACTTCGGCTCGACAACTATAAAATGAGATTGCATGAATGAAGCATCCCGTGTCGAAACAACCATTGTTGAATTGATCAATTACTCAAGATTCTTCATAATAATAGTAGCATACACCATAATCGAACAGTCAGCCCTGTCCTTTCTTGTCCAACCAATCCTAGAATTCGTCGGTTCACCTGAACGCCAATACCCAGTAGTTGTTATGCTGCGACTCCAAATCCCAAGCATTAAAAATCTGAAAATCAATCCAAACACATCTTCTCCCAGGCCTGTCTTTCCAATATAATGGAACTCGACCAGTCGCACATCTTCCCCTAGACCCATCATCATGTCTTCGTCCCGTCATTCCATCGTCTCTGATTCGAGAATAAGGCCTTGGCGGAACAGAACAGCTGGGCACCATTAAATCACCAAAGGGTATAAATCATCCCAGCTCCGGAACGCCAATCTCCGTACAAGCTCGACAACAAACGCGATCCTGCTGGCCCTATATCCCAACACTCATAGTCCACCTGTGGCAAACTCCGATCCTGTCAACATGTCATGCTCCTGGTTTTCTGCACCTGTGTAGTCGAACTTGTCCAGGTTGAATTCTTCCTCAGGCGTTCTGATCCCAATACCACTATCGTCGTGCATGTCGCCACCACTCATGCTCATCGAGTTTTGGCTCACTTTGTTGGAGGCGGGGGGGAATGGTGCCCGTTCTCCTTGGTTCTGAGACGCATTGTTTAGGTTGAGTTCGTCGCTACCGCTGCTGTATCGGGAAGTTTGTCGGCTTGTATCTTTCGCCGACTGTGGAGGAGGGCTGGTTGTGTTAGTACCCGTGGTGCGGCTGCTCCTCTGCTTCATGAATCCTCCCGTCTCCACCAAAAAGTATGACATCTCGTCTAGCCATGTCTTTGTCACCCACCACGAACCGAAGCTCTTTCCTCCGCCAAGCGTGATGTCTCGCATCACTGCTGTACCAATGCGCTCGACACACCACACAATGTCCGTAGCCGAAGCGTAAGGGAACCTCTGAGGCAAGCCTCTGAGAAACGCAACCCAGCTCTCAAGAACATTTTGACCTGGCGCGCTTATATTATCGTCATCCGATGAGCGACTGTTGGTGGGGCTAATTTCTCCGTAGACCGTGACAGTTTCTATTTCCCAAGGTACCACGGGATTTTCCAAAAGCGATCGAATATCACGAAGGAGAAGTTGCACCACGTCGTCCATGCCTCGAGTGGGTACGCACTCGGCAATCTTTCGCACTCGTATCATGACAACCCAATCCGAGAACATCTGGTTGCGATTTTCTTGGGAAGAAAGCATATTTGCGGCCGCGTGAGCCGTTAAGTTTACCCTGAGTGCACGGTCAAGGAGTCCAGCAAAAAGTGTCGCGGGGGCTTCCTTGGCTCGCATTACGTGCTGAGGCTGACCTTGGAACGACTCCCGGATGTGGGGGACAAGTCTGTCTGAAATGGTCCTGAAGGTATCTAAGACAGGCTTCGGCACAACCTGGAGTGTGAGACTCGATACTATCCTCATCATGCGTTGATAGAGGACAAAATCACATTCCTCAACCCAAGGCGCCAAGGCTGGGTTCGCAAACAATTTTTGAACAGGTGTCGTCAGTGTTCCTTGAAAGGAGGTGTACAGGTGGAAGAAGTTTTTCTCCTTGCAGTACCTTATGCATTCTACGAGTGATGTGCAATGAGCCCGGTACAATGCCGACAAAGATTTGGCAGCATCGGGATCAGTTCCTTGAGGGAGGAACCGATCGATCGATGGGAGAGGAAGAGGGTCAGCGAGTGCGAAAGCTTCTTCGTTAACGGGAGGGAAGGCGTGTTCGATTTGAGTCTTTGTCGTAGAGTTGAGACTTTCCAAGTTTCTAACTTCATGCTCATTGTATAAGCTATGGGATCGAGAAACGAATTGGCGTGAGTTTGTATCGAGCTTCGCGTCGGTACCGATGTGAGGTGAAGGTAGTGTCCCCTGGCTCAGACTAATATTCGGTGGTGCGGGGAGTTGGCTAGTTTTTGTTCAGCAGACGTACACGGTATCAGACGGGGTAGCAACATACTTGAAGTTTGGGGTGAGGCTTCTAGCTTCAGTCTGAGGGTGAGCTATCCGAGCTGAGGCTTCATGTGTCTCTGGTGATTCCTCATGTAATGTGAAGTTGACATAGTGGTATTTGGATTCTCCGCGGACACCTAGCCGTCTTGTCTTGAGACCAGGGAACAAAACGCGAACGAGCTTGCCAAAGCTGGCAGGATTAAGTACAGTTATCCTTTCGTTGGCACACTTCGAGGCGTAGTTGGCGTACACACGTCCTCTTGGGACAGATCCTTTACCGGCACTACAGACCGAGTTAATCCTAGCATGGTCAGTCAGCACGTGTCCAACCGTATTGCGATGTATAGAGAGGATATACCAAAGCATGGCAAAAACTTGTCGCGTTCGCTCCGAGTTGGGACCTCTATCGTTGCCGTGCAATTCCTTTGCCACATCGTCAAGGCCACGGTGCATGTTGGTCTTGTACAGTTGCCTCATTTCAAGCTCGTTGTTGGCGCTCGATCGACCTGACGTGTTTTTAGGGGCTCCGCCCATGACCATTCGGGAATCGCCGTCGTCGTTTTCATCGCGTTCCATCAGTTGGCTTTCACCTTCAGTGAAGCTGGCGTTGTTGCTGTACTGTTCGGCTGGAAGGGGGTGTCTTTGCGGAGGATGCCTTTGTTGGTACTGCAAGTGATGACCCATCGGAGCACTCATGGAAGCATCCATTGGGAAATCTTGGCCACCTTGCATGTGTGTCGCAGCCTGTAGCAGCATATCGTCTGTTGACATCTGAGTACCACTCATGTCCTTAACATGGCCATGGGGATGCGCGTGTATATGGGCATGATCGCCGGGCAACCATTGTCCAGAGTACATGTCCGACGTGTCGGCAAAGCCTGACGGTTCGAGGCTGTTAAGCGATGCTGTTGAGGCTTGGGACAGAGGACGTCTGGCTGACCGGGCGGAGGAACGGGCTGATAGAGCTTGGGTTTGCCCAGCAGCTGAAATATTGTCCACTGAGGAACGCAAATTCTGTTAACAATCGCGAAGCACGAGGCAGAGATGAATGGGGCAGTAAGGTTTTAGTCAGGGTTTGGAAAGCAAGAAAGCTTTATGTTTTGTCAAGACCGAGTGTTATCGCGTCGTGATTGGGATGTCGAAGATTAAGTTTGTAACTTCGGAGGTCGGAGGGACGAAGGAAAAACAGGGAGAAAGTTGACTTACCCTGCTCCATAGGTAGGTAGGTACTATTAGGTACTTAGATGAGAGACGGGGACGTTGTTGATTTGGGTTGAGTCGAGAGGAATTTGTGGGCTACCAAACAACAAACATTGGCTGGGGTTCGGATGCGCCGCTTCAACAACAATGAAACTCGAGGGAGAAAACCGCAGCCACAGACTCGCGAAACAAATAAAAAATGCAGCAATGGCTGATTTGATGAGAATAAGTCACAATAATACCGCGCAAGGGGCTGCGCGGGCTATCTCTGGCGCGGTGCTGAAGGTAGCAGTGTGTCTTTGCTGGAGCCGTTGTTGTGCCTGTGTTGTCGTTGCGAGGTCAACGAGAAATGGAGTCTGTGCTGATGAGCCTATAGAAGTCCGCTGTTGTATTAGATAATCATAGTGGGTGCTATCCACATGTTCTATTGGCGTGTCTCACGAGAGCTTCATCGGATTGGATATCTGGTGCTCATTTCGAGACCGTAAATTAGCCGAAATTCCTGCTATCACGGTATACGAGCATTGACTGGCTGCGCGTCCTATTCCGTACGATCGTGTCTCGATCTGTGTCTTTAAGGCTTGGAACTGCTAGTCTACTCCCGGTCAAGAGGTACTCGTCGCAAGAATTGGATGTCTCCTCAACTATGAAGGACATGACGGTTGCCCTGAACAAATGTTTATTGTGCATTGCAGCGTGAATGGCGATGGGTCAGAACTGATCCAGCCAAGATAAATGTATTTGACAGCGGTCCAGTTGTCTGGGGAGATGTGAGATGTCAAGAAAGCACATGCTGTTGTATAAGACCAGCCGGGTCGAGTATATGATACGCTCACGAGATCAATCACAGTCACAATCCTCTTCACATAAGAAACACATAACACAAACACTGTATGCAATATCCCAGGTGTCTTCCGCTTTGACTAATGAGAAACGTTGTGACAGACGACATTTCGCTTTTTTACCACGCCGAAAAAGCCATCATAGTTTGAAATCAAAACCATCAAATAGCGACTTGGGAGTTTGCCGGGAACTTGCTACGTACGGGTATGCACCTCCTCATTGCCCCCTTTTGATGGTATCTTCGGTTCGGTCTACCTAGAAATGATGTAATTGTTTTTATTTGTTTTTCTTGCTAGTGTAGATACATGTGATGGTGTGTGTTAGCGCTACATAACAAAGTACCGACGAACCTTGCGTCATACATATGACGAGTATGAGCTGACCTTTTCGGTCAATTAATCAATCAGAGAGACCACCAAACCTACAGGACTGTATAGAACGACGGGAAAGGGAGCTATACGCCTATTATGATAGATTCATAGTATCAGTGGAATAAAAATCCCTATCTTAGTACTGATTACTGCATCACATGCACTCCATCACTCACCCTAAAGTATCTTGCTGATCAACTTTAGCAACTCACAAAAAATCCCCGAGTCTACAGGGTCACAAGCCACTGACACACTGTTACGCTCAACTGACTCCGCGTCAATTTTGTTCCCGCTTCGGTTCGCTACACGGGCAGGCATCAGAAACGTTGGCCGCTTGAAGCGTAGGAGACGAAATTAGCAGATCAGTTTATGCCACGTAGATTATGATCCTTACACCAATTATTTTTGTATCATAAGACTGAGGAATCCCTCTTTTTTGTTACCCACTAGACGGGCTACCTATCCACCTACCTAGATAGGTCCTGCTTTCCATTATCTTCCCCCATCTGAGCTGGAGCTAGTGCAGTGATAAAAGGTGCTCAGGGCTGCCTCTCTATTAGTCTACTTCTTCCATTTAACCAACTGTGCTCCTCTTACGTATTGGACGCTAAGTCAGCTATTTCACACCAACCCCTCCAACGTCTTTTTTTACAACTCTGCCTACCTTCTTCCTATCATCACTCAACTTTTCGACATCTGCTTATTGTATTGATACATTATTATCAACAATGTCTGCTCAAGATAAGGCCCAACAATACCTTGGTCAGCTCGACCGTGAGGTAAGTTCTTGACAACGCTGCGATTTCACCTTCGTAGTCGACACAAATTGCGCAACACTTGATCCAGATCAAATGCTGACAACTGTCGTTATCCAGCTCTCCAAGTACCCCGCCCTCAACAACCTTGAGAAGCAGGCTGGTGTTCCCAAGGCCTACGCCGTCATTGGTGTCGGAGCTCTTTACTTCTTCCTCATCATCTTCAACCTCGGCGGTCAGCTTCTCACCAACTTTGCTGGTTTCGTCATTCCCAGCTACTACTCGCTGGGTGCTCTTTTCACCCACAACAAGGAGGATGATACTCAGTGGTTGACTGTACGTGGCCTTCTTTCTCTAACCGCCGGAGCGGATCCCGAGATTCGCCGGGTTCTACGTGGCAGCAGGGTTGCTAACTACTTGCCTAGTATTGGGTCGTTTTCGCTCTCTTTACCGTTATTGAGAGCTTCGTCCAGGTCGTCTACTGGTTCCCCTTTTACTTCGTCTTCAAGTTCATCTTCCTCCTCTGGCTCTCTCTCCCTGCCTTCCGGTAAGTTCTAATGCGGGTCTGCACCTGCCCCGCTCTACGTAGCATTTTGTTCAAAAACTGACTTGGATAGGGGTGCTGAGCTCATTTTCCGATCTTTCCTGGTCCCTACCCTCGGCCGATACTTCCAGCAGTCCGGCTCTACCGCCTCAGGTCTCCGTGCCAAGGCTGACGGCCTCGACAAGACCGAGTAAATGGTCACCGCTGTGTAGCTTGGTCGCTAATCCAAATCTCGCGTATACTGCGTGACCCGGACCAAGTACTTTCGGTTATACATGAACGGAAAATTGTTGCCTTTTGGGAATGGAGTAGCTTTCAAAATAATGCTGCTCGATTTGGAGGTGAACGGATGAGAAGGATCAACATCAGGATTGGGAAGTATACAAGCTAGAGAGACGCACTGGGCAGCTGTTTGAACGCGAAGGGGTGACTCTTGTCATGGCCCTGTTTGACTGATGAATGAATGCCAAAGATATTGACTAGAACTATACTGAAGACGCTCTCTTTTGAACGTCATGAGAACACGTTTCGCGATTATGTCGTTTTTTGCTTACCCCACATCGCCTCACTTTGTGATCTACAACGCTGAAGAACGGTCCCCTAATTTATCAGACATCAGCCTATCTATGATTGTCGCGTGCCCAATTGTTGAAGCTGCGACTTTCAACACATATCTCAATGTGTGGTGCAGTAGGTCAGTAATCGTCAATCTTTTACTGGTAGTTCAACCTCAAGCTTGTACGGCCGACGATCTGATCCGATCTGGCGTGACCTTGACGTAGCGCTCAAGTTGCTAGTCCGTGGAAGGTCTTATTTTTAGCATGGCCCAAGCTTTTTGTAACCGTTCGTGGGTTCGTCCAGACTCAAAAAAAATCCCGACCATTCCTCAGCGTATCAAAAAAATTGGCCGCTAGGAGTATAGGATAGTGACGAAATTAACAGGTCAGTTCATCGTACCTAGAATCAATTTCTTAGCTTATTTATTTTTTACCCTAACCTTTGAACGCCAATTTTTTGGTACCTCTAGCCACTATCCGCTGAACCGTTTGTGGCGGTGCAGCAACCCTAGCGTCCTGGATGGATGACTGCGCCTCACTTCCCCTTGCTGTATCAAATTAGTGGTTGCCGCTGTCAGCAGTAGCATCCATTCTCATCGTGGGCTGAATCGTCTACTTCGATCTTTAATTCTTGTTCAATCGTCTTTTGTCGAGCAAGACGAACTCTCCTCAAGATACAACTTCGGGGGATCTCACAATGGTCTTTTGCATCTGATACCAAGCCTCATGCTACGAAAAAGAACACTCGTTTCCTGATTGCGCGTCGCTAGACCGAAGCCATACTCAGCAAAAAGGCGAAGGCCCCTGGAGGGAACGCCGACCATCATGATACCCAATGCATCCATACCACGACTACCGATACCAAGAACAACGTACATACTTACCCTAGCGCTGAGTCTATTACTCTGTGCTTTTGGAAATGCCGATGCATCAGAGCTGTTGCACGACTCTATATTCGACACCGAAGCACTTGTCGAGCGAAGCGATGCATCCATTCTCATATACGAACCTGACTTCGGCGTATTCGATCGTAGTATACTCGGTCGTGCAACAGCAGAACAGTCGCTTTTGACCAACAACGGCCCGGATAGTCGAAAATTGAGTCCCGGCGCAACTGTTTGCTACGTCGTGGATAAGAAGACATTGTTCGGCAAGGATAAGAGGGACGACGATACCCATGAACCGAGGAGCACCGAGGACGATTCTGGCCATCAAAATCCTCGTCGAGCTGAGTCTAAAACGGTTTACATATCTGTAAATACCTGTTCGAGGCCAAGCTTGAAATCCAAGGATAAGGACAACAATCCTGAAACAGCACCACAACTCAGTCTCTACACTTCAACCTCTAGCAAGATCAAGTGCCCAGACTCATCTAACTACAACAAGACAAACTCTGACCTGCAAAGGATACCGTTCGATGAGGGCGCGGCCACGGTTACTGTTAATGCTACCGATGCCATATACATTAGTGTTGCTGCTCCTAACATCACAAAAAAGCACGATGGGGACTGGGAATATCAGATCGCGATATCTTTTGACGAGTACTATCATAACTATGACGCTCAGAACGGTACCGCTCGACTACTGCTGATGGATTTCGACTCAACATCAGCACTTCTTGTCACTAGCAATCTGACTGAGGATTCAAGTGAGACCCAGCAAATCATGAAGAGGCCGCCCCCTTACCAATTATTCGTTGGCGACGAAAAACTTAGATCCATTGACGGTCTGCGACACTCAGCTTGTGGCCTTGCACGGAGCGCCGAAATTTGGGCAAATGGCAATAAGTCGGGGCGACACAATGATCTCGTTACCACCGGTGTTACAACACGAGGACCAGGCCAACTACCCAAGCAGCAATTCTTGATTGCAGGTCTTAATCACAGTTCCTCATACTCGGGCATCCTTGTCAAGATGCCAGAAGGGAACAGCAAGAGGGCCGAAACAACAGGTGGTGGGGGTACAGTCTACCGGGCCACCTCATTTCAAACATCATCCAGTAAGTTAAAACTACCATTTTATTTGCTTATATGAAACTGACTCCACCAGGCTCAAATTGCAAGATGGTCACTAACCTTGAATTTTGTAATGAGACTCAATATGCTGTCCCAGGCAATGACAAGAAGTTCAACAACACGGCCCTGGCAAAGCACTACGATGACTACGCTAGAAAGATGTATGCCAACTTTGAAAAGGTCATGATGCAGATGCCCTGCGAAACACCCCCTGAGTCCCGCTACTCGCTTGTGCGGAGTTGTGATCAGTGCCGCGAAGCCTACAAGCGTTGGCTCTGCACTGTTAGTATCCCTCGCTGTGAAGATGTTATGGGCGGTAGCAGGTTCAGCGTCGTCCGCAACGCTTTCCAAGCTTTCCCCAACGGGACCACGCTCCCTGATAATTTTCGCAAAGGACTCAGGTCATCTGCAAACAACTCTTCGCGTAACGCCTGGATCGACGAAACGGTCAAGCCCGGCCCTTACAAGGAATTATTGCCATGTGAAGACATTTGCTACGACGTCGTCCAATCCTGTCCCTCGGCCATGGGGTTCACCTGCCCGCAACCTGGATTCCCAAGTTTTAGCGTAAGCTATGGAGAACGGAATTCCGATACTTCCAGTATCACATGCAACTACCCGGGCGAGGCAAGAACAAAGATCAGCGCAGCGTTGGTTGTTCGTCCTGATACGTTTATGCTCAGTGCGGTGTCATTGATGATGTGGTTGCTGTGAGAGATGTGCTTCTTGGGTATGCTTGGAGTTTAAGATGGCGTTAACTTGAATCCTTGGCAAAGGTACCGCGATGAACTGGCATGTTATGATTGACCAATTTCGGAGGTACACTTCTCGAGGTTTATAGACTTTGTTAGTGTTATATGTAAGATAAGGTCGTTTTAGATAGGCTTTTGTAATTCTATTCAACGATTTGGTATATCAATACTGCAAAGAACAGCCATACATGGAAATCATTCGTTTATCATCTGATGATTCAACCACATCACCATAGCACGGGGTCTAAGCCTTTTTTGCCTTTGTTGCAGCATCGTACTCCTTGATCGTCGTTTCCAATTTCTCGATAGTCGCTACAAGAGAAAGGTCAGCCGGCCTGTTGTCGCAAGCATCCTTTAAGACGAACCATCTCGTTCGGCGCGGACCTCGTCTGTCTCAAGCTTCACCCATGACCAATAAGTAAGCTGGTATGTGAAAACAGCGATGAGAAGTGTCTTTGCGATCGGTCGTGTGAATGTGCGATAGAACTGAGACTACAGCATTGTCAATACAAGCTCCAAGTGTATGAACTGGTATGCGTACTGTTGGGCTGGGCTGACTTTTGCTCGCGTACGTTCTTCTGCTAACGGAATAGAGACCCTTGTTGTAAAAGCTCTTTGGCGCAATCGCAGGCCGTAGCCTTGTCAATGCCGTGGAAATCATGTTGTTGATGCGCAGTGAATTGAACATTGAATAATCGCAAAGCAATCGATAAGCTTCATTCGCAGAAGCACAGCCACATCTAAGCTGTGGCGTGAGGTGCGTAGAGTGGGGGCGGGGCCGGTGGGGGAATGAGACGGTCTCCAGTTTCCACCTCCCATGTCCGCTGTGCTGCCCGTAATAAGGGGAAAGGAACACATGTCCCCAAAATTGTTAGCAACCCATTTAACTTACAGGGCCTCTGAAATCTGTCCCCTAGTTGATCTCCGAGCTAGTACTTGAACTTGAACACGCGCAATTTCCATATCCGAAGCAATTCATTTTCTACGACTTATTTCCTCCTATACACTCAATCTTTGTACTTCTGTCTTCTCGATTCCTTCACTCGTCAACACTTGAACCCTTCAGACACGATGGTACGTCGCTAACTCACGGAACCCTGACTCGACAGTGTCGATCTCATGATGGAGATGGAGCTAATATAATATTCTGTTCGCAGGCGCAAACTCCCCAGCAACGACGACGTAACGAGGCCTTTGCCAAGGGCAATGAGAACAAGATGGGCAAGGCCGAGCAGCAAGTCAAAAAGCGGGTTGAGAAGGTCCAAAAGTCACCCATCTCTATGTTCTGGCTCAGTAAGTATTCGAGCTAACAAAGCTTTGTTATGAAGCTTAACGTATTAACAATACTCTTTAGGTGTCCTCGGCTTCGTTATCTTCGGCGGTCTTGTCTTCGAGGGTCTCTCCCGATTCTTCGGTTAAACCTATTCTTCGATCCAACCTCTCTGTACTACAAAACACAAACACAAAAAACCAAAAACAAACAACACACAAATACCCCAATCAAGCTTCGCTCAAGCGGTGGCATTGTAATTCTTTGGAGATATAAGAGGTGTTGGCAGGCTTGGCGCCGTGCGGTCTACATACGAGCGTGGGTCACCAGTCCACCATCCAAAGGAGCTCAAAAGGGGGCAGGGCCTTTACTGTATTTCATTGTTGGAGCAGCTGTCTTGATATCAAATGGAACTTGACTTGAGGAGAATAGGCGCAAACTGGATTTAATATAAATCAATTTCTTTTCGAAGATTAAAACAAGGGGTTTCTTTCTTTGCCTTTTTGTCTACCCGACGCCATGCCATGAATCATGCGATCAAAATACCAGCCCTTGGTATAAGGGAGTCTGTTGAAGTCTTGAGCTTCGCTCTCCAGCTTAGACCAGCTCCAAGTCCTCAAAGAATTAAGCACCGAGACCGCGGCGCTTACTTCCAGCCTCATTCTTCATCTTCATGCCAGCCTCGAATTGCTTTTGAATATCGGCTTCGGCCTTGGTAGAATCAGATACGCCCTTGGAGGCAGAACTGTGAGCCGCGGGGGCAGCACCACCCACCTTCTTACCTCCCAAGAGTCGTAGGAACTTGGCCTGTCGAGCAGAACCGCCTTCGAGACCATCGACCTGCCACTGCTCAGTTTGAGCAGCGGATTCTTCAGATCCCTTCTCTACCTTGGCTTTGGCCTCGGCCTCTCGCTTGCGCTTCTTCTCGGCCTTCTTAGCCTTCTTGTCCGAAACCTCGGGTTCCTCATCCTCGGATTTAGACTCGTTGGTCTCCTCGTTGGCTTCCTCAGGCTCGACAACCCTCACCTTCTTCTCCTTCTTGTTCTTTTTATCCTTCTTGGAGTTCTTCGGCTCCTCTGCTTCCGAAGGAACATCAGCGACGGAGACGCGGCTTCGCTCGGAACCGGCGTTACTCAATCGACGGTGCTTCATAACGATCTCGTCGGCAGGGATGTCTTGAGGAACTTCGTTGGGCTCCTGATTCACAGGAACGCCACCCTTGTCCTCGGAGGCGTCAGAAGCCTCTGAAGCATCAGACGAAGAGGTGTCGGAATCAGAATCGGAATCGTCGTTGTCACTATCCTGTTCAGGCTTGGACTCAGTCGCATTTTTCTATATGGAGCTGTCAGTATGTAGGCCAGTAAGTTTCAAAGGACTACCTTACCTCGGCATCAAGCAAAGCCTGGTACTGAGCAGCAGCCTTCTTTGCCTCCTTGAACAAGGTGTCTGCCTTCTTCTGTAGCTTTTCGGCGCGAGTCTTGAGCTTCGCCTTCCTCTTTTCATCACTCACAACCTTCTTCTTTGCACTGTACTTCTCCTTTCGAGGGTTACCACCAACGACCTTCTTAGCCTCGGCATTAACCTTGGCCTTTTCAGCCTTTTCAGCGCGCTTCTCTGCCTTGGCAGCTCGCTTGGCCTTGCGCTTCTCCAGCATGGCTGCCTTGTCCTTTCTGGGCTTCAAGGTCTTGGCTGATTGTCACATAAGTTAGATACGGGTAGAGACATTCGGTGGGCAGATAGAAGTGTGTTAGGAGCAAATTTCAAACGGCAAGTCAACATACCCTTGTAGGCCTTCGCCTCGGGGTCGTTGCGCGACGCCATGGTGCTGACTTGAGAGTTGTAGGAAGATGCGTATCGTAGGATTTGAAGAAATTAGATGCAAGACTTTTATTCATAGAATTCCCACAAGGCACAATGTATCGTGAAATCTTGTTATGATGAATGGCGCAAAGAAATTGACGATAGCATCATGGAATGCGCTTTCCTGCCAGAATCACTTTTTCTGCCGGGCGGTAGGAAAAGTGACAGGGATATAAGCATGGGTGGAGGCAGGAACCACCGGCTTCCCAATTAGGCAATCGCTGGTTTACCTACAAGTATCTATACACCAAACATCCTGTTAGCCTGCTGGTGGGTTGCAGAAAAGTTAGCCTCCTAAGTCTTACGGTACAAAAATAAGTTGTCTAAGAATTATAGTCTAAGTAGCATAAGCTGACCTGCTAATTTCGTCTCTTATGATGCTGGCGGCCAACCTTTCTGGTACCCTAAGGGCCTGTCAGTTTCTGCCCATACATATTCCAAAATTCCATGATTTAAGAATAGTAGGCACTTCTTCGAGGGCCAGAAAAAAAATCTTTGAGTGAGTCAATTCAAGTGGAAGGAACTCGCATATAGATGGCAGTGGGACTCGGGCAGTGATGAGCCTGGTTGAATGGCCTTTAGCTTTTCAACATCTTATTATTATTCACCAATGCACTTCTTGTGAGATAGTATCCTTCAATTCATAAGTTTACCGACAGAATAACAAGAAAACTTGCATATAAGTATTGGAGGTATTATTAGGTCAATGAATCAAGTGTTTGTCTGATTGTGTGGAGTTTACCCTCCTTTCACCCCCATCCCCAACACCAGTAATAAAGTACAATAAGTAACAGTATTTTACAACATGATCTATAAATAGAACAAGAAAAAGAAGGAGACAAGGTGAATCCTTTTATCTTAGTATTAAGTTTAGTTCCTCGACTTGTATGGCCATCCCTGGTCGTCTTGTATTATGTCGTCTCAAGTCTCAGCCGCTTCCAATAATAGAATTTTGTCCCAAAAAACACCGAACGTGTATAAAAGAGCGGGGTGTTTCGAATGGAGCTCTGGAGAAGAGTGTGTGTAGTATTTCGTATAATAGCATTAATCGTGAGACATCAATCTTTGTATGTTAGTTGCTTCACTGTACACATTGTTAGGTGGCGTCTTGAAGAAACAGGGAATGACCTTACAGTAGTTTTATCCCAGTTTATTGCTCTGGGCTCGGGTTGTACAGGTAGTAATCGTCATAGTACATCTCATCTCCTCCATTGCTCTCGCCATAAGCCTGTTGCGTCCATTGCGCGTTGTAGGACGGTGAAGCCCTGTATGTAGCTGTCGCAAAGCTATCGTCTGCGCTGTGTGTTCCTCTCCTACTGCTGCTGTGTCGACTCTCAGCCTCTTGGCTTCTCCCTATAAAGGGACCAATGTTCATGCTGCCCCACGGAAGACCCGAGGGTTCCGAGTAGGAGCTGAAGTCATTGGCAGAAGGAATCCGATAGCTGTTACCAGCATATTCCTGGTTTCGAGAATCTCGCTCTGTTCTCTCCTTGTTTTCTCGTGCCTTTTCTCCTAGACAGTTCTATTAGCGTCTTGAATACTCATATGCTTTCAGAAATCTTACGGAATTTGCGCTGAGCGATTCGGTTCTGGACTCTTCGTCTCTCTTCAGGATCTGTGATTTCTGACCAGTCAAGATCATCTATTGGGGTCGACTTTGACTTTTTAGAAGAATGTGATGACGAGCTGCCCTTGTGTGAGCTATGAGAGCCATGTGAGCTGTGTCGTGAGCTTCCACCCATCTTGCTCTTTTCAGGGGGTTGCGAGTGCTTCGCTGAAGACACCTTTTTCTTGTTCTTGGCAGTCGAAGGAATTGACCTTGTCTGATGTGGTGTTGCAAGATTTGAAGAATGGGAGTGTTTGTAGCTTGACTTCTTCTTTGTCGAAGTCTCTTGATTTGTAACCTCAGGGGAAGGACTCTGGATGTGAATTTCTGGTGTTTGTAGATCTGATGGCGATTGCTCCGACGCGGACATCTACTCCAAGAACTTCATATAGGGAAAATATTCAGGACCCAGAGATCGTAACTGTTGATACCAGTGGCAGGATAGCATCTAAGATACAGAACTTTGGTGTATGAATTAGAGTTGTTGTTCAAAGAGATTGGTGCTGTCAAGAGAGTATCTGGTCCAAATAGTGCTGATACAGGACACACCTAATTCTTGGATCATGGGGATATAATAATAAACAATGATCAAGTAAAAGGATTATGTCTTGTCTTGTAGTCGATTCAACTTGAGGCTCTTACAATAGTACATAAACAAAAGTTGAAACTAAGGGCAAGGCCACATACATGTATCTATAAGGCAACAACATTTTTAAGAAGCCTAGCTAAACTAGAGAAACACACCCTGGACAGTTATAGGCTGTACCTTAGGAACCCAGTAACTATGACCAATGCGACAGCGGGACGGGGGAATCGGCCAGGACCGGGGGTGAGGCTTGACTGTTTCTCGAGAATTGGGTGTGAGGTAATGGAGGGTCAAGATGAACGGCGGACTTAGGTAGGCGGAATTGACGTATGGAGATTACGAGTAGGGCACAAGGCAAATGCGTATGGGAAATTTGGCCATTGGTGGATGCAAGTCTACACTTGGTCGCATAGGTTAGACAGCAGCAGTCGCTTGACTAACAAGGAGGATTCGCATCAGCCCTGGAACACTCTACAGGGAGCAACTTATGCTTAGAGCATAGCACCCGAGAAAGTCTAAGCCTAGGATGGTATTAGGTATCGAATGGGATGCGAGCAAAGGGGCGTGTGGGGGTATGGGATGTGACAGAAAAGTTGTTTGGCAAACGATATCAGATCCGAAATCCTCCTTGGTGACTGAGGCCATGAGGTCTCGTGGTGCACAGAATACGTATGCGTATACTATCACAGTCCAAGAGTCGTGGAGCTGGTTTATCTGCTGTACGTCAGGTCAGGTACATACATGCAGATGTTTAGACCCATGACGGCGTAGGAGTCATACTCGAGAAACCTTGTAATCACTCACCTGCAGTACCTGAGTTACAAACGTTCCCTGGCCTTCCCTAAACTACCTATAGTCTGGGCCAGCTAATTCAAGTAAGACGAATTGGGAAGTACAGTACGTATGTGCCCACGTACAACATCTGCGCCAAAGAGCTGTTTAATGAAAGAGAATACGTATGTATCTTCTGCACACGCATCCTCTGCAAGGTCCCTTGTCTTGTGCATTTGCAACCTGTCATGCCCTGTCATGCAGGATTCACCCACCAACCTTGGTTGTCAACTCTGAGACCGGGTGACTAGCGATGAGAAAATCCGCGTTGCCAAGCCACTCGCCCTGAAATAGTGAAGTAAACGGGTATCATGGGCCGAGAGCGAGATATACGACAATGACGGAGGAAACAGTCAAGGAGCGCAGAGCCTAGTTTAGTTTCCTGCCACGAGGGAACTGAATGACAGGAATGCGCTAGAAAACGGACCCTTCTCAATTGAGGGCATGGGATGGTGTGGCTTATACGGTACAAACAAGTACAACTGACTTGAGGCATATTGATTTAATTACCTTGTGACCCAATTCTGTTTTTGTGAATTCGTGAGTTTAAAACTCAATTCCAATACTAAATATTTAGGGAACTCGTTTCACCGAATCCTTGCAATTATGTCGCTGTCGATCCGAAATTCCCGGATCTTGCGTGCTAGGGTACTCATAGACGAGAAGGACAGGGGTCTCTAAGAGTCATCGCGTTAACTTAGGAACCACTGTACAACTAAAACGTTATTAGGAACGGCCTCTGTCCCGAGGATTTGGACACGTTTATTAGCTGAGATCATTCCTGGACCTGCAGACACTGTACATTATAAGTATCTTGCACACCGTCTAACAAAATGCTTCACAATGCGGCCGTTGGAATTATCGGAGAGTTCCTGAAAGGGTTGCCTTGCGTAGTCTAACTCGCTGCCTTGAGGCTTCCACATCATGACCTGTCTCATATCTATGCATAATTAGACAAGATATAAGGACACGTCGCTATTATCATTGCTAGGCAGTCACTTAGATGATGTCAAGTTTGAACCTATCTTCCTAGTCCGAGCCGAGCACCGACACTGTCACTTTCCAGCCCTACAGGAGTAACAACCATTACAAGTTCGCATTCGCACGGCATCCTTCAATGACATACCTCTGTGGAGGGTTTAATGCACTGCATCAGTAACATGAAACAAAGATATTCGGTCTCTCAAGCATAAAAAAGAGTCATACTGTACAGTGGGAAATGACAAGATGACTGTACTGTAGCCCAGGTACATGCATGTCCCTCCAAGGGCGTGCGTGACCAGTGCAATATGGCGATCTGCCGTCGCTAGAAAACTCCCAGGAAACGTCGGTTTATTCAGGGTTGATTATCAATCAAATGAGTGACTTTCAACTCGTCTTGGTTTGTTCATACGTTGTATTGGTGATATCAGATGATCGACGTCCATCTTCTGGCGATACGACCTTGGTGTAAGCCAAATTTAGGCAGCCTCTGCAATATTGCATCGTGCTAAACTTCACCTGAACTTGACACTGGAGGGACAGGGTTTTCTATTTGCCCTCATCCGCCATGTCCAGTATGCCAAACAAAGGTTCCTCGATAGCTGAAACTCTAAGGCCATAGGTTGGGGGCCACCACTAATGATTCGTCAACTGATCAATTGGGTGGAAAATGTGAATAGATACATGATGGGAGTGCAAGACACTTTAAACAATTAATCAGAGAAAGAAGGTTGTCTGATGTGCAATTCACAACTAATGAACTACCTCTAGATGAACGTTGATATAGTGTAAGTGATACATTTAAAACATCTGGCTGGGTACAGGGTATGGGTAACGTACCCAGTTTCATAACCAGTGACAGCAACAACCACAAACTCATGGCCTGGTTTTCCTACCGAGAAGATGTATAAATTAAAAACGTGACAGAATAACTTTCGACTGCAAGTTAGGGATGATGGGGATACTGGGGATACTGAGTCATAAGCGTCAGACATGTATTTGAAATCCATGAGTTCACAATGGTAGCACCAGAAGCATAATGGATGTCAAGGAGAGCCAGCCTTTCCAGCATGGATGCCACAATACGGTATCTGATTTGCCTTTTCAAGACGAGGCATCAGCAGCACGTAGTTTTAGAAACATAATATCATATATCATTGCATCTTGGTCAAGTCTCGTTTCACGACATCAGATAACCCAAGAGCGATGTTCGAGTAAAACATGCTTTTGCTCAGCTGTCCATAAGCCCCAGTCATATCTGCTAAAACTACAGTAGTAAATGTACATGCCGTATCTTTTGGCCGTTGTGCAACTATTACATCTTGGCCAACATCTCAGCTTCACGCTCAGCTCTTCGCTCCGCAGACCTCTTCTTGAACCGGGTCTCGGCCCTTCTGCGCTCACCACCGTCAATCTTGCGACCCTGGCGGTCCTCCCACATCCCTTCCGTGACCTTTACAACGACTCCTGAAGCGCCAGGCAAAGGCTTGGCATAAGGTCCAGCGATCGTCTGGGCGCCCACAACCTTGTATCCGTTTGGTCGCACTAGTTGTGACCCAGCCTGTGCTGCGGGCTTCGTGCTCTTCTTGGTAGAAGTTTCGGCAGCTTCACCCTCCGCAGGGTCGATATCGTGGGGCACGTTAACAACCCATTTCGTGTCTTTCAAGGTCTGTGGAGGTGGTGTTGCAATCCTCAGAACAGCTTCTCCGTTCTTCACATGTTGGAAGTCCCCACCAGGTCCCAGGGAGCCCTTTCTGTATTTCTGCATCCAGTGTAGAAGGTAGCGGCGGTTTCTTGGTGGTTCGATGCCCAGCTCCTTCAGTTCCGGCGAGGTGAGAGAGAAGAGAGCGTTCCATGAGGGGAACTTATTGGCGTATTTGTTGAGGCCGCGGCCGATTAGGGTGAGGAAAGTCGGCACATCGGGGACGAAAGGCACTGGCTTAGGGATCGGGTGCGCAGGCCGTGTCTTGTGAAGTTGTCGGATTTGTCCTGTCCTTGAAAAGGCGCTGCCGCTCTGCAGAAGCAAGCCAAACGTTGACCTGAGTCGTTCGCCCTTCATTTTGCTAGACACATGATATTAGAATTCGTAGACTGAGAACGAACCGGACATGAAGATCGAACTCACAGTGTCCAATGGGTTGAATGTCAACCAGTTCAGCGCCTCTCCAGAGTCAACGTCAAAGTCTCACAAGCCGATGAACGTTGATCTCGAAATTTGACAATGGATCTCCTTATGTCAGCAAGTGGCTGACAGTGCCACATTGAGGTGTGGCGCGTCCAAACAAGGTTTCCAATTGGCTCTGCGTGGGAACGCGCTAGGCTTCCACCCTCGAGGACCTTCATTGCTCTACCTTCTTTGTCCTTTCTACAACTTCATCAAACCGGAGTTGCCATCAAAAACACCACCAGATTTGAAGGCGGTGTTATTTTCCATCCAGAGCCCTTCAAGGGTAAATGACAGGAACAACAAACTCTAGTGATGGCTCGAGCAAAGCAAACAGCCAGGCGTCCTGCCCCACACCCTGGCGTTCACTTACATGTTGGAATCGATGGTGAGTTCTTCTTACACATGCATACTTTCTCTCGACTGGCAATAGTATGAGAGACAGTATTATTTTGTAACCACGGATAAATTTACTTTTCTTGTTGGAAACTTAATTTTTTATTCTGTTCAAATGTTCAAACACCTATGGGTTATCATAGCCAAATTGTGAATCCTTCTTTCTTCTTTGTTCATGTTCTTGAACACGCTTGCTCACTTCGATCGATAGATTTAATACCAGAATGTCTTGTGGAACGCTTGGTAAAGATTGCGAGCTCTGAGAATGAACCTTCAGCGCAAACCCCCGAGCCGCCTACTAAGCGGCGCAAGCTAGATACCTCTCTTTTAGTCGCAAAAGCCAATTTCACTGTAACCCGACAATGCACAGCGTCTTCCCAAACATCTGTTTCCTGCAAGGAGGTTGAGAAGTTTATGAGAGTTTCTTTGCGTGACAGCCGGCTGTTCTTTTCTTCATCTAAAGACTGCCCAGTTGATCCTTTCCGCGCAACCATTAGTCTCCGAAGATTGGAATCAGACAACCATGTAAAAAATCTGAACCACCTATCCCAAGACTCTAACCGACCATCTCGGCCTAACGAGCTATGGACTACAGTAGATATGAAACTTGAATGGCAGGGAAAGCGGGTTAAATTGTCATTTTGCTACAACTTTTACTGGAACGATTCTCCGTCCCTTCACTCACACCAAAGATCAACCACGGATCGCACGGAAAGTCAGAAACTCATCAACTTCATATTACGCGGCTCTCCCTCAGCTAGTCTACCGTTTCAACCAGGATGGTCCCTTATGGACTTTTATGACGCTGCTTTTGTCCCTCCAAAGGACGATAAAGTAGCGGAAACTATTCAAATCAGTGCCATGGAGTCAACATTATTCCCGTATCAAAAAAGGTCGTTACAATGGTTGTTACAGCGCGAAGGCGTGCAGTGGTCCGAAGCAAGCGGCGGCATTGTCCCATACACAGCCAGCGATCGAGAGAACGTATACGACTTCGAGAAATTTGCAGATCTGAATGGGCAAGAATACTACTTGAGTGAAACACTTCACACCGTCACAAGAGACCTGGCGCTATTTCGGGAAGCGGAAACCTCAATCAAAGGCGGCATTCTGGCCGAAGAGATGGGATTAGGCAAAACCCTGGAGGTTCTCGGCTTAATCATGCTTCATGCAAGATCAAGGCCCCTGATACAGAGCACCGATGAGGCCCAAGCCAAACTCACGCCAACCGGAGCTACGCTGATTGTGACACCCCCATCACTTAGAGATCAGTGGGCATCTGAGATTAGTCGCCATGCTCCTGGCTTGAGCGTCGAGGTTTATGAAGGCCGGAAGAGTATCGCAGACGAAGACGAAGAGTATGTTGTTAACGAGCTTGCTGGTCACGATGTAGTCATCACTACCTACTCAGTACTTTCTTCCGAGCTTCACTATACAACTGCGCCCCCGGAACGCTCGCGTCGACATGCCCGAGTGTACCAGCGACCGATATCTCCCCTTACCCAGATTTCATGGTGGCGTATTTGCCTAGATGAAGCACAGATGATTGAAAATGGCTACAGCCAAGCGGCCAAAGTGGCTCGTGTTATCCCTAGAGTCAACGCTTGGGGTATCACCGGTACTCCTGTGAAGAACAGTGTTCAAGACCTTCAAGGCTTACTGCTTTTCTTGCAATATGAGCCATACTGCTCGATGAATAGCGCCTGGAATCATCTACTACATTGGAACAAGTCTGGTTTCCAGCGTTTATTCAACAAGGTCACTCTCCGACACACGAAGTCAATGGTCAGAGACGAGCTGGTCATCCCTCCTCAAAAACGCTATGTTATCAGTATGCCGTTCACAGCTGTCGAAGAGCAACACTATCAGTCTCTTTACCGGGACATGGCACAAGCTTGCGCATTGAGCCTCGACGGAGCACCGCTTGTGGAAGACTGGGATCCGGACGATCATACAGCTAGCATGAGAACTTGGCTGGTGCGGTTAAGACAAACTGCATTGCACCCTGAAGTTGGAAGCTATAACCGTCGAACACTCGGTAATAACAAGAACCGGCCGATGAGAACTATTGATGAGGTCTTGGATGCAATGCTCGAACAGAGCGAAAGCGCCATTCGAACGGATGAAAGGGCTTATTTGACAAGTCGACTCACACGGGGCCAGCTGCACGAAAATAGCCCACGAGTACAAGAGGCTTTGGAAATTTGGAAATCGGTTCGCGACAAGACTCGAAAGCTCGTTTCTGATGCGCGAACAGAGCTTGAGACATTGCTAAAAGACCGGAGAGGTGGAGGTTCTGCAGTTGCCAACGCCGATGACCTTGGTATAGAGACCGATGATGACGATGTTGAAGTTGAGGGTAAGGGACAGTTAAACGAAAGCCGACGGCGTCTCCGATCTGCATTGGAGATGGAACACAAAGCTGTCTTTTTCTGTGCGAATGCATACTTTCAGATTCGAGAGAACCCTGAAATGGTTGAGCCGGATTCCGAACGTTTTCATCAGATGAAGAAGTTCGAGGATGATGGATACGAAGAAGCGAAAGTGATCCGTAGAGAAATTCTACGCGAATCCCACCGCAAAGCAACTCGATCGATGGCCAAGCTAGCACAAAAGGCATCCGAGCAATCTTTTGTCGAGATCCCAGACCTCACAGTCAGCGGTGAACGGGGCATCGAGAGTGGTCGCATCCTTGATGACTTGGAGACACTGTACGGCGAATTGAATAACCAAGCCAATCTGATCGACGAGTTGAGGGAACATATTGTTGGGCTACTCCTGAAACCCTTGGTTGATGAAGAAGGCGACGCTGAAACAACTGGCGAAGAATATGGCGAGTCAGCTAAGATTCAAGACGAGCTTATGGTATATGTTCAAACTCTTGGAGCCGTCATTGCTGATCGACAGGATGCTCTGACGGGACAGACGAATGAGTTGATCAAACACGAAACAAAAACATCGCTGAAACTGGCAGAAAGCGGCAACGGACCAGCTCCAGAGAAATTAATTGATCTTATGATATTACGAGACCAGACGAAACCGAACTCAACATCAATGAGAAAGGTTATCGGCGAATTTCGGGCCTTGACATCAAAACTCTCAAAAGATACAACACGAGGTATCATGGAGGGCAGAATTGTAGATCGACAGCTCAGAGCGACACAGGAAATCATGAATGCACAAAGCAAGCTGGCTCTTGAAGCAGAGGTTGACAGCTTCAAGACCATTATGAACCTACGCTTAGAGTACTATCGCCAGTTGCAGGTTGTTTCCGACAGCGTTCTCCCTTACGAGGGCCCTCCTGTTACCGATGCAATTGAGAAGAAGATGAAGGAGACTGAGGATAACTTCCACCAGAAGCTTTCTGCAGCAGAAGCCAAACACAGATACCGTAAGTGATTTACAAGCCCCTCGTTCCCATTTGACTAGCTAACTTCCCTGTTAGTTCTGCATCTCAAGGAAGCAGGAAACAAGTCTAACGAGCCACGGATGTGTGTTATCTGTCAGACCTCATTCACGATCGGTGTCCTTACCGTATGTGGTCATCAGTTCTGCAAAGAATGCATGATGCTATGGTTTAAATCGCACCATAATTGCCCGGTGTGTAAAAAGAAGCTGAAGTCTTCTAATTTACACGACATCATCATCAACCCCCAGCAGCTTAAAATACACGGCGATAATCCAGACCAAGTACTTGACGGCACCGAAAGCAGCCCGCAACAAAAGCAAAATAGACTTCAAAAAAAGGCAGGGATTTACTCAGAGTTCAACGCGGATAAGCTGGCCGAGATCCAAAATATTGAGTTGGGCGGACCTTCGTTTACTACAAAGGTTGACACCCTTGTCAAGCATCTAATGTGGCTAAGAGAATCAGACCCCGGAGCAAAGTCAATCGTTTTCTCGCAGTACAAGGGATTTCTGGGGATTTTACAGAATGCTTTCGCCCGATTCGGGATTGGGCATACGTCCATCGACGATTCGGGTGGCATCAAACGTTTCAAAGAAGATGCTTCGGTTGAGTGCTTTCTCCTCCATGCTAGAGCGCACTCCAGTGGCCTCAATCTCGTTAACGCAAGTCATGTCTTTCTCTGTGAACCCCTCCTTAACACCGCTCTTGAGCTCCAAGCTATCGCACGTGTAGACCGTATTGGTCAGATACACGAGACAACTGTGTGGCTTTATCTGGTATCCGGCACAGTTGAGGAGTCAATTTACAATCTCTCGGTACAAAGGCGAATGGAACATATGGGCCGTGTCAATAAGGGAAAATCGAAGGAGTCTACTCCAGAGCTACTCGATGCGAACATCGAGGCGGCCAACACACTCGAGCTGGAGCAAGCCTCTCTTGCACGCCTGATGAGCAAGGACAAAACAGCTGGTGAGAATGTAGAGGAGGATGATCTGTGGGAGTGCCTGTTTGGGCATGTCGCTCGTAAGGGCGATGGATCTGAGAGGGATACCAGGGCACAGGAAAAGGCCGTCATGGGGTATCTGGCAGCAGAGGCAGCCGATGGAAGGAATAGTACTGCCAACTAGACACAAATTTGATAAACGGTAGTATTTAAATAGGGCCTAGATGTACATGATGAGTTCGGAGAAGCTATATGCATGACTGTCAAGGTAGAGTAAGATTTATATCATTTTTAATTTAACAACTATCCCATTATACTGATGTGAAATACCTAATTTTGAAGACGTACTCTCCAGGTGCTGCAGGCATCGCACAAAGTACCATATGAATTGATAACCATCACTTAAGGCTTGTCATCAAACATTGAAAAACATCATTATCATTTATTTGATGTTCCTTGTAGTACATGTAATATACAACAGATGCTTTTAGCCTATACCCTGGTCTTTTTTGACGCGTTGGATCGTCCCTGATGATACCACCGTCCCCAGTCTACCTAGGCAAATGCGTCTCCTATCCATGAAACTTGATACATGGCTTCGCTACACAATACACGCGCATTATAACGCGGTGGGTGGAAAGAAGATGTTCCATCTCTTTAGTCAACTCGCTTGACCTTGGCGCTGGCGCCAGACTTGACACGTCGGGCAACAGGGCGGTTGATGTGATGGTCAGGGATCCAGCTCTCGTCGTAGTCTTTGCCAGAGACGTCGGCAATGGGGACGGCCTCGGAACCGGAGAGGGGCTCGGCAATATCGACGGCCTTCTTGGCCTTCTTGTTGGTGCGGGGGCGCTTAGCCTGAGGGAAGAGGGCCTCGATCCAGGTCTTGTAGACGAAGTAGAGAGTGCCGGCGAAAGCAGCAGAGAGGAAGAGGTAGAGGAAGATGCTGAAGGCGTTGTTAGCTTGCTCTTGGGATATGGGAGGAAAAGGAATCTTACATCTGAGGGTCGAGGAAGCTAGTGGGGGCCTCAACAATAGAGGCAGAGCCATTGTGGACCAGAACCTCGTGGAGGGCACCGTTGGAGTCAGAAACGAGAGCCTGGAGCTCGATGCGAACCTCCTGGGGCTGCATGTCCTGAGCGAAAGAGAAGGGAAGCTCCTTCTTCTCGCCAGCGGGGACCTCAATGTTGTACTGGACGGCCGTCAAGTTGCGGACGATGCTAGCGTAACGAGGGCTGTCCTCGGGAAGGTCCTTAAGAGTGTTCAGAGAGCCCGAGACGAAAGAAACCTGGATGGGGTTGGCGTCCTGGTTGGTGACCTCAATGACAGCCTTGGTAGGGCGACCGTTGACGAGCTTTACGCCGAGAATGTCGGTTTCGGGGAAAGTAGTCTTGATTTCGGCCTTGAGGGGAGCCTTGGGAGCGGCATTGGCATCAGGGGCGTCCTAGATAAGGGAATATTGTTAGTCTTTTCTTTCTTTTCTGGTGCGATTGGAGCTGTCGCGCGACACGTACCTGGGCGACGGCGCTAAAGATGTGAGATGCCACGAGGGCAAGGAGAGAAGCCTTGAAGAACATGTTGGATATAACCTATAGAGAGAGCAGACGAGGAGATGGGGGATGGGGGATGGAAGGAAGAGAAGAGGGAAAAAGAGAAGCTGGTGGAGATGACGGAATATGGGGAAATCAGGTTCCAGCTGTGGGTGTGACAATCTGGCCTCAGCATAAGGATAAGGACCGGATATGGGAGGCGACAGAGACATGCATGGAACAGGGGTGCTAGCTATGGCTACTGTGGAGTAATTCTTAGGTTGAGATTCGAATTGCTTCTTTAGTGCCAACCGAGCTAAGCTCAGTGGAGGTTTCAGCAGGGAATGGTTTTAGAGCTGGAGCTGGAGCTTGAATTAGGGGACTTTGTCACTATGATGGGAGAGCTAAGAGAAGCTTGGATCAATTGGGGATTGGAAGTGTTTGTTGGATCTCAAAGCTATGACACTTGGACCGAATCACGTTTAACGGTATCTATAGATAGCTAGTTGCTCAATTGACTGTTACTTTTGAGGCTCTAGATAAAGCAATGGCAGTTTGACTGTACATTCCCAAATGACCAATGGGAAATGTGGGACATGTCCGGAGGCTCCCCTGTTCTGTCTTCCGTATTATTCGGCCCCGCTCCGGGTCGGTATCTTATATTCATATTGAACTCAAGTCAATATTCAACCGCCTAGTATTTGAGCATTATTCTAGTAGCTACAAGAACAATGAAACGAAAAGTGTTAGTTTGATAGAATGACCGTAGTACTGAAGAGTCTTCACCCTAATTATGTACTAAAACGATGTAAATAAATCTATCGCAGGGAATTAAGAATATGTACACGTGTGTATAACCTTGCGTCTAAGCTGGAGAATCTTCAACCTTTTCAACCTTCCCAGTTTCCTTCGTTTTTTTCTCCCACGCCTCAACCGGAGGCGGCTGAAACAGTTCACCGTTCAAAGTTGCCCTGATAGTCATACAGGCCACCATGATCCATAGCAAAGTCTCAACGACCGAAAATATGGTTCCAAGAACCTTGAAAAATTGCGAAGGAAGCTCTTGTGCCAAAGTGGTGGTTGAAACAGTAAAGACCCCAAGAGGGAAAGTAAACGCCCACCAGGAAATACTGAACTTCAATTCGCGCCTGACAATGGTGGCGAGGGCGAAGAATAACCATGAGATGGCGAACCCCCACATTATGAGGGCTGTGAGGATGCCACTAAGATAAAAGAACTGTCCTGCGATGGGCGCCATGGGGATGAAATCGTTCCTTTCAAAGATTTTTAAAGCGACTTTGCCCAGGAGTTGAATGGCTGCTGCGCCTTGGCCGAGAGGTCCGATGGCGATGAAAGATGTTACAGCAGCCTGGCTTGGAAGGACATCGTGGATCATGAGTCGATTGTAGTACATGGCTAGGATAAGAACTGCCATAGGTACACTCGTTCCCCAGAGAATATAACTGGTTACAAGAGTCCAGATAGCATGTTGATCGTTGGGAAGGACATTGGCCACTATAGCCCCGGAGCCAGATGCGACAATGTCAGCAATGATAGGGAAAAGCCATGTGGGATTGGCTTGTTCGAGTGCAATCTAAGTTGTCATAGTGTCAGTAATCAGAAGTAATACGGGAAATACTGAAGATTTTAACTTACACCCTCGGTGCGCATGATGCAATGGGGTATGTAAAGGCTGCAGGACATAGCCATTACAATGTCTATCCACCAAAGAGCCCAGGCAAGGTGTGCTGCGTTATCACCCCAGGCCGGGACACATACAAAGACGATCATGTTAATTATAGTCGCGAGTCCAACAGGAATTGTTCCTAATCAATTATTAGTCTACTATCCCGTCAATTGAACATAGTAAACACTTGCCAAGGAAAACAGCCTGCCCGGGGTGTCGCAACGTCGAAGACCATGTCTCTTTAAAATAGGTATATCTCACGACAGATATACAACTGAACAAGACAAAAAGGGTAATATTCAGACAGAATATTATAACAGATATGTAGAATAACCATTGTCCTTGATAAGGTAGGTTATGCAGCAAAATAGACGTGATGCCAGTGCCCATGGTCACAGTGAACCATGAAGGCCCAAAGTTGACAACAATTCTCCTCCATCCTCGTCGATTCTTGCTATATTTATCGTGTTTTATTTCTTGTAGACTTGTAGGAGCCTCTTGTGGTAATGTATCGGAGCCTGAATATGTGACCTCGCTGGAGTCTAGATCTGTTAGGTTTTCTGGGAGTATCGAGGGAGTCATGATGAGGAAGAAAGGAAGGAACTGAGAAGAGTTCTGAACCCGTTGCCTCTAACGGGTATGGTGTTATTGCGCCTTCGTTACTCCAGGAAGCGCAATCAATCTTATTTAAACAAACATTGTAAGAAATAGTCTCGTTATGTGACGTCGCGCAATCGGCAGTTCGGCTCAACTTTCGACCCACGACGAGTCGTCATGTTTTTCTGACTCCCTGAATGTCTCCTTCTCCTCGACTCATACCATTGAAAATTCAGCGATGGGTGCACTCTTTTTATAGGGATTCCGCGGAGAAGCTATATTTAACTTGGCGGTCGTCCAACCCCGTGATGATCAATTGCCCTGTCAGAGGTTGAAGTCTGTTTCGAGTGGGAACCTTTTGGGTGAGAGCCTATGAGGCCTTGTACTTGTTAGTCAGAGAAATTCAACGTCGGTTCATTTAAACTTGGCGGACAGAGATGACTTGTGCTATTGTGTTGATTCTTTATATCAGGATATACTATTGCACCGGAGAATTCGTAAGTCAATATACCATCTGTATTCAATCCTCAATGTCATAATTTTGAATCCAAAGCGCCGAAAGTATAACAATACTCATCAAATGATCATAATTGTAGGCCAAACTTCGCTTACATCGATCCCCCTTTTTACCATAACCAAAAGTTCCAAACAAGCGATCCGCAACTGACAAACCAGGGAAAAAGAAGAGAAGACATGGTCTGATGTAATCACAATTCATGCTTGCCAAAGTGACTATACTTGGGTGTCACATAACCAGGCATTGTCTCCCTCTCTTCCACCGCCAAGTGCGCACCCGCTATGCGCAGAAGCTGTGCACAGGGCTCCTGGCCTGACTTAACTGCGACATACAGTGGCGAGAGGTTAGCCTTGTTACGTTCGTGTACACTCGCGCCCTGCTGTAGCAGCTCCAGGAGGATTTCGGTGTTTCCAGCCACCGCCGCAAGATGCGCGGCAGTGTTCCCCGCATAATCCGATTGCTTGAGCAACTGCACGCCTTCACCCTGCAGAAGCTCCTTGACAATTTTGAGTTCGCCGTTCTCGATCGCGTAACCAAGTGCCGAGAATGCTCTCTCGCTTGCCGTGAGGTGGGATGCGGCAAAGTCAAGTGAGCCCGCGGGGTGTGAGAAGCTCTGGTGGGCAATCTCTGTCATCTCACCACGCAGCGATCGGGAGAGTTTCTCCTGGATCTCCTTGGTTGATAGGTTTGGCTGGGCGAGGAGGTATGATACTTTGGTGAGGGCTGCCTCGGCAGTAAGATCAAGACCAAAAATGACGCCTGCGCGGCCGAGGACGGTTCCCGGCGCGTACACTGGCGAGACAAAGCCGTTGACACACTGGCTGACATTCACGACGACGATGCCTCGCTCAACAGCGGCCTTAATAATTTGTGTAAGAGGGCCATCAGAGCCACCAGGGATGTTGCCCATTCCAAATGTCTCCAGGATGAGACCCCGAATATCAGGCAGGTGAAGAACAGCGTCAATCATCTCAGGCTTGATACCGGGGAAGACACGCAAACAGGCAACGTGGGTAGTGTCAAGACCCTTTGTAACATGGAATTTCGCGATAGAGGTAGGGCGAAGGACGAGAGGCCAATTGACACTGATGCCGAGACCGTTCACCTTGGCGAGAGGCTCGCTGTTAGGACTGGCGAAAGCCTCAAATTCTGTCGCGGAGACCTTTGCGCTGCGGTTACCGCGGTAAAGATGGTGGTGGAAGAAGAGGCAGACTTCGGGAATGGTGAAAGTTCCTGCGATAATGAGCGAGCCCAAGAGGTTATCGACACCATCGGATTGGAGAGCAAAGATGGGCGCCTGAGAGCCGGTAAGAATGACGGGTTTTCCAAGGCTCTCCATCATGAAAGAGAGGGCAGATGCCGTGTAAGCGAGAGAGTCTGTTCCGTGGAGAATGACAAAGCCGTCGAATAAGTGGTAGTTCTCTTCAACACAGGAAGCCATGGCGTCCCAGTCATGGGCGGAGATGGAGCTCGAGTCGAGCAGAGGGCTGAACTCAATAATACCATAGCGGACATGGCGGTTGTAAGCTGTAGCCGGAGTGCGAAGACTGTCGATTTGAATCTTTGCTCCGTTACGAATGGCAGGCAGGGTGCCTATGAGATGTGAGTATGTGGAGTAAGTGAGTGAGGATATAGTCAGAATTACCTGGGTTAGAGAAGTCATTGAATGACGGGCGAGGGGCCATGGCATTCTCTAGGAAGTTGTCGGTTGGCTGAAGACCGTCGGGGCCTTGCTGCATACAAATTGTTCCACCAGTGCCAATAATCAATACCCGAGACTCTGGGTAGCTGGTCTCGGGGACCACCTTGACGGGTGCACTGGGTGAGCCTGCTCTGCTCATTTTGAGAATATGTGTATGTGTATCTAGTAAAAGAGTCTGCTAATTGACTGAAAGTAGTACGGTGAGAGCGTATCTGTTGTATCGATCAAGTTAGATAAGAGCGGAAGACGAGATAACGACGTCTATGTCGATTAGGACTTTCTGATAGCAATTCACAAAAGATTAATCAAGTGTTGACGAGAGACAATGTTTAATTGAGGACAAGAGGAGAGAGAAATTTTATCTACGGCACGCGCAACGTCCGGGTGATTTACTTAAAGCAAAAAACCTTGTGGACAAAGACGAACGAAGGCCATCAAGTGGATCCGTTGGAGGTTATGAAGGGGTAACAGAAACTCGATATCTCGCGGGGACTGGCGAGTTAGAGATGGTGTACATTGCCAAATCTGCGATAGGCTAAAAAAACAACAAGAGAAGGAAAACGAAGCATTGATTGGTGTGGGAAAACAAGGCAGTACAGGATTTGCTTGCAAGGGCTTGGTTGCCGAGAAGGCTACTTATCCAAATGCTGTGTTGGTGATCAGTTTATTGCAAGTCGTTTTTGTTTATGGTGTTTTGAGATTGGGACACGGTCTGGCAGGTGACCAGATGAGATTTCGACAAGACGGTGAACGAGATGATTCGGATGGAAAATAGATATATTTAATTAGTACGTGACTTAGGAACACTATTTAGTATGTATATTGAAGCTGATGCCGTTGAATATAAACTGTATCGACCTCTTATTCTTTACCCCAGAGAAACAATATCCAAAGACGCGGGGGAGAATGAATTCTAGTAGTAATAATTACTGATTGAATGGACGTGCGTACTTTGGGCTGTGGGCAAGCCAAGCCTGGCAAGACGGTTTTCTTCCATGGCAAAAGCCTAGAACAAAGTGGATTCTTCAGGCTCATTGCCTACTAATTTTGGCCTGTCAACTTGTTGCCGTAGGTTGCTCTTAATGCCTCCGATTACGGGGGATGCATGCATTTACTGTACAGATGCGAACACTTACAAACATTAATAGCTACGTCAGGTCGAGTCTAATCAAACACTTGATTGACTTTGGTTCAATACCCAAATCTTCGAGGTAGTATGTACTAATGTACACTGATAGAATGCTAGAATTACTCAGTGACTACATGTGACGTACCAACACGATCGCAACTAGTCCCCTACTGCAAGAGAATCGCTAAAAAAGAGAGAGAATCTTGATAATGGCGATCAACTAAACCTGTATTAAATGACAGGATGGATCCAGATGCGCAAGGGTTTGCAGATACGTATTCTTGGAATGCCCATTATCTGCAAACACTAGTCCTCTTCCAACTATTCTGCCGTGTGTCTCAACTCACCGCCTTGGTGCGCCTCTCTAAACTCTCCAGCTCGCCTTGACCTTATTGTCAGTGCATTGACAATAGGATCAATCAATGGGGCGACAAACATCCCTACTGCAAAAAACACTCTCTCTCCCTATTGAACCTCCATCAGTGCCAATTGTTCAACTCTTTACTACTTATTAATCCTAAAACGTCCAAGTTTCTTCCATTTTTCACCCATGATCTACGATTAAAAAGCGATGCGAATCCTATAACAAGCCTCCTCGCCTCACTCTCTTTGACGCGCGCATCCTTCGTCAACCTCTCGAGCCGACATCAAATTCAACATCGCGCAACCTCGACTCGACGAGATGGAGAAACTATCAGAAACAACCCCCGATGGCACTTCGCCTCGAACTTTTGCCCTGAACCATTTGAGGCCACGCTCGAGTTTCAAGGGCTGCTCGCGCATTTCCGACTATGAGCTGCTGGGCAAATTGGGAGAGGGAACCTTTGGGTATGATTTCACCATCGCGGCATACTTCGATGACTACAACAATAATAAAACTCGGTCGTTTATACTGACTATTTCCTAGTGAGGTTCATCGTGCCCGGCTGCGCAGAACTGGCGCCCTCGTCGCTTTGAAGAAGATCATCATGCATCATGAGAAGGATGGTGTATGTACCTGTACCACCCCACCGAGATAGCCACACTGACAAAGACAAGTTCCCTATTACCGCCCTCCGCGAGATCAAGCTTCTCAAACTTTTGTCACACAAGAATATTCTCAGACTAGAGGATATGGCTATCGAGCACCCTACCAGACAAAGTAAGCAGTTTTGACTGCACCTCATCGTTCCCGACTGACCACCCCTTCAGCCGATAAGCGCAAAAAGCCTATCGTATACATGGCTACTCCCTACATGGACCACGATCTGTCCGGCCTCCTCGACAACCCGTCAGTCCAGTTCAAGGAGCCCCAGATCAAATGCTACATGTTGCAGCTCCTCGAGGGTCTCCGATACCTACATGACAGTCGCATCTTGCACCGCGATATGAAGGCGGCCAATTTGCTGATCAACAACAAGGGTATCCTGCAAATTGCTGATTTTGGTCTTGCTCGACACTACGACGGAAAGACGCCACAGTCTGGAGTTCACATGGGCGAAGGCAAACGAGATTACACCGGTCTAGTTGTCACTAGATGGTACCGACCGCCTGAGCTTTTGCTACAACTGCGACAATACACCCCCGCTATTGACGTATGGGGAGTAGGGTGAGTACCGCCCGACGGCTTTGATACTTTGTTGATTCTAACGACTGGTACAGCTGCGTTTTTGGCGAAATGCTACACGGAAAGCCCATCCTGGCGGGCGAGAGCGATGCCGCACAACTCGATATCATCTGGGACCTCATGGGATCTCCCAACGAAGAGAACATGCCCCGATGGAAATCACTGCCTGGTGCCGAGCACTTGACTCCTCGGCCACGAACAGGGAACCTCGAGAACCGCTTCAGACAGTAAGTCGTATAAAACATCAAGTCATGCCCCATCACTAACATCGCCTTCAGATACGGCATGGGAGCAGTCTCATTACTTAAAGAACTTCTCAGACTTGATTGGCGGACACGAATCAATGCAGTTGATGCTTTGCAACACCCGTGGTTCAAGATGCAGCCTCTGCCACTTGAACCTCATGAGATCCCCACCTACGAAGAGAGTCACGAGTTGGACCGTAGAAAGTTCCACGATCGCAAGGCCGCTCTACCTCCTGCCCCCAAGGGCGGAACTGTGGGCGTTGGCCCCGACGCCAACGGCGCTACAGCAGGCTTCAATAGCAATGAGCCTTATGGAAATGGCCGCAACGGCGTGAACGGAGGTAGGTATCGTAATGGACCTGACGATCGTCGCCCCGCTTGGCAACGAGAGCGAGGTGCCGGATTGCCTCCACGACCACCTCCCAATAACGATGATGCGGACTTTCGAGAGCGAGGGCCTCCTCGCCCTAGAGGGCCACCTGGACCAAGGGCACCAGACGTCGACACTTACATCCCCGCATACAACCGAGATGATCCAGGCCGGCGAAGGGACGATCGCCCACCACCACGGGATGATCGCCCGCCGCCCAGGGATGACCGTCGACGCCGCAATAGCAGAGAGGATCGTCGTTTTGATAGGGACCGTGGCACCGTGAGCCGTAGCAGATCACCAAGGCACGACCGATCAAGAGACCGAGACAGGCCCGACCACAACGGGTATCGGAGATAGAATCAATCGACAACGGTCACAGCGGCAGATATTAACGGATACATACGACTCATGGATTGAGGGCGACGACAAACGCCTGGACCCCAGCGGCGACCGAGACTGCCTTATGGAGTTTCATAATAGAGGAACGGGCAGGATTCTAATCAATGTCGTTTCGGGCATAGCAGGAACACGGACGGCGCAACGAAATGAAATAAGGAGAGAGAACATATTTGACAAGGCCAGCCATATATCTGGCGTTTGGGTGAAGCGACGCATCAGGGATGTACCCAAAAGGTCCTCACACTTTAACCCTTTGATTTTAAGAAACACGAGATATGAAATTATCCCTAGTTCAGGAAGCTCGTGGCTTTATTTTAGTGTACCATAGCGTTCATATACGATCAATACTCTGAATCATCGTCCTCCTCGTGAATCGTCTGTGACAGTAAACCACTAGTTGGCCGGCGTCTCGAGCTTGATGAGTCTAGCCATTGCCACCCAAGATCCGTGTCTGAGGACAGCGAGTCTCTCCGACTGCTTGTTTCGAGGAGGCTTTCCTTAGAAGCTGATCGCTTTGGGCCGAGGTCGTCATTCTGCATTCCAAGGTAGGATGTGATGATGGATGAGAAGAGGGCTATGGCGACACCGGCCATGATGCCAACGCCAGCAGCTGCACCAAACTAAAATCAAGTTAGGGTCGGAAGAGATATTTGGAGGGTTGAACAGTCTTACAAATGTGTACAACGGCTACAGGATGTTAGCTTGTTATCCCATGTCTAGTTATGGGTGATGAACATACCTCTAAGCCAGCCAAAAATGCCCAAACAGAACGCGCTCCAGCTACCATATAAGAAAACAGGTATATAGCAGGAGCAAAGACAGTGAGAATGACATTGGCAACTAAAGATAATGGAAACAGAATAAGACGAAAGGGGAAGCTAACGATAGCAAAGATGCGTAGGAAGAGAGCGGGCCAGTCGAATGAGAAGATCCAGGTGAAGACAGCAACAGTGATATCAAAAGCGAGAATGAACGGAGAGATTGTCGGTGAAGCTTGTTCAGCATGTGTCGCTGCCACGACTGTGGAGGTCGGGAGTGCGTGATCGGACATATCGGAGCTGGTGATGAGAAGCTGTGTTGTTTGGTATGAAATGAGTGAGGTTGTGTTGCCTAGACAGGGAGAATTACATCATAAGCCAAGGTTGACAATGAAATACAGTGTTGAGGGAGGAAGGAACTGTCAAGGTTCAATATTGATGGCAAGAAACACCTAAGCTTAATATGTTGTCTAGGTGTAGAATATCTATGATTATAGATAATGTATGGAGTAGAGGTTAGATCGACCTCCCTGGAGCTCCCTTGAGCTGTTGTGGATGAGAGCTCATGTCTATCGAGATTGAGTGGAGACCTCATGGACATGGGAGCTTATGTTAATGAGAGCTGTTGAGTGACTTTGTTGATCGTCAAACATGCGAGTAGATCAAGGTACCTCTGAATCGTCACTTATCAGACTCCCCACCACGACCCAAACATCCCACCCGTTCTCTTCCCTTTCCCTTCCTCCATCTCATCAATCTCTCTCTCCATCTCCACCCCCGCGGCCGACGACGAACAAACTGGCGACGACGGATTGAAATAAACGCCTCAGAACATACCGCAAAACAGCATAAACAATATCTTTTTCTCTTGCTATTCATCGCATTATCACCATACAGTGAGATAATACATTCTTTTTTTTGGACAGCGAAATTCATACGCCCTTCTTTGCATTAGAAATCCGAAATCTGAATCATTTATCCTCACATCACGCTACACAAAAGACCCGTCTTGTCACCCCCGGATTCTTACACACCAACCCTGCCGTGTCAGGTCAGGCCGTTTCCTGCTCGTCCACCTCTTTTCCTGACACAAACGCCCAATTGGCGCTGGGCGCGCAACGTACAGAATTTCCCAACAAATCATTTCGTTAGTCGCCAACTTTGCTGCGTCATTCAATTCAGGCTTGATGCTTATGCCATTGTACCGATAAGATATCGACAAACCAAACATTTCCCAAACCGCGGTTACAAATTTTAGACACAACCCCACGATCGCCAACGCTTTCAAGAGTCAAAGGATATCCATTTGAGGGGACAGGAGGCCGCAAATATGGGTAACAACACGTCTTCGTCCTCCAAACCGACCACGCCGACTACTTCAGCTCCAGGTTCGGCCCACGGTCATCTTCATGGCCACGAATCTCCCCGCCATCATCTGCGCAAGGATGCCCGCAATATCATTACCGGGCACACGCATCGCTCTGCCGCGCCGCCGGAGCCTTCTATGGCCCAGGCCCAGGGCTCAACGGTGATCAATCGGCCAAAGAGTTTGCCTCCTACGGCGGTGTCTTCTCTTAGCGGCTCTCCACACAGCAACTTTACCGCGGTGCATAAGACTGCTTCTTCCTCTGATGCTAAGGCCATCGCCGAGAAACAAGGTGCTGCAACGCCTGAATCCAAATCGCACCATCGCGACGAACCGACCAAGCCCCTCGACGTCCCTATGGAGTCTTCTTCTCTACGATCACATCAATCCGCCCACGTCCACGACTCTGCGTTGATCCCAAACAGCAGTATTACAGATATGTACCTGACTCGACCCCCTCGTCTTCCTCTTCCTATCGACGAGGAAGTACATACACCAGGATCTCCAATTCTAGCACCAGAGAATGACCAGGAGGCTGATGTCGAGCCCATCGACTCTTTGGATGGAATCACTCGCAAGAGTTCTGCCCTCAGCGCTACGACAGTAGATGAAGAGGACGGTGAGGAGTTGCGGGTCGACAAGACTAGACCTGTTGTCCAGACCAAGCTGGAATGGCTTAGTGGGGGCGACAAGATTTATGTGACTGGAACCATTTTTCAATGGAATCGTAAGCAACGGTTGCATCCCATGTAAGTGTCATGATGCTATTTATTGACTTCTCTGAGACATGAGGCGATCACTGCGTCGTCTGTGTTTCCGTGGCTGCTTTGTGGTCTCGGGCCATCGTTGTACAAGATCGTCCCTCATGCGATTCAGGAGTTGTGAGGATGTGTTTACAAAATGCGGTCGCTGACGTATCATCTAGCGAGGGTCGCCCAGGCTGTTTCTCAACGACAGTTTATGTTCTGCCAGGCACTCATCATGTCCGCTTTTTGGTGGATGGTATTATGCAGACATCTCCCGATCTACCCACCACTGTAGACTTTGGCAACAACCTCGTCAACTACATCGAAGTCAGCCCCGATGATGCCCACAAGGTTCCTGCACCCCCGGCCGCTTCGCACGCCGAAGTTCAGGCTGCTGCTGCTGCTCAGGCGATTGAGCAAGCTCAGGGGGGAGTCCCTGGAGGTTCGAAACCACCGCCCCAACCAAAGGGCAAGCCTGTGCCCCCTCCAGAAGCGTATCGTAGTCAAATTCCGAAATACCTTGTCGACTTTGACCAGGCTGAGGATTCGCAAGCGTACCAATACGCAGTTAATGCAATCGAGAGACTACCGAATCCCCCTGCTTTGCCAGGCTTCCTAAGCAAGCCGATACTAAACGCAGCGACTCTTATGAAGGACGACAATAGTGTTCTCAACATGCCAAATCACACGATACTGAACCATCTTGCCACTAGTAGCATTAAGAACAATATTCTTGCTGTTTCTGCTACTACTCGGTACAGGGATAAGGTATGTTTAATTATGATTAGTACAAAAAGGGAGATGCTTACATCGTTTAGTATGTAACCACGATCGTTTACAAACCCACTGCTTCCGACGAAAGTTAAGTGAGGATGAATGAAGCATATGTTAGAGGGCATCGAACGGATGCATAAGCTTCGGGCTACTGCATGCTCAAACATGCTGACAGCAAAGCTACGATATGATGTTGGAACGATTACTGTGTATGAAGTATATATGAGGGAATAGGCTCTAGACAAGTTGGGACGTTATTTTGGTTTAAGCTTGTAGCTGGACATCAGAAGAGTGACGGGAATGCCGACAAGAGGCATGTCAAATATACTTGACACCACGATAAAGCGGATATGAGGTATTTCACAACTCAATCCCTGCAAATACGTTCAAGAAAATAGTCATCATAATTTTGTTATTGGGAGAATCAATCTCTCCATTTGATGAATACCTCGTCGGTCCTAAATCTCTGCGTGCAAGTGCTCTCTTCCAACGACGTCCTGAATCCAGTCTCGTATGCCAATAATCCAGCATGCGCAATCATGATACCGTTATCAATACAGAATCTCTCGTCAGTCGCATATACGGATCCTCCTCGCTCTCGCGCCATGTGTCCCATCATCTCCTGCAATCTCTCGTTGCAGCCAACGCCTCCAACAATAAGAACTTGTGAGGACCCAACGTGCGCCATAGCTCGTTCTGTGATCTCTACCAACATGGCAAATACTGTTTCTTGTAGTGAAAAGCACAGGTCTTCGGGTGTGAAGTCTGCGCCAGCTTTCATCTGCGCAGCGAGGGCATCGGCAGACGCTAGAATGCCGGAGAACGAGCAGTCCATGCCCTTGACCGCGTAAGGAATATCCAGTAGTTTGCTTCCCTTCTTGGCCAGCTGTTCAATATTGTAACCTGGCGCAGGGTCGTTGCTGATCTCGAGCGTACGAGCAAATCGATCGAGACAATTTCCAACAGCTATATCCAGCGTCTCGCCAAATATCCTATATCGCTGCTCCGCATACGCGATAACCTGCGAGTTACCACCAGAAACGTACAGCACAACTGGGTTCTCTGCGCCGGTGATATATCTTCCCATCTCAATGTGTCCCACACAGTGATTCACACCCACAAGCGGTCTATCCCAGAGCAGACTCAACGCTCTGGCGGCCACAGCGACCGAATTCAACGGGGCACCCATGCCAGGTCCCTTTGTGTAACAGATACAGTCGACATCTGCGGGTGTGATTTTCGCCTCGGCGAGGGCTTCGCGGGCGAGACGGACGAAGTGTGCGCGATGGTGCGCGGCTGTGTCTTTGGGGAGGAACCCTGTGCCTGGAGGGGAGACGAATGTGTCGCGGAGGTTGGAGAGGATCTTGGTTTCGGTTGGTGTGTGGAGGATGACGCCTATGCCGAGCTTGTTGGCGGAGCCTTCACAGCCGAGGGCGATATAGGAGGATTTGTTTGTGAATGCCATTTTTGATGTGCTGCGGCGACGGCAGTGAGGTTGAAGATGGGAGGATGAAAAGGTGGGGGTTATCGAGATGATGGTGTTGACGTTGATGAGGGTCTACCTGCACAGGTGAGTTGCATATGCATATAGCTTTGTCATAAATCAGAAAGATAAAACAATTGAATAAAAACTATACTTAATATCTTTAGAATGCTACTTGAATATCTATCTGATCTTTCGTTAGTGATGTCAAGAATGTGATAAGACTCTCTAATCGATAGAGGGGCAGATCCTCTTTCTTGTCATTCGAAAAGGGCAGCAGTTACAAACCCCTCGCCTCGCTTAGACAGTCAAATTCGACAGGCGTCATGTCATCACCAGCCACATTTCCCTTTGATCAAAGTGGAAGTGTCTGGAGGGGGCGGGAGGTTCCGTTTTTCTTTTTTGCAATCTTCAGGGTCCTAACTAAACCGTGAATGGTTGGTAAAAAAAAAAGAACAAAATATATGTGATGGTAGATCTTTAGAATTGGTTGTGAATAAAGACACAAGACATTCTTTATCACTAGAAAGCAATGTATATACATTCCGCTCGAGCTGGTCTGCACTGATAGGTGTACGTTTTTGAGATTATCAGTACTATATCTAAAGCGGCTGTAATTACAAGCTATATAAAACCATCATGCAGAAAATAAAAAAAGATCGAGGTTTTTTCTGTGTTTTCCGAGGCCCACTAGCCACAATCTGTCAGGAAAGACTGCTGTGGCTACTAATCAAGTTCGTGTAAATCCACAACGTCCGGTTCGCCGGCCACTTTTCCTTCACCCGCAGCCCACCCTCCACTTCAAAGCCTCCTCCATCACTCTCATTCTGCGCTCAGGATCTTTTCTCTGTCTACTCTGTGCCTTCCAATATCACTTCTAGAAGATACATTTTACAAATCTCGTTTCTACGATAAACGCAGTGATTCTTGTTATACGTGTCCTCCTTTCTTACACAGCTGCAAGACCCTTGTTGATACGATATCAGCCAGGTTCCCGGCCAAGCTTGACCACCTTTTACAACCTCGCAATCTGACTCTTCAGCTTTAGTTCGTTCTACGCACAGCCTACTACGACCACATATCTACGTTCTTATACTTGCCAGATCATCGTTATTTTGCCAGCACCAAGAACTCGTCTTCGCTGAGCCGGCACATCATATCCCGACCCTAGCTTTCCCTCAGCCTACAGCATGGCATCCACATGACCATCTCACGCTCTCACTACAACTTCTTTTACTACAGTCACGAACGAACACGTCGCAAAAGATGATCATTATGGAACTGTTCTCGTTGCGGTCGTCATGATACCGTTCTTATTTTTTCATTTTTCTCGATCCGGGCCATCAAACAGGCTATCCCATGTTCAAGCCCGAAAACCGACCACCCGCTCCGAAACTCCTTGCAATGCCCTCGTCAACGACTAAATAATACACGGCGAATTTGATGACCACCGGGTTTGTCGACTTTGCCCAGCGGTCCGCCGCTCTGTTCTTCAAGTAATGGGTATAAAACAAACAACCGCCATATTCATACAATCCTCCTCCCCGCCCTCCGCTTATGACACAGCTTGGGCCGCTTGGGCCTGTTGTTGTGCTACCGCTTGGGCCTTGGCTTGGGCTTGCGCCGCCAGGTGCGCTTGTGCTGCTGCTTGAGCGTGTGCTTGAGCATGCGCATGCGCTGCTGCTACTGCTGGCGATGGTAGTGCTCGATTGCCAGCCTGTGCTTGCGCTGCTGCTACAGCTTCTGGGGGAACTGCTGGACGTCCTCTGAACATGTAAGGATTCAGCGGAATTGTCGCTCTGAACTTGAGTGCTCGGGTGTCGAATGGATCCACTTCGTACACAGGCGGTTCATCATCGTCAGAGTCAGAGTCATACTTCCACCGATCCGACCTATCATCACCAAGTTCCCGTGGTGGCGTCACCATGCCTCGTCGGTCAATCCACAATCGATTCAAGCGACCGATACGGCGACGGAAGGCTGGCTGGCTACCCTTCGTCTGCTCGCCTGACCCAGCGGTGAACTGGAACACAGGTGGTTCACGGTTATCCAGCTGCATGGCGTCAGGCGCAATCTCATCTACTTCCATCTCCGAAGATGTGGACGCCGGAGGTGTCATCAAATACTGCGTCTTAGCTTGTCGGAACTTGACTTCTGTGCCCTGTTCCTTGACTGGCGACAGTGGCTCTCGAGTGAGGTCAATATGGTTCTGGTTCCACTTTCGGTGGTTCTGAACCTTCATTTCTATATCGAGTCGCAGTTCAGTCTCCTTCTCTGCCAACTTTTCGGACAGTAGGACAAGGTCAGCATCAAGAGTTCTACCATCAGACCGTACAGGTTGTCGCAAATGGGCACCAGTCGGTTGTCGCACAACGGGAGGTTCCACGGGCTTGCGTTTTTGAGGCTGCAATGCGAGTTAGTACCAAGTGGAACTGATTTGGACACGACAAGCATACCTTTTGGTTGACGAGATCCTCGTCCTCGCCTTTGATCCCCAGTCGAAGCTTCATGTCTTTGAGTCTCGCCCTTTCCTCAAAGATAGCACGGTCCATAGACATGACTTCTCGTTTCACCATTTCACGTTCATACGCCATAAGAACCAATTGCCGGCCATCCTCAAGTTCGCGGCGCAACTTCTTGAGGGTCTCTGCAATCTTGTTGTCACGAGCTCTGGTTTTTCGGGTTTGGCGAGCCTCACGTCGCCTGAAGCAGACAAAAGGGTCTGTGTCGTCAGTCTCCTGGTGCGTCTCAAACTTGAGGCTAGGGTGCAATGGCTTATTCCCAGCTTCCTGCCGCCTTGACTTCCAGTACTCGTACACGGGTTTGGCGTGCTGGAGTACGTCTGTCGAAACCGATTGGTTGAGGTGAGTAAGGCCTGGCAACATCATATCATAGGCGGCAACAGTATTATCGACTGCTGCGAATGGGGTTTGTTCTGCGGCGGTGTCTTCAAACACCTCCATGATGTGTTCAAAATCATCTTCGGAGAGAGCTCCCGTAGCGGGCGGTTTACTGTTGTACTGCTTGAGGAACTCATCGTCCTCTGTAGTCATATCATAGAGGCATGTTATGCACTCCTCGACTGTTTGTGAGAAGCGAATGTAAGAGGAGGGCTTGTGGAAAGGAACAGGATAGAGATCATCATAGTTGATGTCACTCTCCTGGGGAGGAGGGACGGGAATTTCTTGATCATTGCTGGTTCCCGCCTCCTTGAGGATAGTCTGAAGATGGTATTCCTATTACAATTGTAAGTATTGAGGTTTGGATGGAGCATGGTGGCATTTGATTGGATGATAGTACCATCCAATCAAAACAGATAAAAGGGTGAGTCAAGTTGTATCACGTGAATATACACGTGATATCTCGAGAGGTGGCATAAGGAGAAAGCACTTACATTTTCCTCGGCCTGCTCGACACCTGTCGCGATTTGGTTATCAGTTGTAAGGGCTTCGTATTCGTTGGGATCGATCTGGTCTTCGCGGAGGACTGGAAGTGTCGTTTTGACATTCAACTTCTTGACGCGAACCTTGCGTGATGACATGTTGGCAGGGGGTTAAGGGAGGTCGGAGGAAGGGCGTCTAGGCGGCGGAAAAACCGCAAAAAAAAGCGATCAAGTCATAAAACGGGGTCTATTAAGTTGAAATCGTGCCCAAACTCGATGTAAAAGGTGATGTTGTAGCTTTTTTTCGATGGCAGCGTAGTCGGGCTCGATGGGGTGACGTTGGGGATTTGTTTTGGCGCGCAAAGATTTTTCGCTGCACGGAGTTTTTGGTAAGGGAGAATAGGCCTTTGACTGGCAGAGCGGGACATTTGGGTTTGCTGACAGTGTGCAGCTGAGAAGAGATAAAGTCACTTTACAGCGTAGGTTGGCCTACGCAGTACTTTGGGCGCTTGGACCACTGCCCTCTTATTTTTGGGGCAGGTTGGGGCTACCGTAAGATACGGCAGTCCATGGTTCGCCTTTTCAAGCGGGCGCTCGTCAGTGGTGCAAGCTGCCTAATAGCGCACACTTTTAGTGAACACAAGCGCTGGAACCACAGGAATGTTTGTCGCTGGCCAGACGACTACGTATAAAACGGAATCTTGGTCAAATGGTAATGTACAAGTGAATAATTGTTTTTTTTGTACTTATGTGGTTCCTAAAAGGTCTAATCATTTGCAAAAACCTCTATTATCGAAAGTCTAGAAGTTATTTGCCTTTAAAGTTCTCTCTATTGTCTTTGCCTCTTGATTCAATCTGATTGTTATTGCCAACATCAAAACGGCACATGGACGCTTGCCTACCGTAAAATCATCAGGAGCCGACCTGGAGGCCTGTTCGCTCCCCCCCCCCCCCCCCCCCCCCCCCCCCGCCCCGCTAGGCAATAACCCCTCTATGCACCTGCCCCTTTGCGCAGAAGAGCAGCCTAGGCAAAAGATGCTAAGGTTGGTTGGTCGGTCTAGAATTACTAACCTTACCCAAACTTAGCGTCTGAAAGTGACAGTGACAGTGAGACTCGCAATACAGCCTTATCACCAAACTTTGTATTAACTCGACCCAACTGGACAACTTATTTCCATCTTCTCGGCGTCCCACGACGAAAAGCACCGATCTCGGTCCAAGCAAAAGTTTCCTTCTTACCTTTCGAACTCGCTTCACGTTGCCAACATGGGCAACACCACCAGCGCAGTCTTGGACAATCTCGTCCAAGGATCCAACTGTGAGGAAACCCTGCCTTGGGAACCAACCTCAACGCACGGTTGGGGGAGGGGTCTTGGTGTGATATCATATGCTGAGATGTGCGGTTTCTAGTCGACAGAGACGAAGTTGATCGTCTGCGAAAGCGATTCATGAAACTAGACAAGGTGCGCGAGCTTCCCGACTTTTGGGTTTATGATGAAGCTCAGCGATGGTGGCGCAAGGCTGGAACATAGAATGCACTCAAGAATAGGAACCGGCTAACTCGAAATCTTTCCTCTAGGACAACTCCGGTACGATCGAGCGCGATGAATTCCTTAGTCTTCCTCAGATCTCTTCCAACCCTCTGGCAACACGGTCCGTCTACCACATCCCTCTCCCAATATTTACAACAAGCTAACCCAGCTTCATTCAGAATGATTGCCATCTTTGATGAAGATGGTGGTGGTGACGTCGATTTCCAAGAGTTCGTTACAGGTCTTTCGGCGTTCAGCAGCAAGGGAAACAAGGAGCAGAAGCTCCAATTCGCCTTCAAGGTCTACGACATTGACCGCGATGGATACATTAGCAACGGAGAGCTTTTTATTGTCCTCAAGATGATGGTTGGCAGCAACCTTAAGGACCAGCAGCTGCAGCAGATCGTGGACAAGACCATCATGGAGGCCGATCTCGACAAGGATGGCAAGATTAGCTTTGAGGAGTTCACCAAGATGGTGGAAAATACCGATGTTAGCATGAGCATGACTGTTGGTAAGTTATCTGGAGCTGTACCGGTATACAATGCCACATGCATTACGGACGAAATCGGGAATTTTCGACGTTCAATCAAAGCTAACAGCATATGGCAGACCAGTTCTAAGCAAGCATCTGCAAAAGGATGCGTGGGGAGTTGTGGTATAAATGTCCAACATTATTATGGACTTGAGGTTCATGGTGGCGTGTGGGCATGGATAGTCCGATGGGATCGGAACACCAAGCGAATCTACAAACACAATTACAATTACGATCATGAATTGACGCCTACTGTTACGGCATTTGAGCATATGTCTGTGGTTTCGGTTTTTGCCGTGATCTCATTCCTCTATGACGAACTATAAAGATTCGCCATATCAGTGCATGTTCAGACAAGGATTATGTCTTATCGTTTATTGTGTAGTCTTGTTAAAAAAAAAAAGAAGAAACCGATGTCTTTCTCCTCCTCGATTCCGTATTTATTCCTTGGGGGCAGGGGCTGGGAGACGTGCCTCGATCTTATCCATCCTGGCCTTAAGATCAGCCAGCTGCTGCTTTATCTGTTGCTGATGTTGCTGTTGCTGTTGCTGTTGCTGAGTAGCAGTATCCTCTTCATCCTTCTTTTCCTCCTCCTTCTCTATCCTCTTCTTCTTTCGCTCACCCCGGAGAAAACACCAGCACTAGCTGGCTTTATGGCCATATTTTCCACACTATAAATATACATCAGCATTTGATTGTACGGTATTGTGTTTATGTAAAAGATAGAAAAGGGGCAGAAAATTATACATTAACTTACGTAGTTACAGCGGCCCGTGAAGCCGCCGCTGGAGCCACTGGAGGGGCCGATAGTGAAGTTGTAGGTGGTGGTCTGCATATATCATCGGCATATAGTTGGATCTGTTAGACATTAAGTTATACTTACGGGCATCCTGACTTGAATGTGTTGGATTGGCAGAGTTCCTTGTGGCTTTAAGGTGTACAATCGATGGAGTTTTTGGTGACTTTGACGTGTAGAGTAGATGGAGATCTCGAAGCTCAGAATGGGCATGTGTGTTTGACGTGATTCTCAATCACCATCTAGTTAATTTCAGACAAGAGGCGGTCAGATCCAAACCAATAATTACTATTTGGGCAGGAGTTACGCGAGGCGTTGCATACATAACTTTCCTACTGATGGGGAAACAACTACTGTATTGTCCATTTAACGACAGCATATCTACATATGCAGCTCAGTTGACAAGGTAGCCTAGTGTGTATCATAGGTATAGCTCCTTTCAAAAACAGGTTCTTGAAAGGCAATATAGAAGAATATGTGGTGCCTATACCTGCCAAATTTCTACTAGCAATTACAAGTCACTTCAAAGCTACATTATTAACCTTTTTATTATGAGGTGCGCTTCAGGCCATGATCTATCTAGATGATCACCCATCATTAAAACACCAAGACTATCCGTTGCAAAGCTCTAGGTCTGTAGATAGTACTTGTGGATAGCAATACGAGTCTAACACTCATCCAGGCATGACACAAGAAGTGCCAAGTAGTGGTTTTAAACTGGTCATTACAGCTGACCTCCATTAGAGGGAGAAGCGTACATGTTGGAAGCCTTCGAACCTTGTAAGTATTGACTTCACAACTAGGACTCTTCTCAATGCAAAATCTCACCGATTCTATTTTAATTTTCAAGACTAGCCGATATCTTTCTGGTGCATATTATCCGTTATGAACTTGGACGAAAGGATAACCTGTTGTACTGCTATGTTAGCATCGCATACCTCCGACTGTTGCAACAGGTGAGGCTATGCGTTGTGTATCATTCCAAACAGCGTCGGCTTTGTAATATACGGATGTCTGTCAAGTTTACAATATCTCGAATAATTGTGCTTATAGCTTGCTTTTTACTCGAGTCAGGAAGAAGTCTGTTTTACAAAAAGCAGAAGGACACAAACTACTAAATGACTGATCCAAAGTGGCATGTCATTAACATCATCCATTATCGAGTTGCATGATAAAGGGTGCTAGATCTGCCACCATGTACGACCATTGGCAAAGTAGGTGCTGTATTGTAATACATCAGCACCTTGAAGAGAGTCTATCCCTTATAAACGCTCAAAGCATAAATAGCTTGTCGGCCTCAAGTTAGATCAAGCCAAAAGACAATATCTATGTTGCGATTTGCCGATATGCAGTCTCATCAATAAGGACCTCTGCCGGACTTACAAGTCATCGGGAGTATCAAAAGGATTGGCCACTAGGAGCATAAGAGACGAAATTGGTAGGTTACTTTATGCCACTTCGATCAGACTTCTTAGGCTATTTATTTTTATACTTTGAAGCTTACAGCCCAACGTTTCTATTACTTACAGAAAGTTTGCGATAATGTAATGCCGTACTCGTCTCTATCGGCTCCAGCGGGCTGTATACTCCATAGAGCATCCAAGATTCTGGGTATCCCATCAATCTAGTTTATCTCATGGCCGCCGCGAAACGCAAAAGGCCTACAGTAGATGTAAAATAGCACATTTATGGTGGATACACTTTCTTGACTGTAATGAACGTCCTGCGTTTTGACAACAATGTCGGTGATGTCACCATATGAAAGCGCAGTAACCCAACAGGTGAGATGTATACTTGCAGGGGGCCGGGTTACGATGTTCACACTGGACCTTGCCAATAGTGAGACAAGGCGCATGTCGTACCGAAACCCTGCCATGGCTGATATGTACTGTGTTGACATTCAGGGCCCTCATTTGAGACCAAGTCGGGAGCGGGCGATGCCGGTCGATCCCCGGGCTACGGGTCAGGTTATTGTACTGAATCGAGCGATGGTTTTCATGTTGTCTCCGACTTTCAGTCATGCCGATGGCCATCGGGTCTCACTCGCAGATATGCGTGGCTTCAAAAGCATCGAGTATGCTACAAAGGAGTTGTAATGGCAACCTTGGAAGAAGCAAAGACTTAGACTTCTATGTCTTACAACGCCACAAATGACACGGGAGGAATTAATGCCGGGATGGCAGTCTCCAGAGGGTCGGTAAAGTGCCACACTCGATCAAATTCGGAACATGGAAATCCATGTTTGAAGGGTTGTCCTTACATGCATCTGCCTGCACGCAAAGAGAAACGAGAGACACGGCAACTGGGTCAAGGTTACACAAAACACCAGTTGCATGTTTCGTAGGCTGGGTTGCCTTTGAATGCGAAAAGCGCACACTGCCACACATAGTCCACGCAGTCCTGCGTCACGAAGGTGAGGCTGAGGCAACAAGATTGTTGGCCAGGACCTAGCCTCGCTTGTCGATCAGGATGTAACCCCGTCTCTGTAGGGATGCGGACAGATGAGATGCATCTCACATATTCAAACAAGTTAGGTTATTTTCTTAGGGGTGTTTTGTTTTGTCTTCTCATCCCTCCTCCCTTCTTTGTTTCTGGCGACTGAAGGGGGTACGCCTTGTAGTGGTAGTCGAAGCGACCTGTCATATTTGAATCATGGTGTCGTAGATTTTGCGCGCCCCGGCAGTTTGGGACAGCGAACAGACGTCGTCGGTTGTGTTAGGGGGGGGGCTTTAAACAGCCGATAGACGAATGGTTGGAGATAAATCCTGGGATTTGATTCGTGAGGGGGAGCGTGGCGTGACAGGTGTGTAGGTAGTTTGCCGATCTGATCTGATAGAGGGCTTGTAAGCGACGATAGGCCCGCTACACTAGGTGACATTATCAGTGGAATCGACTAGGGCTCTCAACGATGTCCTTCAACACCTTTGCGGTTCCCTCCTCAAGATGGTGGACGTCGAGATTGTACGTCCATCGTTCAGCCCTTCTCGAAGGGGTCATGAAGATCCAGAAATGCGGGATTGCAAGCATGAACAGCCTGCTCAATTCACCAATTGATTACTAGCATCCGCTCAGCTGGAACGCCAGACATCCACAGTAAGCGGCACAGTACGGCGTAGTCGGAATATTGCATGGGTAGCGAATATGGAGCTTTCGCTTGCCGATGATTCAGCCAGCTTCAGATTGTCCGTCTCGAGGACAGCTTTTCGAGGGAGACGAGGGTGGACTGGTGCCCAACGATTCAGCGGTCAGGCGTAGCAGTGTGGAGTTGATCTTGACATGAGATGTCGGTCACGCTTGAGTCCGCTATCTGAAAGCCCCGAGGTATGGCACGGACAGAAGGAGTGGTTGTGATGGCTGGGAAACAAAAGCAAGTACTGGGAGTTCGGTTCTAACAAGGGAGCATTTGGACCGGACCCTGGCCAAAGCTCGAATGGATACGTTGACAGATCAGATGACAGCGGCAAGTTGCTGCCCGATGCATAAAGGTTGACATGTTGAGCCGGGTCTGGATAATGGATGGAACTACACGCCCCCAGCCTCGATTTCGGGGCAGAAGTACCACTTGTTCAAGGTCAATGTCAAAAGGGCGGAGTTTACAAGTCAGGCTTCGATGTAGTTGGGCTCTGATGTGACGCGCGTGTGTGCCTGTGCCTCAATTCCTCGTTTTTTCCGAGAGCATTCTTGTAAATATGATATGGTTGATGTTTTAACAAAGTTGCTCTATCAAAAGCATTAGTTGCTATTCGTCAATTGTTTCAGCCTCGTTTGGCTGCACCACATTGGATCGCATCAGCGAGTGGCAACGTGATCGACGATAGGGCTCCCACAGCCGTTGGACATCAAGGAACTGCAGATCTTGGTTGGAATTCATAGTATACATATTCATGATTGTGGCGAGTGCGTGAGAATTGGGAAGAATAAATTGGGCTGATATTGGGTAGGACGACATGACAAGTCTTTTCTTTTCGCTTTGTTTCTGTCTCTTTTTGTTTAGGCGTCGGCCAAGTGAAGGAATGAATGTACAAGAAAGAGTGTGCAGTAGTTCAGTAGTTCAGTAGTTTAGGCGGGGTACTGGTACTGGTACTGGTACTCTTCTCTATACGGATGAAGCGGCCGTCCGTGTCGTGTCGTCCCCACGTCAATTGATTGACTAAAATTGGTCACGCTGATGGAAAAAGAAGAAAGGTTGGATGTCAAGATGAAGCCTGGGCGGGAGAATAGAATAGAATATCCCCGCCTATAATACAGCAACTATAGCTAAGCAGGGCGCCCGCCTCGCTCTTTTCATCAACTAAACCACCTGAAGTTGAACAGCCACAAACCAATCACAGTCTGAGAGCCTGAGAGTAAAGAGTCCGTTCACTATCATTACAGTCTAATAAACTCTACTACAAGAAGAAAAAACACGTCAGTAATGAACTCATTCATGTGGCTTTGCGGCCTTGGGTTTACGTATTGCTACTGTTAGCTCTGCTACATCACTTCTATAGACTCAACTCAATAAAATACTAGTCTGGTCTCTAGGCTTTGCTCAAGTAAACAAACCTGACGAGCCAGTCATGTGTCATTATGTATTCTGCAACTACGCTGCACCGTAAAAGCCTAATTTCAAATGTATGCAAGACAAAGCTATCAGCAAAGTATCCAAATCCCGTTGCCAATCGTGCATCTCTTGCAGCCTGGAACCGAAACTTATGTGACATCCGCGCCTCTTTTCGAAGCAAGGATATGCTTGTCAAGTCTTCAAAATCAAACTCGTCAAGACAAAGACGAAGACTAAAAGTATACTACGTAGCTAGGTCCACTAGATTTTCCCGAATGTAACTGAGCATGATTCCATAAAGTCCCGAGGATCGAGTCTTTGTTGGTCTTGTCTGATGTTGTTTGTCTTTTCGTAACTATTACCCACTGTGGATAAGACATGCCCCAATCCCTGACTTGACTCGCGTATTTTCATAGAATCACACACCCCCAAGCCACACGCGATTCATTGGCTATCAGTGACCGCTTGTACCTGCATGAAAGCCACTCTGCGGGAAGTCAACCGACTCGACTCAATTGGACTCGTTTCTGTTTCTGTTTCTGCTTCTGTTACTGTTTCGGTACGTATCTTTTGTCCCTTACAAAACAAAAACAAAAAGAGACTTATGCAGATGCAAATGCGCCTCTCTCTTGCAGTTCAGCTCAGCTTAGCAAGGCGCCCGCCGATCTTTCGGCATGTTAGAGGTTATGCAGTAAATATATATTTCTTTTTCCTCTTCTTAGGCGGTAAACCCATTGGGCTTGATGCACCATCATTTGTGAGGCTTTTTGTTTCGGAGACTCAAGGCAAGTTACTATTTCTGTATGATTACATGCATGCAAGAGATAGATGCATTCTGCGACTTGTCCACTGATCCTAACCAATCTCCCCTCCCAATGTGGCCCTCTTGTTTATGAACACCGCACAGGACAGTCGGTGAACTCAACAAGGTCACCGAATGTCTGTCTATCGGTGTGTTGTTCACAAGCATAACGCGAGGCGAATTTAAGACATAGATGCATTCGTGTCCTCTTCGTTCGCCTACCATGTACAGAGTGACCGCTATAACTACAGAAACTTGAAGTCTTAGGTATCTCGCCTGTCAACTTGCTAGCGTTCGATATACGACAACAACCAGCCACTCCCGTCAGTATAGACAGCCGACAAACGAATCAGGCTAACTTAAAAAACAAAGAGAAAACAACTAGAGAAATAAAGAAACGAACTATAAAAGCTACTTTAAATAAAAGTGTCAATAAATCTTTCGATAACCCACATACCAAGGTTGAAGCTCAGATACTAAAACATTCGCCTAACTCGAGTTGTTTTCCTCTCATGTTGTCACTATAGGATTGAGGTAAAGATAATTAATTACTCAGCTTTGTCGCGGGGATTAGAGAAAAGCCCGCTTTTGTTCGCAAGCAATACCCTTGATGAGGAATAACCCGAAGGCAGCTCCCGTCAATTAATCCCCCCTTGCCCCTGGCCTGGTCTGGCCTGGCACAGCTGATGATGCTGGTATTCAGGTACTGTACTTATTGATGCCCTTGTTTTTCCTCTGTCTTGGCCAAACCAGGGGTACCGTAGGCTCCTCCAACATACATGGGTCAGACTATGTACTACAATCCATGTCTTGTCGCTATCAACCGGCCGATCTGCTGTCCATCTTCTCCTTTGTCGGGCAGCCTATACCTTGGCTAACAAGTTACGTTGCGGGGGGAAAAGCCAAGTTCAGGTACGGATACAGCACTCCAGGAATCCTCCATATTTATGCTCAAGGCACGGAGATAGGCGAGCTTATCGGCGGTAATAATGATAATAATAATAATAATAATGATACAGTACACTTGCTTCTATGTATGGCTTCTATGTCAAACATGTGCCCCAGGTATTTCCTATCCAGCTGGCAAGCCCGCGAGGACTTCCATGTCCACTCTTTTCATCAACCTCCTAAACCCAAACCCAAACCCTGATAACCATGACCCTTCTAACGCAGGGGCGGTAATAATAGTAATAATACAGTGCACCCAAATCTATGTTGGAGCCTGATAAAAGACAAGAATGGAAGAGAAAAAAACAGTGACCAATCCAACCCAACCCAGTCCAGTCCAGTCCAGTCCGATCCAGCCCAGCCCAGCCCAGCCAAAGCCTGACTTCTGCACTCCATCTGTAGGTAAAACGCCTTGTCCCCAAAAATCATTAACCACGCGCCCAATAGTGCCTATTCCACTTCCAATCCTCTTTCTCGTGACCAACCATGTATCCATTTCCATAGCACAGAGTGGTGAATCAATCATACCCTCTTTTCCTGTGAACCCCGCCATGTAATCGTAGTTATCGTGCCTTGATACGCTACCAGTTGGTACTGGCAGAACGCACGTCGCAGTAATGTCAATGAAAATCATAAACCAGCCCAATGGGCTTCCACCCTTCAAATGGAAGTGGTGGTAAGCATGATGCGTGCGCAACAAAATAGTTTGTATACCAAGATGTGAAAACAGAATAGTTGCGTAATACAAGGCAACAAAGACCTGGTACAAGATCAAAAACCCATCGACATTTTGTTCTCTCGGC